CTAGTTAAGCCATTAGTAGTCGTAATTACGAAGCTATTGCATTATTGTTGGTCAGCCAGTGTAAGCGTTGGTCAGCCGTGTGATTGGTGGTCCCGCAAAGGTGGTCCCAGTAATCAGTGGTCTCTAATTACGCTTATTAATTGCAAATTGAGTAGATTACTAAATATTCTTTCTAATAATAAGCCTTTAAACATTAATGACCATAGTTCTAGCCTTAGTGATTTGAATATCCAAGAAATGAATATCGCTCATGTAGAGAATCAGCTACATAACTGGTCTATCCCGAAACATGATGTTAATACTATCTATAAAATTGGTTCATTTGATTTTCTTTCTGATTATTCAATTAAACAAACCGAATAATTTGTTCCATTATGCCACATGCATGAAAATATTCAATTGTTTTCTCCTCAAGCTATTATGTAGCACAAAGAAAAATATATATTTTTGCATATAGGTATGGTTTAAGTTACAATTAAACCCTTATTTCGAGTTGGTTTAGATATTCCTGTTTTTGCATATTTGCGAGATGCAAGACATTTGAATTTTTCAAATTCTCTTTTAATTATGATTGAATCCAATTTAGCTAATGGTCCTATCTATTTTAATTGTTATCCAAAATTTTAAGATGCTTTTAAACTTTAAAACAATTAAAATCTATAAAATATGAACTTTCAGATAATACTAGATCTATAGCAATTATATGGAGAATTTACCTATAAAGTAAATGACCTACCCCTAGAATCCTAGATCTAGACACACTTTAACTAGAAAAATGAAAATAATATTTTTTTGAAAAAGCCAATCCGACAATACAAAAGTACACACACCTAAAAGGTTAAAATGCATGAAATTAACGCCAATAAATTCAAATGGGATCTCCAAGAAATTAATCATCCAGTATCTAATTGATTGAAAATATTTCTACTTCCTCTAGTATTATCAAAGATGCCGATGGAAGTATTCATGTTCAATTTCTTCCCTTAGAAAATCCTACTAGACAAGTATTTAATTGCAAAAATACTAGATTATCTATATCTACCCGAACTCCCAATATTCAATTATAAAGTGTAGATTTTAACAGATCTATCCTCGACCTATATATCAAGAAGTAGAACAACCAGTTAACTCTTTACCTTTCTCTCCTACGAGATCTTTATCCCCTACAAGATCCGCTATGGAACATATATCCCAATTAAATGTTATTAGTGAAAGTGAATTTTCAATTAATAATGAATTTCTTAGGAAAGAAATGACAAGTGATTATAATTTAGACAAGTGTCATTGGTTTTTTGAAAATTATTTAAAAGAACAAAGAGAGCAAATTAGAGAATTCTATTATGGTTATATGAATCAATATAAAGTTAATATTCCTTTCTTTCAATGGTTTTCTATTTATTCTATTGAGAATAGCATAGAATACCATTTTCAAGAAATCTTAGTTAATCAAAAGGTTACTAAGGAATGGATAACTACATCTAACGATGTTATTACATCCGTTCATCCTCCTCTAGAAGAAATTAAATTTGGCCATCAACATCAGATAGTTATAAGATCTCATTTTAAGATGATAAATACAGTAGATGATGATAAGAAAAATCCTACATTAAAAGACATAAAAATTGTTCAATCCCAAAACAATTACACAAACTAAATACTCAACACAATAGCGTCACAATTAGATAGATTGGAAATCCAAACTCCAGTATCTTATACTGCTCCTGCCCAAAGGCCCTTACCCATTACTAAACCAGAAGTTCCAATATTCAAACCCCATGAAATATCTGCCGAACAAATAGTTAAATTAGATAAAACAGAAGACATGTTAGAAAAGATACGAAATAGATTAAATTATTTAAATATTTCCTCTTCTTCTAGCATTAAGGTATTAAGTAAAGACAAACAATTTGAAGAAGAAGAATCTGACACAGATATTAGTCAATTAAAAGAACAATTTAGTGAAAATTTTATTGTTCAAAAGATTCATAATGCACCATTACCAAAAACTATTGTATTAGTGAAAATTTTATTGTTCAAAAGATTCATAATGCACCATTACCAAAAACTAGAAATTTTTACCCTAGGCCGACACCTCCAGATATACAATATGAATATAGATCTGCCATGACTCAAGCTAGATATGATAGAGAATCAATTAATGAATGGAATATAGATGGATTATCAGAATATCAAATAATAAATATTTTACAAGAAATGATTATGGCTTCATCAGCCCATAAGTCTAAAGGTAATACTGATCCAGCTGTAGCTCATATGTTAATCTCAGGATTTATTGGTCAATTAAAATGATGGTGGGATAACTATCTTTTTTTAGAAGAAAGACAGAAAATATTAAATGCTATTAAAACTATAGTTAAACAAGAAGATCAACAATAAATACATACAACTGTACAAGATGCAATTAATACACTAATTTTTACAATTACTAAAACCTTTATAAGTGAACCAAGAGAATATCAAGCTAGAGCCTCTGAATTATTAACTAATCTGACTTGTCCAAGGTTACAAGATTTTAGATGGTATAAGGATGTATTTCTTATCTAACAAGGTATTTACTAAGGCAAGATGTAGTTCATGCTTTTGGAAGAAAGATTTATTGGTAGATTACTAGTTTTTTGTTGAAAAGGTACGCTCTAGAATACGAAGGGAATATGGTGATTTTATTACAATTACGATACCCTCCACTTATGGAGAAATTATTAATTAATGTAATAATGAAGGTTTAGCCTTATGTACAGATCCTTAAGTTAAAGGCAAAAATGAATGAAGAGTGAGTTCCATCAAAGTAGAAAAGAATTAGGAAGTTTTTGCAGCCAGTATGGATATGAAAGGTTACATCCTCCTTCTGCTAGAAATAAGAGGAAACATAAGAAAAATCCCTATAAGAAACCTTTTAGAATAAGAACTTTTCGAGACAAAACTCTTAAAGATAATAAACCCTCTCCAATTGCTAAGAAGAAGATAGTTAAAGGAACAGATAAAAGACAGATAGTGTGTTACAAGTGTGGAAAGGTAGGACACTATAAGTCACAGTCCAAGATGAGAGAAAAAATAAATAATTTAGATATATCGGATAAGTTAAAGTAGCAAATGATGAGTTTGCTTCTCACTGATACAGACACAGATTTAGAAATAAGTGATAGCCCTGAAGATTGAAGATTTATATAAAATAGAATCTAGTTATTCAAATGATATAGATAACTGTGAATGCGATGGTCCCCGTATATGTAAGATAAATAGTATAAACGTAGTTACTAGAGAAACAGATTTTTTTTTAGACTGTATAGATAAGATCGAAGATAAGGACGTTAAAAGACAATATTTGTTAAAACTAAAAGATTTCAATATCACACAAAGATGAAAAACAATATGAGCCCTATGAGTTAAAAGAAATATTTAATAGGTTCAATACCAATGAAGAGAAACTTTCCCCTTCTTTAGCCGACCTACAAGAAGAAATTAAAATAGTGAAAAGAGAGATAGAAGATTTAAAGCAAGAAAATAATAAAATTAAACAAGATACTATTCAGTTACAAGTTAATAAAATTATAGATATTCAAGCGGAACTCTCAAAAAATAAGAAAATAAATAATTTAAATTAAACATTGTCTTATGATGAGTTTATTAATAATGTAATATCCGATAGTAAGCTTTTAGAAATGGATAGTTTTAGTTTTTAAAATAGTAGTTAATAATGATTTTCAATTTAACTAACATTACATTAGTTGACTCGGTGCAGATGAAAAATTTGTTTATAAAATAGTTAATAATGATTTTCATTTAACTACGATTACATTAGTTGACTCTGGTGCAGATGAAAATTGTTTATAAGAAGGATTAATTCCAATTATTATTATGAAAAAACTAAAGAAAGGCTATACACAGCTGATGGTAGTAAGTTAAGAATATAATATAAATTAACAAAAGTAAAGATATGTGCTAACGGTTTTTGTTTTAAAACACCTTTTATTCTAGTTAAAAAACTTACTATAAGAGTAATACTAGGAACACCATTTTTAGCTACAATCTATCCCTTTAAAGTATATAATGAAGGATTAAAAATAAATATCTTAAATAATCAAATATGTTTTAAATTTATGCAACCAATTAGACAAAAGGATTTAAGTGCTATACAAGATATCTCTATATATAAAGAAACATTTAAATTCCAATAGTCAAATTTCACCCATACAAATTATATTAAGCACGATAGAATGTTTAATATAGTTATTAAAGTATATTTTTGATAAAACATATTAAATAATAAATTGGTACATTAGTCTATAATCTATATCTCTCTATAATGAATATTGTAATAACAATAATATAATTAATAATTATTATGAGAATGATGGGAATTATGGATATAGGATTATCCTTAATTGTGGTGAATTAAAAAATTTTAATAAATTAATAAAGAATTTTACTTTTTTTTAATTTTATCGTCCTACTTTAATAATTGATTCAATGTGTTTTTTTAAAAATCTTAACTTTTAAAATAGATATATAAAAATAATTAAGACTTTGAAAATTTTCAATTTTTTTCTTTTTTTTTTATTTAAGTGTATATTAGACCCTAATGCTTTGTGCACGGAATGTAGAATGACTTGCTGAATTGAAATTGCACATCCTAGTTCGCTTATCCCCACCGAACGAGGTTAGTGTTGTTAACTGATGACCGTTACTTTAAGTTATCTATCCCCGTTTAAAAAGACGGAAATTGTTATTAATGAATTTAGAGTGTACGTAAATATTTAAATACTTGCTATCTATTTAGTCATGACTATTCATCGGAATTTTATTTATTATTAATAAAAAATATATTTTAAATAAATTTGAATTGATTTAGATAATTTATAATTATAAATACTCTATTTATTTAAGTGATACTGTAAATAGATTTAAAATAATATAAATTTAAAATAGATATAAAAATTATTTTTTAAATGTTTTGAAACGGATAAAGACAGTAAAATTATAAAGACACCGGCAGTCAAACTTCTGCTAAGGCTCACCGATTAACGCGAGTGACGAGTGTTAACTGGATCACCGAGTCATCTTGTTCACAGTTAATTGCTCTTTCTCCAAGTCTCCACCAGGTTTCTTATAAGGATTCCACATCTATATCCAACAAGGTGGGAATCGTAGATAACAAAGAATCTTGAAATAATCAATCGTTTTAGGGCTTTGAAGTTATTCTTTCTCAATTGAAAGTTCACAAGTTAGGGTTTATTTTCTCTAGTTGTTACATTTTTAATTGATTAGAATCTGCGATTGGATTTAGTGATGATTGATATTGGGATTTATTTCTTCCATTGATAACCATCTGTTTACGTAATTCCTGACAGTTTTATGTGCTAGGTTAATATTAGTGTGTCTTTACCTAATTTGAGATTTTTATTTTGTGTTATACAGATGGAAAATTCTTTATCTGAACTTACATATAAAGGTTCTATTCCTGAAGCCATACTTGAATCCAAGAAGCAGAAGAAGCTTTTCGTTGTCTACATATCTGGTAATTTAATTTTAATTGAAGCTTAAAAAATTAATAATTATTTTTAGTTTTTGATGTTCTCTTTTATTTGGTTGCAGGAGCTGATTCTGATTCAATCGAGTTGGAAAAATCCACATGGACTGATTTGAAAGTAAATATTACACAAAGAATTTTTCGATATTCTGATATAAGTGACCTTTATCACTCGTTCTTATGTTTGTGCACTAAAATCAGGTGGCAGAGTCACTGTCAAAGTACTGCATTTTGTTGCATATACTCGAAGGAAGTGCTGATGCGGCAAACTTTTCTGCAATATGTATCCTCTGTTTAACTTGCTCCTGTTCTTTTGAACTCTGGAATTTTATGACAAACGTTTAGATGTGCCAATAATAGGAAAAACTTGCCTGTTATTACTTCTTTATGCTCTTAATGTTGGGGATGCATTCTTTTTCAAATATGTTTGAGCTCTATAGTGTTTGCATTTGTTAAGTGAGTAACTTGTCTCTGTAACTAAAGACAAGACATCACCGATTGGAGAGAGAGAGAGTTTTGGGTGTTGCTGCATTAGTGCATTATACGTATCAAAATGGACAAAATACATGAATTCTCTTATTTACATCTTTGTGCCATGAACTTTAGGCATGCAGTCTATTCCAAATGGGTTAGAATCCTGGGGAGGTATGCATAACTTAATGTCATGGTAACTATTGACAGGACACTGCTAGCAGAAGGGAGGAAATTAGGTAGGGGAACATATTTATTGGACTTGATAAAACTCTTTGAAGTGGCTTGGCCTTTTTTAGTATGAAGTTCAATTTCCTCTTATATAATTGCCATTTTTATAAGGTAATGGCTTCTTTGAACATTCCAATTTGCTCTAAACTGACATTGGTGCAGTCAGTGTTCTATTTACTAGTTTAATATGTAGCTTATTTTCAATGTTTTGAAATCAAGAAGGTACCCTTGCATCAACTTATTACAGATCCACAAAAATCTTTCCCTTCTATAACAGCTATTGGGTACAATGGAGCTCAGCTTTGGTACAGTGGTATGATACTTAAATTGTAACCTATGTCTTGGGCAAGAAATAGAATGTGGCATTTGACAATTTTCTAGAACTTTAAATATCTTTTTCTAATTCTGCAGAAGGGTTTATCAGTGCTGAAGTTCTGGCCTCCAGTTTAGAAAAGGCGTGGTTGAGTCTTCATATACAGGTATGCTGGTGCAAGGTTTTTCTTAATTCATATGCTCCTACTGTGAACAATATATCATGCTTACGTGGTCAAACCTCATTTGGAAATCAATTGCAAAGAAGTAGAATGTATAAAATGTTAGGCGGAGGCACTTTAACCTTAACCACTGTACATAAGGTTTCAGAAAATTCCAAATACATCTTGTGAATTTGCCACATAGCCATATTCTCACTTTTACTTTTGTTTTCTAAATGATTGATCTTCTCTCAATCAACTTTCTTTGCTATGCTTTTTTCACCTTTTTAGGGAGGGATTGCTGTTTTTTTATCAATGAGGGCAAGCAGCTTTCATTTTATTTTAATAGTTTGGTAGGGCTTTAAAGAGTAGGCGGTTCGTATGTCTTTATGACCCTCAGAATAACAAGTGGGAGGATACACAGAGCAAGAGCTCTTGAAGTCTACCGGGGCACAACTTCTTAATTCATCCATTTAGGCCCTACTAGGAATATGTTGATCCTGGGAACCTGGCTCGGGAACAGCTTCTTACTAGTATAGCAGGGGCTAATCACAGTAAGAGAGTTCAATCTCTGAAATAGAGCTTAGTCTCTCCGAGCTGGCTGCGGGAAACAGCTCTTACTAAGTATATGCAGGGGGCTAATCACAGTAAAGAGAGTTCAATCTCTGAAATAGAGCTTAGTCTTCCCAATAGTAGTACAGATAGGTAGAAGGCGTAGGTTATGAGTTAATCCAATAGAGTCAGAACACCTTTCTGTATAAATAGTGTGGCTCGATGAAACGATCTAAGACTCCTAACACTATGCTTGTGGGCTGGGGAGAGAGCTGCTCTGCGAAAGCTGGCGTTCAATGTTCTTATGGAGGAAACCATATTAGAAAAATAAAATAGAAAAGGCTTCAAAAAAAGAGCGATAGAGTGAATGGGCAGCCTTTAGTCTAATATGTTGCTGTAAGCCGCTAACGTACAGTTTTGCAAACAGTAACTGGCGGCAAAAGGATTCGGTCCTTCAGCTTGGACGATGCGTTCGCGAGTTGACTCGCTCTCTTGCCACGCCTTTTCACTCACTCGCTTGAGTCGGACTCAATTCACTCTTTTTGTTTGGAGGATGCTTCGTTCTTCGGCTCTCTTGGGCTTCTTGCCCAGCAGGGAGCGGCAGCACCAAGGGTGCATATTATATATAGAAACAAGCAAGCCATAGCGAATCACATAGATAACCCATAACACGGTGAATCAGGCGGGCGGGCGAGCGGCGAAAAGGATGGATGTCCTGAGCGGTTGAAAAGAGTCGGTTCGTGAAAACGAAGTATTGATAGGAAATACGGGGGTTTCAGAATCCTCTCCATCGCGAAGTCATAAGTTTTCTCAATCTGTGTTATCTATAGATATAAGTAAGCATGCTTAATCTAAGTAACTATTTTACCCGCTTCGAAAGATTTTAAGTAAAATTAGAATGCTCAGCCATACTCTTCTTCCTATCTCGTTAATTTTATCTTTTTTTTTTTTTTTTTTTTTTTTTTTTTTTTTTTTTTTTTTTTTTTTTGAGTTAACTTCTGTAGGTCAAGGTAATTTGAAAGGCACTAGCAAGATTGAATTCATAAGTAATGCATATGATCACTGTCAATACTGTTAATATATTGGATTCTTTCAATACCTACAAAAATGCTGGTCACCACCATTGGTTTTGGTTTATAAATCTTGCAACTACTGCACTGGCAATCCTGGTATTCTATGGCCTATGCCACATCATATTGTTGCTATGACTTACTACTATGCCTCTGTGACCATCACCACCTAAAATCCAACTTAATATAAATGGCTTTCAATACCACCTCATTATGGTCATTATATCTTTGCCATATTATCCAAAACAGCTTTGTAGTTTCAACCATCCTTGTTCAAAGTATACCGCAATTTGCTTGAAACTCAAAAACCAAAATCCTAAGAGAAACTCTTTTTTATTCTGAAGCGAGTTTCATTCATGATGTGCAATTGAAGAGCGGGTTCCTCTTCCAATTTTATTTTAATATGTACAATCCACTTGCACACATGTGGAGGATCCCCAAAATCTAGAGGAAACTCCTTTTTCTAGTTGCTGCATTAGAAGAATTTTCTAAACTGTGGAATGTGTTATCAACATAATATCTCCTGATGTTCAAGGAGGTCCATCTGTATGTTTTTTTTTTTTTCCTCCAAATGTAGGAGGTCCTTAAGTTTTATTAATAGCTGGTTAGTAGTTCATGTATTCTGGGCTTAAACATGCTGACATACAGATGCAAGACATCCTATATCTTAGTTGTATAGTTATTTGATTCTCTATGTCTGACATACAGATGTGAGACATCCTATACCTTAGTTGTGTAGGGATTTGATTTTCTGATGTCTGACATTTACAAATATGGCCTTTTTTAATTGGAATTTTTCATCACTAATTGCAGGAAACAACTGCCACTGTCCTTACTGCAGCACTTGCTTCAAAGAAACCTGAACAATCTACCGCTGGATCTTCTGAGATTGGCTTGTCTGGCCAAGGGAGTTCTTCGGGTACAGTTGTTCCATCACCTTCAGTGGAAAAACATGTAGGATCCTCAGAGTCAGATGCTAGACCACCAGTCAGTTGTGAGAAAAAAGAAGAAAAAACCAGTTATGAACTTGCCGTGGAGGTAAATATTAAGCAGTGACCACTATTGTTTTAATTGATTTTAACATTTTTAAATACTTCGCTTTTAAAATTTACATTTGCCTGTTGTCTTTTATTCTTAATTGTTTTGTCATTATTTGAACAGGGAAAAAGTACTGAAGCTGATGACCATGCATCTTCTAAATTATCTAATTCCGATGAGTCGCTGAATGTTTGGGCTGAGCAATCCACTTGTCCGAGTGAAGAAGCCATGCAATTACCAAATCCTTTGATGCGAGACCTAGACAATTCTGTAGCTGTTAGCATGTCTTCTAGCACTCAAGATGGCTCCCCTACTCAAAACAAGATCATTAATCATCATCATTCAGATGTTCCTCACAAAGATTCACGATCAGATATTACTGAAGCAAATGAAGCTTTACGAGATGAAGCGAATGACTCTTTTGATGATCGGAAAGCTGACACGTTAGGTAATACTACGAGTGTGAATGCATTGAGTGATGTTCATTTAAACATCCGATTGCCCAGTGGTGTTAGCTTACAAGACAAATTTTCTGTGGGAAGCACTTTAAGGATGATCAAAGACTACGTGGACAGAAACCAAGAAGGTAGCATTGGCTCATATGACCTTGCTATTCCTTACCCTCGCAAGGTGTTCAGCAATGAAGGTATGGATATTTGTTTATCCAGTCATCTTTCATGTGTAATAAATGTTTTAGCTTGGTCAATTTTAATGGTTTTTTTATTGTTGAATGTCAGTGCACCTGTTTGTGATTGATTTTTTTTTTTGAACGAATGATAAATTTGTTTTTAACCATTTGCAGATTTAAGCAAATCATTGTCAGAGTTGGGTCTGTTCAACAGACAAGCGTTGATAGTAGTCCCTCATCAAAGAGCCACAAGCTACAACAGAGGAGGCTCTTCCTCTGACCATACTACAAGTGATTCATCGACAGCGAATAATGGGGGATATTTTGCACATATCAAAAGTATGTTGTCTTACATCAATCCTCTTTCTTATATCGGTGGTAGTACAAGCTCATCCAGTTCTGGACAAGCACAACCTGGCATCTGGGAGTACAGTAAGCACCACATCTTGTTCTAATGACAATTTTTTAATTTCTGATAGCTGAGATGAAAGCCTCTATTAAGGTCACTTTTGTGGCCAGAATATTCCAATATATGCAACCCATACTATTTGCATATATTCTTTATGGCCAATGTTCTTGATGTGATGATCTGGCAATTAATCTGTGTTCACAAATAGTATTCATTTTCATTTTACTGTTTTTTGTCCTTTTATGTAGGTCCAAATCCGGCACTTCAGAATAACTTGGCAAGATCAGAGAGGCCCTACACCGGCTCGACACCAAATCAAAGCACTCCTGCAGCTGGCAGAAATGATAACAGAAGCAAACCACCAACAGTGTCCCATTTTGGAAGCAATATTCACACACTGAAACGCGATGAAGATGATAACCAATTCGGTGACAGAAACGCCTTCTGGAATGGAAATTCAACTCAATATGGTGGCAACAGCGATGGTAAATAAGGCTTCTGGTTGGGTTTTTGCACTCTGATCACCGGTTATTAAGCGGGGAGCTCTATTTGCGGTTTCCTACCAGTCACCGGCTTTAAAATTATTACTTGTCCTGATATATTATTCTAGAGGAAACATTACTGTCTAAAGACGTTATCGTTAATAATACAAAGGAGATGACTTATTGGTAGTTGTAAATATTTCATTTTTACCGTTTGGATATATTCTTACTGAAGAGCCTACTTGTAATTTTTGCTCTTAAAATAAATTATTGAATTTTAGAACCTTGCTTTTCCTCGTTTGGTTCATAGAATATGATGAAAATAAAATGATTATTTCATTTGCATTACTATTATTAGTTCTAAATTAAAATTTTGAAATACGTATGCTATAGAATACTTGTACTGTCCCTTAATCTCAATACGGTACATTAGATAGATAGCATATAAACTAAAATGTGAAATTGAATTTAGCATCAAACTCATTTATTTTTTCAACAATTGACACTTGCAGTGTAAATATTAATCCCATCTTCATTTCAAATACATAAATCCAAATTGGACTTAATTTAAAATCCTATTTGCTGAATTTGGTATAAATAAATTTCAAAATTTTGTAAAATTATTTAAGAGTTTCATATGAATAATTTTAGTGATTCCAAAGAAGACTAGATGACAATAGGTACATTGAAATGCAAGGATTCATTTCCAAGCATAACATCAACAATAGAGCTTTTCCATTTTAAAGAAGGAAAATTAATAAGGGGGTTTCATTTATAACTAGCTAGAAATAGATATTACTAGGTATAATGCAAATCCCATCAGAAACTTTTATATCTGGCTTATAGAGGCAGTTGTAAGAAGCATTATAACATGCATTGTAAGAAGAGATTATGCCATTCCTGATAATTTTACAATGTAATTTAATTTGATTAATGCCAAATTACAACTTCTAATTAATCCACTTGGTGGCTCTATTAATCAAACATTCTACACCGAGACTGATGTGAAATGGGAACAACTTTTTAATGATACATTTCTTGGTTTAGCCAAATGATTAAAATTACCTTTGGCCGTATATTTCTCAGTTAGAGCCCTTGGAGTAGCTATAGTTATCTGCCTAAACAAAAAGAAAAGAAAAGAAAAATGTTTCAGGTTCGACGTAAAACGCCCATATAACTACAATGAAAATTTTGTATCAATACAAAGTTGCAGAAAATATGAATATGCTAACCTTGGAGGAGATGATTCTTGCATTGTTGTTTTATTTGATAATATAGAGATCTTGTTTAACTATGGAGTAGCATCCGATGACGTTTCCTTGTTCCATAATGAACTGTTCCTGAAACGTGCCCATGCGCTTGCTAGGAATGTCGATCGAAAGATCTTTGAAATTAGGCAATCCTTCTACTTGTAAACCATCCCCACATATGAGAAACTGATTTCCAATTATAAAGGATCCAGAAACACGAATAGCCACTCCATCTTGACCATGAGCACGGCACTGTAGTTTTTCCACGACATGGACAAGTCTTTCAGGTGGCCAATCACCAGCTAATGTGCTTCGAATGTTTGACAAGGTTGCGAAGATATCTTTAGGGCCAACAGATTGCTTCCCAGAAAAACTACAAGAAGGCCATAGGAAAAAAGAGAAAAAAAAAAAAAAGAAGCTATGTTAGCCTATTGGCAAGAACACACAAATGACCTGCAGTTTCAAATTTAAAAAATAATAAAAAACTCTCTGCTTTGAATAAAATAAGAAACTATAGTTCCTTAGTTCAGTACCTAAAAATTGAGCCTTCATTATATAATGTCTTTGTGTGCTGCCAAAGCTCATCCGGTCCATCAAAAAGTAAGTAGTAGTGTATTGTCAGCATCTGGTCATGAAAGGAAATACACATCAAAATCCAATAAGCAGTAGCATGAGCGACATGAGCCGCTTCGAGAATTATTAATGAACGTTCGGATTCAATTTACTACTGTTAAGACAAGACATACTGTAAGATAAAGCTAGATGGAAAAAATATGTTGCAAATCCATCTAAGATTAAATAAAACTTGTCACAACTCATTTGATCAATATGCATATCAACATGAGTGATTACTTTTGTTTCAAAAACTGATTATTCTTTTAACTTTAAACATACTCCACTGTGAACTCATTAGAGGAACGAACAAAAGATCTGTCAGGTCAAATCTGAGATCAGATCGGTAATATCACATGTTTTTAATTGACCAATATAGAGAATTTCACAAACAAATTCAAGTTGGCACATACTTACATCTGCTAAATCCTTCAGTTTTTGTGTCGGATCAAAAACACTTCGGACAAATGCTGCAAGGTCTACGCTAGTTTGTGCATACTTTGTAATAAATTCATGGGAAAGGAGCTGCAGCACAAGAATACCAAATAAATCACAACAAATTTGAAGAAACTTGTCTTTATTCAATTCAAACCTTAAATATTCAATTATGTTTTAATTGACATGGGGAAATTAAAAACTAGCAAAAAAATTAAAATGTGCTTTTTGATCAATTTGAGTATTCAAAGCAAGGAAATATATGTGTATCTTTGTGTATGGGCGTGTCTACACATTTCAAACCCACAAACCCCATCAATTATTTGCTTACCTGCTCTGCTGTTGGCCTAGCATCTGGATCCTTCTGGAGGCATGCATCAATAAATGAGCAGAACTCTGGAGAAAAATTGTGCTTTGATGGTGATGGTGATGGATCTTCCAAGATCTACCATGAACAAACAAAAATTTAGTTGCACAATAGCAAAACAATGCATGGAGAAGAAAAGCTTCAAGGCGACATAGCTTTCACGCATGCACACACGACAAACACACATATATATAATCAAATGGCATCAATATGTCACCTCACCTGCAACATAAGATTCACAGGTCCTTCGCTAGCTGTGTATGGGAACTCCCCTGTGCCACACTCAAAAAGGGCAAGACCAAGGCTCCAAATATCAGCTGGATAAGAATAGCTGTCATTTCGTATTCGTTCGGGTGACATGTATGTGACGGTCCCAACGAAAGTAGCACACTGGAAAATTTCATATTTGGAAATAAAATTAGCAACCGCATATCAATTTATAATAGATATTTATATCTCCGAGTAACACAAAGTGAGAAACACCACTTGAAATTGACACACAATGAAGAAACAGTTGAAGACATAAAAGAAAGCATGTATTAGGTAGCATATACTAACCATTGCCATTGAACTCTCAAGGCCAGCACTTATGCCAAAATCTGTTATTTTTGGCTCCCCCTTGAGATTCACAAGTAGATTTGCGGGTTTTATGTCTCTGTGAACTAAATGTCTAACTCCGTGCAAGTAGCTTAGTCCCTTGAAGGAGAAAAAAAAAAGCATTAAAAAGGGAAAAAAAAAGTCATAAACACAGCCAAAAAATAATGAAGCATGTAGCAGTCAGATTCAAGCTGCAGTAACAAGAAAAAGAGAATCCAAACAATCATAATTTCCTTACATGCAGGAGCTTTTGAAACATACATGAAAGCACTGGTTCTGGTATTCTTTTCCGCACTTGTAAGATATCTGCCAAAGATCCTCCATCCATGTATTCTAAAGCTATGCTTATTTGCCCAGAGTCGGCAGTATAAAATGCTCCGTGGAATTCCACAAGACCCTCATAACAAGGTGCCTCGCACAGTGTCCTTATTTCAGTAAGAAGCTGTTGTCTTTTCTCCTAATAAGACAAAATAATATCAATCGTATAAATCAGCAAGAAAGTAAAATGTATTACTCATGGGGCTTCTACAATGAAACCCTCCTATCTTCAACCTAAATTTGTTGGGCCTCCACAGTATTAATTATGCAAGTACAGGAACCTGGTGGCTACAATTCTGAACATCCATTGTTGAAATAGATATCGAAGCATATACATTTGTTGCAAAATAATCAAAGCAGATAAAGCTAGAATATCCCCCATGATGATATCATGGTATCTATAATGCTGCTCTTTAAAAATAATGAGTGTGCATGACATAAGTAGTTAGATGCATATACGAAATGAAGTGTCATTTCTCATCATTATCCATATAATAGATGCATTCATCATCAACTGTTTACAAAATTCAAAGGGAAACAAACCATCTAGGATACTTGAAAATCTTTAAATGGTAAGGAAATTTTAGCTTAAAAAAATAGATATTACTAGGTAGACCTTGCAATGGAGTTGAAATGTATATCCTCCCATCTAAAGAATTTGATACCCAAAAAAAAGCCTCCTTCATTAGGGACAATGCATGAAACAAGTACTTGAACTGAAATATGTTATTGCTGTGGGGGAATGTACAAAGTACAATTCAAACAAAAATCCTTCTCCTCAAATCAAGGCGCTAACAGAAAATAAGAACAAGTAATAGTAAGAAATGCTGACCTTTTCAAAAATATTAATTTTCTTCAGGGCAATAATTCTATGAGTTGGAATATGAATCGCTCTTTGAACAACGCTGCTAGCACCACTGCCTATAGCTCCAAAAATTCTCATCTCGTGGGAGGCACATCGATATGTTTTCTCACCATGGTCTGTTTCAGTTTCTGGCGAAGAAGTACATTTTTGCAATCCTAGCTCATTTATGTTGTACACTCCATATGATCTGCTTAGTAAGTTAACAGTTCCACCATCTGACAGCTTCAAATACCCAACAATATATCAGCATAATACCAACCTACTTAACCTGCATAGTTTTTTTTTATAACTGAAACTTACCATGTAAGAATCACTGGGGTCCAATGTTGACCCAGCTGAGAAGCCTTTCTCAGCATCAAATAATGGTGCGAGCTTCTTTCTTAATTCCTCCAACCCGGCCATTATCACTTCAATTGCAGAAACATTAATTACTTCCAATTTGTTCTGTCTGCACATAAAGAAACTTGTTCATTACTATTTCAATTGGAAAAAAAAAAAAAATGAAATTGCCAAATTCAGCATAGAAATTAAACTTGGTAATGTGAAGTTACAAAATCTTAATGATGCGAACAGACATTCCAAAGATCTCGATGCAATGAAGCCACTGCATAACTAATTGAAATCGAAACATAAGTTATTCTGATTATACTGTTATCAAAGCACATCTGTTATGATTCATTTCTACAATTTGCTAAAATTTCTTAAGAATTCATACAACTGAATCCATCTAAGTTGGCATCAAGACTCGATCAAGTAGACTATACATATTCGTTCCATTTTAGCCTAAGAGAATGCATTGCGATTAATTAACCAACTTGGATAATTATCTCCAAGAAACACTAAAAAATTCCCAAAAAACATATTCTGAAACTTCAATAAAGAATCTTATACTTAATAATATGTGATCAAATTTGGTATGTTTAATTATTAATTAAGACCATAAAATTCAAAACTTTACGATAAAGTAGAAGACTAATTTAGAAATTAATTCAATCCCAGGACAAAATTTCCAAAACAGCAATCATAGAAAGCAGTCAAAACCCAGATGTATAAATGAATCAAGGAACTTGAACAACGAGTATTATGATAAGAAAATTAATAGCAGATGCTTTGGAAAAAAAATAATGATAATTTCAAATAGAAACCTATGAAGAAAAAGGAAAGTTCAATAATTTAAGGTGCGAATCTCTTACAATTATTGTTCCTGCGGAATCAAACTGTAACTGACTGTACTTTCGTTTAGCTTGTTGCTTGAGAAACCCATGACGATGTTGCTTTATGGGTGGTTTGGTTTTTACTTATATACAGTTTCAATCCGTCTGGTTCTTACTTTTGGACATCCAGAAAGCGCCACGTGGAGGAGAATACATGTCAAATATTTATTCTTTTTTCCCTATAACAAATAAATTCCAAAAATTCTACGAAATCCATTTTAAATTCTACATTTATAACATTAAAATTATTATTTTAATTTTACAAATTGAATTGATAAAATATAACTAAATTAAAATTTACCGATATATATAATTTTCAAATAAATTTCACAGAACTAAAAGCATCAATTAAAAAAAATGTTTATACTATTCATCTCTTCCTGCTTTTCATTTTGACTCCTGAAAATTAACGTTGGAATTAGGATAATCAGCAGTGGCCTCCATCTTTTTTTAATTTTAAAATTTTCTAACATTTACCTTGTAAAAAATATAGAAAATTTCATATTTTATTTATAAAACAACGTATTATCTTTTAATTTCGATCTCTTAATTTGAAATTTTTTGTTCGTCCTCTCATATATATTTTTTAATTTATAGAAAAATATTTCTAGCGCTGCAGGATATGATTGATTGGTTAATATTTCAAAATTGAATCTTGGTTCATTGGCTTATATACAGTTTCAATCCGTCTGGTTCTTACTTTTGGACATCCAGAAAGCGCCACGTGGAGGAGAATACATGTCAAATATTTATTCTTTTTTCCCTATAACAAATAAATTCCAAAAATTCTACGAAATCCATTTTAAATTCTACATTTATAACATTAAAATTATTATTTTAATTTTACAAATTGAATTGATAAAATATAACTAAATTAAAATTTACCGATATATATAATTTTCAAATAAATTTCACAGAACTAAAAGCATCAATTAAAAAAAATGTTTATACTATTCATCTCTTCCTGCTTTTCATTTTGACTCCTGAAAATTAACGTTGGAATTAGGATAATCAGCAGTGGCCTCCATCTTTTTTTAATTTTAAAATTTTCTAACATTTACCTTGTAAAAAATATAGAAAATTTCATATTTTATTTATAAAACAACGTATTATCTTTTAATTTCGATCTCTTAATTTGAAATTTTTTGTTCGTCCTCTCATATATATTTTTTAATTTATAGAAAAATATTTCTAGCGCTGCAGGATATGATTGATTGGTTAATATTTCAAAATTGAATCTTGGTTCATTGGAACAATATAAAGCAATACCCAAAACTCCCATTAATAAAAAAAATTGAACCCCCTGCCATATACAAAATAAACTTTGCAGCTGAATACAGATATTTCTTTCCTCCTACATTGATAGAATTAGATAAATGGAAATTGATTCTAACTCCCACATGATAAAAAAAGTAAAAAATCTTGAGAAGAAAATAATCCTATTTGACCAGTATACATTGCTAACATCAGAAATGGAATAATCGGGAATCCCAATTAATTGGCCGAGCCGCTAAAATAGTTAAAGTAGCGATAAATCCTGTCAATAAAATCGGTCCTAAAGAAAATCCATCTATTCTCAATCTCCAGTAAAAATCAAAAAACTTGTCACATTAAAAAATATTCATCATTGATTGTAATAAAGATGTTTTAGATATGTTAAGTCCAAACTACATTAACAATTAATCATATTTATTAATAATAGGAATTTATAGAAAGTCACGTTTACCTTTAATTAATAATATTTCTTTCCTATTATGAAAGATTCAATTTTTTTTTTTTTTTTTTTTTTTTTTGTGGGGATGAAAGATTCAATTTACTTATAATTAAATTAACCAATGTGAGATTCTCCATTTACTCATTATATATTCCAACACTTTCCTTTCAAGTGAGAAAATGGTGAAAGCTTAGGTGTCGTTTTGATAACATATGGTGGCCAAATATAATATTTTTTTAATTTTATATATTCTTTATTACCATGGAAAACTATATTAGTATTATTTCTTATTATTTAATGTAATGTTTGACTGTCATTGTTTTAATAACGTCAGGTATATTAGACTAGTAAAATCTAATCATTTTTTTTATCAGCAAATATTTTTTTTTAATTTTATTAATATAGTCCAAGAAAAACTTGTTCATATTGAAATACAAATCCAAGAAAAATACAAATTGTTCATATTGAAATTAAAAAATAAATAACAATTGTAATTTTCGAGGACATAAGCACTATATTATGGGATTTAAGCAATTACAGAATCTTATTTTTTGCATATAATAATAATAATTAAATGCAGGAATTCCTCTGGAAAAAAAAAAAAAAAAAAAAAAAATCAATGAAGATAAAAAAAAAAAGAAAAAAAAAAAACACTAAGCAGGTCAAGCAAATAGCTGGCCAAACTTGGGTTTTATGTTGGAGGACTTAAACTTAAGCAAACATAATTCAAGAAGGACCATCAAACAGAAAGTGTAACTTGTAATCGAGGATGATAATTTGGATGCCTCCAAGTTCGTCTGAATGTAAGTTCAAAGCTCATTTGAATCACCCCCTTTGATCGAAATATGTGTGTGTGCTCAAAGAAATTGCCACAGTGGATTCGTTGGTCTGGGGTTGTTGTAGGGCTGCACACAATAATGCGATCAAAATATAATGTGTGAACATCTCAAATTCTTAGCCTTGGCCGACCGGAACTACTCAGCAGAAATACGGTTGATATAAATAATTAACAATGTCGAGCACCGAAATTGAAATTACAAAAGTAAGGGATATAAAAATATCCTACGAAAAACGGCGTTAGGTCATAATATGTCATTAAAATGACATTTTATGAAATATAATTTTTATCACGAATAATAATGTGTATATAATTGATATAGAGGAAACTGATCACTCGTGAAAATTGCTTTGAAACTGCGAAAACGACTGAAAAAAAAAAAAAAAAAAAAAAACACTAAGCAGGTCAAGCAAAAGCTGCCAACTTGGGTTTTGGAGGATTAACTAAGCACAAATCAAGAAGACCATCAACAGAAGTGTACTTGTAATCAGGATATAATTTGGATGCCTCCAAGTCGTCTGATGTAAGTTCAAAGCTCATTTGATCACCTTTGATGAATATGTTGTGCAAGATTGCCACAGGGATGTTGTCTGGGTGTGGTAGGGCTGCAACAAATCAATCAAATAATTAATAATTCAAATTCTACCTTGCACCGAAATAGAAACAAAGGGATATAAAAATCTTGCACCGAAATGGAAACAAAGGGATATAAAAATCTAGAAACGACGTAGTAAAATGACATTTAAAATATAATTTTACACGAAAATAGTATTTTATTAGAGGAAATGGACACGTAAAATGCTTTTGAAATGCGAAAACGACTGTGACTAGAAATTTCCATTCACCATAATTAAAAATTTCTTACTTAAACATATATAGTAAAAAAGCTGAGATGGTGATTATAGAAAACTCACTTTCAGAAAGCTTGACAATTTCTTCCTCAGGAACATGAATTTTCTTGAAGGTTCGTCCAGTTTTTGTCTCCCAGGAAGAAATTAAATCTAACTGAGACACAATATTTCCTGGTGGCCTGTAAATAATAACACGGTTGGCTACTCTTGGATCTATTGCTGCTCTTATGGTGTAGGCTGCCACATCTTCCTCATAATTCAACACAGCTTCATATGCCAAAGAAGAAAACAAATTAATTAATTATTCATTAATTACGAATAAAATTACCACATGCTACTTGACTAATTTAGATGTTAATTTATTGTATTTATGAATAAATTATTTTAGACGTCTTTGAACTTTGTGTCCATTTTTATTATGATAATGACAAAATTTTGTACCATTCAAATTTGATTTGCTGCAATTATAATATTTTGACTTGCGATATTAAAATTAAGAACTCTTGCAAACCGTAGAAACGGACACGAATCTGAATGGGTACGGATTTGAACATCTCGTAAAAGTATTAAAAAAAAAAAAAAAAGTGTTAAGAACTCACCCTTGGGTTCACCACTCCCATAAACAACAAGTTCTTCACGTTCTTCATGTGGATGGAGAATATAATCCACAAAATATGCAGCAAATGAATTTGCAGAAACATAAGTATGGCAGATTCCAGCTTCTTCTATCGCCCTTCTGATCTTCCTTTTGTTTTCCAGTAGAGCTTCAAAAGGTGGCAACCCACTTACCCTATCTACTTCGTTTCCAAATTCTGAAGGTATAAACCTCTGCTATTACAGTAAATTAAATAATTAGTAAATGTTAAAAAAAGAAAGTAATTAATGGCGTCAAGTTATTAATCTTTGAATAATTAGATTAAAAAATCATTAAGTAGACATCATTTACGTTGATAAAAAATTCATGAATTAATTTAAATTAATTTATCATCTCATGGTAACAAGTTTCCAAATGTCAATATTTTTTTTTTCTTTTCTTTATTTTAGTTTTAGTAATACTTCTAAAACTATCCATGTCATACGTATATTTTAATTTATTTTTTAAATGTATTTATGTGTTAAATAGTATAATTATTGAAAATTTTCTAAAAAAATTATAAATTATTAAAAAGTCAATGACCTCTTGTATCTAATTGAAATCTTAAGTTAGAGATTCTGATAATTTTTTAGCCATTAATTAAACAAGAATTATCAAATAATTTAAAATTAAAAAAAAATATTAAAAATCATAATTCTAAATGCTAATTCAAACACCAATAGCTATGCCGTTCTCCATATATGACTATATGTATTCACATGTCTCAAGCCAATTGCTAATAACTTAATTATTATATTTCTTGAATATGCTATGCATTAAGATCCTTTTTTTTTTTTTAAATTCATTAACAGAGATTATTTAATATATAAATTTCACGTGAATATGAGTAAATCATGCATTATTTTTATAAGACAAATACATAAAATAAATTATAACGTAAATAAATCTTAAATTTGGAGATTTCAAAGTATTAAAAACATTAATTCATGCAATTACCTTAATATTGCCTGCATCTTTAATAGCAGCAATTAATTTAAGTTGGTCTAAATGTTGAGGAACTGCGAGAGTAGAAATCACCACATCTACTTGTTTAACGACTGAAACAAGCTTCTCTTGTTCCTCCAAATCCCCCTGCAAATAACAAGTTATTTCACGTAATTAGGTTCTTGAAAACAAAGAAAATATCATATCATAAAAACGAAAAGGAAGAACATAAATATGTATATACCTGGAAAACAGTGACACCCAAAGACTGGAAATCCTTGTGAAGCTGAAGCTTTGAAGGATCAGAATTTGGTTTCAATGGGCGAACGTAAATAAAAGTTGGATGACCCATTGAAATGCTTGCTTTCACCATGTATTTTCCAAGATACCCAGTTGCTCCTATTATCAGTATCTTACTTTTCTCTCCTGCCATCGTTAAACCTTACTGTTATGAAGCTAGGTTTGTCACCCTTTTTCTTATGAAGCCAGAAAGCTTTGTTTGGTTATTCTTGTGTTCTTGGGTGCCATTATATAGAAAAAAATTTACATGTATGCCTATTAAAATATTCAAGCAACTTGTATTGCTTGTCATGGCATGTGAGACACAAAAAGCGTCAGCTCTGGGTTTCTTCTTATTTAATTCCCAAATGCAAGTTTAGGTAACAACATATATTTTAATCACCTTTTTCAACCTTCTATCTCACGTGAATAATCTGTTTTTTATTGGATTGAGATGGTTTAAGGTCGGTTCGGCAATATCATGTGTTGTAATAGTTATTAGTTGTTGTAGTAACTATTATCGATTTAAATTAAAAATGTTCGGTAAAAATATCGGTTTAATTTAAACTGACAAAAAACAATATTAATTGTTTAATTAGCTGGATTGGGAGGAAAAAATAATATGGTTTGTCAAAATAATTTAATTAAATTCTAAACGCTAAAAATCTAAATATTAGAGTGCTTAACGTTTCATAAAAAGCTTACTCAACATTTAAAAGCGATTATAAAAGTTATGTTATTGAACACTATAATTAATATAGAATAGGGTTTTGACTTGATCAAAAAAATAAAAGTTAGTTCAAAGGCTGTTAATATGATAATCGAAATCAGCGGGCGCTGAATAAATGTGAAGCAGTTTGCAAAGTTGTAGTTCACAATATTATTGCATTCCTAGAATAACTTTGTGATTGAAAGAAATTACATTTTTTTATGATAAACTCACGAGGGAGATTTTTCCAGTGGTCCAATATATATGTTGTTTCACCTCCACACGTTCACTGACTGAAAGGAATTTCATTTTCCTTCACGTTCAAGAAAATGACACATCAAATATGAGTCAGACAATGTTTTTTTTTTTTTAATTAATTTGGGGAATTTGATGACTTTGGCTAAATTAATGTGTACTGGATATTTGATTAAAAAAATTCTTAAGTTTGATGAATTTCTATGATTTGAATTTGGGATTTTTGATCTAAATGAATAAAATTGAGTTATAATCATATTATTAGAGATACGTTGAAGCTTGTAGCGTGATTTAATTAACGAGGATGTGTGATATATGTTTGAAGTTTGACAAAAATATCTTTTCTAAATGCTTAAGCTAAAAGATTTTTCTATCAATGGAAAGTTGGAACTTTGATCAAATTGACTGAAATAATACTAAGTGAATGCTTAATAGTGTAATTAGAGATTAAAATAATATTATAATATGCTTAATTGATGGTTAATGTCTCTTTTGGAAAGTTTATAATATAAATTCTAAAACAGTTGACGTGTTTATTTGATTAAGCAAATGTAAAAAACTTGTATTTATAAATTTGAAAAATGACAAAAAAAATTAATTGTTTAATTAAAATTTAATTATGATTGGGTATATGATTATTAAAATAATGTAATTAAAAGTTAAACGATAAATCTAAACATTATAGTACTTAACGTTTCATAAAAAGTTTCATCAATTCCTAAAAACTATTATAAAAATTATGATATTGAACGCTATAATTAATAGAGATAGAGTTTTGATTTAATCAAAAAAATTAAAAATTAATTTAAAAATTATTGCCGAATATAATTTCAATATGAAAGTCGATTAGATAAACAGAATACGAAGGAGTTTACAAAGCACTAGCTCACAATATTATTGCATTCCTAAAATAAATAAATAAATAAAATGTGAAAGAAAAAAAAAATTACATTTTGCTTTTATGATGAACTCACGTGGGAGATTTTTCTAGATTGTTTCACCTCCACACGTTCACTGATTCAAATGAAATTCATTTTCCTATAAATTCAAGTAAATGACAAATAAATATGAGTCAAACAATGTATTCTTTTTTTTTATACACACTAGACACATGTAATAATTATTTAAAATTATATTTTTTGAATAATTTATTTATTTAATTATTATTGTTAAAGCTGACTTGACGTGTAAATCTTAATATAAATAAAATAAAATAAAATAAAAATTACTAAAACATATTCCATCTACCTAAAATAATCCCACTTGATGACTTTGGAAGTTTCATAGGAAAATATCGAAATCTATACACATTGATGTCCTCCTTTGTAAGGACAACCAATCTTAGTTTAAGGATTGATCATTCTGCAAAATAAAAAACTATATAGTTGACCCAGTCAAACTAAATGCAAAACAACCGGCTCTGAAATAAACTTTTAACTAAGACCGAGCCAATTAAATTAAATTGAAATGATTCGATTTGATTTTTTTACAGTTAATTAAATTTCAATTTTAATAAAAAAAATTGAAAATTTTTAATTGGGTTTGATTTTGTTAAACTCAATAATAAACTTACATTTATAGAAATATTAAAATTGAATTAAATTGAAAATGACGACGGTTTTCAGTTTGATTTAAAATTAAAAAACTTTTAATTTATTCAATTGAATCAATTCGATTTGGTTCGAATCAAATTGATTGAATGTTGACCTCAACTTTTAATATTCTTTTTTTTTTTTTTTTGGGAAATAATTTATCTTATATTTAATTTAATTAAATGTAAGGTCTAGGACTTTGCATCGTGTGTAAAATCTTAATATAAATAAAATAAAATAATTAAAAAATTTACTTAAAACAGTATTTCCCATCCTACCAATAATAAATAATCCCACTTTGGATGACTTTGTGAGAGTATTTCATAGTGGGCAAAAAATATTCGCAAATTCTATACACAATGTGATGTTCCTCCTTGAAGGACAAGAGACCTTCTTTAGTTTTAAGGTATTTTTTTTTTTTTGTTCATTCTTGGACACAAATAAAAAAAACTAATATTAGTAACCCGGTCTCAAAACTTAAATGTGCTAAAAACATTACTCGCTTCTGACCATATACCTTTTATACCTAGCGACCCGAGCCAAATTATATATTAAATTGAATATGATTTCTTATTGATTTTTTTTTACAGGTTAAATAAATTTCAATCTTGCTTTTAATAAAAAAAAATTTAGAAATAAATTTTAAATTGGTTATGAAATTTTGTGTAAACTTTAATAGAAAATAAAACTTTTGTACACTTATATAGCAAATATTAAATTGAATTAATTGCCAAAAATGACGACGGGTTTTCCAGTTTGATTTTAAAATTAAAAAACTTTTAATTTATTCAATTGAATCAAATTCGATTTGGTTCGAATCATATGTTAGAGGAGATAATGGAGTGATTGATCCTCATAACTTTTTTTAATATGTCTTTTTATTATTGTTTATTGGCATTTGATAATATGTGTAAGTTGTGTCTGAGGGATTTAACTTATCTTATCTTTCCTTTATTCATATCATATAGATTGAAATTCAGGCACACTCTTTTATTTGAATTATTTTTTAGAGATCAGAAGTAATTAACAAGTTTTGTCTTGCCTTTTTTTAATTTTCTTTCTTATTTACTTTTTTCCATAATCATGAGAAACACTCTTCCTTCTTTAGCATTTTTTTTTTTTTTTTTTTTGGGCATGAGATTATTTAATGGTCATTTTCTACTTATTTCTTTCCTTTTATCATATCAAAAGATGAAAATTCAAGCACTCTTTTATTGAAATTTAGAAAGAAAATTACATTTGTCTTGCTTTTTATTTTTTTATTTATTTTTCCATACAAGACACTCTTCTTTAGCATTATTAATTTATTATATAGTTCACCTGTGCGCTTGTCCATGCCAACTTGTTGTGCACTCCTTTATTGTCAAATAATTTTGAGAGTAGGTTGATATCTTTCTCTCCTATGCTGTTCACTCTATTTAAATTTTTTTTTTTTCCATTATTGACCAAATGAAGGAAATATAAAACACTTTTTCCTTAATTATAAATTGGAATAATATTATTTTAATTTCATCAATTCAATTTTTAAGTCATTAGAAAAGAAAATCAAACACGAGTTTTGAAATTGATTTCAATTAAGGAAATATAAAACACGTTTTTTTTCTTAATTATAGATTGGAATAATATTATTTCAATTTCATCAACTTTGAATTCATTTTTGTAATCATAAGAAAAGAAAATCAAACCCAAGTTTTGAAATTGATTTTCAATATCATGTATGATTTTATTCCATTTGTCACAATACTATGGCTTACCTATTAATGATATTTTATTTTTTTTTTTATAAAAAAAAATATAACAATTAAAATAATGCAAACGATTTGCATTTTTTTAGATAATTTAAGTATGCTTAGTTAATTATTAAATTTATAATTTTTGAAATTTAACTATGAAATATTTTCCTATCGCTTGATATACCTATAGCATTTTTCTAGAGGTTAAAGTAGCGTTTTAGAAAAAATTAACTCATGGAACGTTTATTTTTAACATACGTTTTACTCAAATAACTAACAGGTAAGTGCTATTAGTAAAAATAATAACTATCAAAAGCTAATTTTGCCTAATAAATCCTTATTTTCAAGGGTGTTTATCCATAATTGCACAGATTTTATCGTAATTTGAAAAATTACATACAATTAATCCTAGGCTAAAATTGAAAATTAATTTAATTTTGGAAGGCTGGAAGATCAAATGAGGTATTCAACATATCACCATTTTGTTGATCTAATCCTTAGGTTTAAATTGAAGTCAACTGAATTTTTAATTAAAATTTGTGATTCATGAACTTTATAAATTATTATTAATCAAGCTAATGACTCTATTGATCCGGCCAATGTGACAACTAAAGAATTCAATTTATTTATTTTATATATATATATATGTCTAAGGCCATTTTTGTTATAGAAAGATGGAGATGATGGTATATATTCGAAAATATAGAAACCTGACTTATTAAGTTCTTTTTGACTATTTCAATAAAATTTAAACGTTTTTGCCAATCAAAAAATATATTTGAAAGTCCGCTATTTGGCATGACTATGGCTTTTACTTATTTTTCATTTGGACATCACTATCATTTTCCATGTGCAGTGGACCAAATCAAAAAAATTCAAAAAAATATGTAAATGTACTTTCACGACTATTTCCTGTAATTAATTAATTTAGTTTCATCAATTATATATTCAATTTATATGGAAATAAATGAATTAAAAATATAAAATTCATTAAAAATCATCGAATTTTGTTTGAAATATAATTTAAAATATGAAATTCAATTGAATTTTAAATTTTTATCATTCCTCCGTGATTCATAGGATTTGACTCTGTTACTACCAGGTCTACCGTATTTTTTAGTCTTTCAGTTAATAATAAAATAATATTCAGCAATATAGTTTAATTAATTAATTAGTTTCATCATAGTAATAATTATTTCTCAATAATTATATGGAAAATAAAGATTGGAATTTATAATATCCTTATTAAAGTGTGCATTAAAAATCAGTTTCGAATTTTGTTTGAATATTAATTTGTGAGAAATAAGTGACAATTCAATTGACATGATATATTGTGTAAATATTTTTATCATTCCTTACCCCGTAAACCAGATGTTCATGCGATTGACTCTCTCTGTAATTCTACTACCTATGAAGTCTACCGTATTTATTTGTGTCTTTTTCAGTAAATAATTAATAAAAAGATATACTCCTTTACAGACAAAGTGAAATATGACTTATATTATATATAATGACCTCATGAATATATTTGACTACCTATATATATTTTCCTTATACCTACCATCGTACAGTGTCTCTATAATTGAATTTGGTCCTCTATTTCCAAAATAACCCCTTATAAGAAAGAAGCGTCGTAAATTCCGTCCAGTGTATATTCGTATGGTCTTAATTGAATTGGCTTATTCAAAATAGACCCCTTATAAGAAAAAGCCGTACAATCAGAGCTCCCCAACGTATAAAAGGGGTGGACAGCTGAAACGTTATCACTATAGCGTTCTCCAATCAGAGCCTTTCTTCCTAGATCGTCTATATTTATGACAGTGGATTTCGATTCATGTAGTGTCAGGCTAAGCCGTAACTCAGGGGCAAAGCTCTTCGAGTGCTAAAGGGGGCCAGGCCACCCCAATAATTATTTTTTTAAAAAAACTCTTGTAAAAAATTATATTTTGATCGTTAAAAATATAAAAAATTATAATTTGACCCCCTAAAAATTTTCAAAAAATGCATTTGACTCTCCTAAAATAATTGTTTTAACTTCTGCCTCAACCCCAATTTATTTTTTATTGTTAATGTTTATCATATCTTATCTTATTTACGTTTGGTCACTGGCATTTCCAGTGAAGCGTGGTGGTGGAGCGAAAACATTTTAGCAAATGGGGGACAAAATTATAACACAAGTTAAATGGGTTAAGTGTTAAATCTGTCTTTGAATGTTTCAAAGGATAATGGGAAAAAAAATCTTTTACGTGGATACGTTTTACAAGTTTTGGAAATTCTTTTAGGAAAAAATTTATATTTTATGCTTATGTAACAATATTACGGGATCACAAATTGCTGTTATTATGATATAATCATTTAAATATTTCAACTCCAGCTAACTCAGGCGGGAATTCAGCTGCGTTGGCTGTGGCCGTGACGGCAATGGATTTAGTTACCATTGTAACTACTGTGGTTTTCATATACACACTTACATGTGCTCAATACCCACTTTCAGTTTCTCATCAATCTCACTCTCATATGCTGCAACTTACTTTTGAATCAATAAAGGGTTTTCTTGTGATATATGTCAAAAGATAGGGACTGATCATTGGCTGTACAGGTGTGGAGCTTGCGAGTTTGATGCTCATATGGAGTGTGTAATGCTCAACAGATTGGTCAAAGTTTTGTCCAAAGTTTTATAGGTGGTGGTGGTGGTGGTGGTGACAGCAGCAATGCTGATCCTAATGGTGGTGGATGTGATGGTGAAGATCTAGGATCTTCAATTATTAGCATTGTGTTTGGTGATTCTGAATCACAAAATTAGACTGTTAAAAAGACTCATTTCTTTTGTTTGCTATTGAAGAAAAAGAGCTTTCAAAAACTACTATTTTTTGGAATGCTTTCCGACAATATTTAACCCCAGTTGATAAGAATAAGAACTTTAATCCTTTTCAACTGAATTCCTCACATTGCATTAAAGATTCATCTCTGATGAAAAAAATAATGGATAAAAATCTCTTGTATTGTTTTCTCCATCAATAATAATTTTCACAGTTCTGTCAACAGTGCTTGTTAAAAGAATGATCATAACTCTGCCAAATGACAATCAACATGTCTTGTCTACTACTAATCTATAAACTGTTAGCAACAACCATGCTTTTACTTACTAGTTATATCATATGCAATCGCCTGACTCTCGAGTTGTTTATCGAATCAGTCATAAACTTCATTAAGATAGGTAAACCAGAAACGACTCCTCCGAGAACTGTATATGAGAATTTCATCTCCTACGGCTTAAACAGGACCACCCAAATGCTAGTTGATGTGTAAATCAGCTGTTATATAAGTGAATTACCTTGACTGTGACATACTGAGGCAGCTGATAGTCTTTTTCTAACACCAATTTAGCTGCAAACACTGCCACACCAACACCAAAACTGCGATTTAAGACATTGGGAACAACTAAAAGCTGTTTATAGAATGTTTAGAATGTATGGATACTTATTTAGAATTGTCAATCAATAGTATCTTCTCAGGATGAAGGGGTCCATTTTCACTATGTAAAACTTTGCCATCCCATCTCATCCTGTCTGTAATGCCTTTCAATTTCACAATGATATCGACATGATCTCTTATTATAACAGCTCCTTCCGGTCGAAGAATCCGGTGCATTTCCAGCAGGATATCAATAATGTCACACCTGCATTAAACATTATAAATTCAAACTGGACATAAGTTTTCATACAAAGAAAAGAATCAAGAAAACCAAATTACTTACTTGTTCAAGTACATGCTGAATACACCATATGCATGTATAAGATCATATGTTCTAGGGTATGTATCAAAGGATTCACACCTGCAAGTCAGGATTATTGAACTATTTAGTAACTTTTACCTTCAAATAAACAAGAATTTATATAATGTTCTGAAGAAAACATCTGTTCTTACCAATCCATGTAAGTTCCAATAAGGCCGCGCTCGTACACAATGCTAAGATTATTCTTTTTTGCTTCAAAAGGAATGACATTCATCACCCAAACTGGATACTTAATTAATGCTGCAGCAAAACCACCAAACCCAGCATTCATATCCATTATATTTCTATATTTACCTTGAGAAAGTGATTTTAGTATATTCTCATAATGTCCAACTCTTCTTTTCCATAACTGATTGTCTGTATTATAAGCTTTGACTGAAATTCCTTCGGTTCTAATCCTAGGCGGAGCAGCATTCAACCTTTTTGGCCATTTTAGCAGAGCACCTCCAGATATATCATGGATATCTGTCACATTTGGAAGAGGAGTAATGCATGGTTCCATCTCTTTATACCTGTTAAACCATGTAAAGATTCAATTATGTTCAATTTTGACAGAAGATTTTTAAATCATAATAGTAGTTTGCTTAGCAGAAATTATGTCAATGATCATTTCATACAGGAAATTAGAAATGGACTTTATGAAAATTTGCATCAGACAGAAATGGTTATGTTTTGTGGGCTAAAGTTTCCATTATAACTGAATCAACAAACTCACCAACCAGCATCAGGATCAGTGTTAATGCAGAAAGAAGGAGATTTCCAAGTTCTTGACATTTTTATGCAGTTAATATGATTAGTTGGTTTTTGCCACACTGCAAGACGCCCCCTTTCTGCCACTTTCTTCCAGCATAGCCGCCTAGTATGATCTTCCAATCTGGCTTGCTCTTTTTCCAAGTCCTTAGTTGTTCTCTCCCAACCTTTATAGCTAGTCCTCCAACTTATAGGCGGTCCAGATAATACCCAATATCCACCAGGACGCAACACTCGATCAATTTCTATCAGATAAACTCCACCTAGACATTTTCAAAAGAGGCATGTTTTGAAATAATTAATTCCACCAAAAATGAAACAGTTTTGAATAAAACAACACCATACTCTAGTTTATTTCTTAGAATTTTTAGTTCCTCCTATAATTTCATAAGCATCTTCTGCTATCAAAAGCTGTAAGGTGAAAATATCAAAACTTTATTGCAAGTTATAATAATATTATGATGGCAGACACTAAACTTAAAGAAATAATCAGAGTACCATAATTAATCCATTGCACCAGGCATCTTGAACAGTGAGCCATGTCAAATGATCTTGATGGAAATGGCAGTCTATGGGTGCTAAGTATACCAAGCATAGCTGGAAGACCTCTTTCTAAGGCAAACTGTACTTGAGCCTCATGTATGTCTCTTGGAGCAATTGACATTGTCAAGATGTTATAGTCTATTAAAGAGGCCCCAAAGCTTGCAACCTGTGGCAGCATGAAATGAAGTTTTATTCATTGTTCATCACAAATTTACTTGAATCAGCTTCATGAAAATAACATTTTAAATTTGAAGACAAAAGGTCTAGAAATTGAGAACAGAGTTCGCATAATTTCATTTGAAGCACAAACTTACAGAGAATTGCAATTATGGGACAATTACTATTTGCAAAACAATTTTCTAATGCTTATCAGTAACAATAATGCATAAGAAAAGACAGATTTAAACAAATCCAAAAAATATACCGTAAAAAGATAAAAGCAAGAATGAGAAAAAAATCCTAGACATAAAATGTAAAACAAACCCCCAAACAAACATCACAAATAGTCTAAAGATAGCAGTCACTTACACCACATCCAACATCAAGAACAGTCCTTATAGTTCCAGATTTTAAAGGCACTATACGTCTAATCTCATCGACATAACTCTTGGCTCCTTTTACGAAGGAAGTCCCACCACCTGGAAAAACAAGCAAATCACCTTCCAATCTAACCCAATTCTGTGATTTCTTCGACTCACTCAGTTTCTTGGATGGCACATTCTTAAACCAAGCGTAGTCTTTGCTCTTAGGCCAGGAAAATGATTTCTTGTATCCCAAAGGCCTTGGAACCAAACACCTAGGTTTCTCACTAGGTTCAGGACAATGCCTTTCTCTACTGTAGAATCTTTCAGCTGTAAAAAGTATTTCCCTTGATGGGTCATGGCAAGGAATGTAATCTGTGAAGTTATTAGGACAAAAGTTAAAGAAAGGCAGTTCTTTGATAGTTTCTCGAGGGAAAGAGAGAGAGTGGTGTACTTCGAAATCAAGATTAGGCTCAAAGTCAAGGTTAGGCAATGAGATGTTGAGTTTTGTACAGTTAAGTGACTGTAACTGGTTTTCAGAAACAGGTGGAGGTGCAGGAGTAGTAGAATCAAAATTACTTTTTTGGATGCCAAGAAGGTAGGCAAAAGAGAAAACAATAATGCAGAGGAAAAGTTTCAGTAGAGGGTTCTTGAATATATTTGGTTTTACCATTCTTGTTCTTTTCTGAAGAGAGAAGTTGTTGATTTAGCTTCATTTACTGTAGGAAAATGCAGAGGAGTTTTATTTATTGTTTTGTTATTACTTTATGCAACTTTGCTGACTTCTTTGTCTTGATATGATCAATTACAGCTCCCGTTAACAGGAATTTCAGGGATTTGCTAAAACCAATGCACAACTGTACTTTGTTAGGGGTCTTTATACTAAAGAATGCATTCCTACAATAACCCTTTTTAGGCTGGAAAGGTGTTCCACCGGAGGATGACTGGATAAGATTTTGTAACTTAGTTTCTCTTGAAGTACTTTTTCATTGGATGCTCTCTCTGTGAAAAAAATCATGATATTTTGAAGTCCTAAAGTTCCCACTCTCTAAAAGGTTCATTGGTCAACTCAGCAAATCCTTTATCCCACCGACAAATGATTTCCCTTTTTTCAATGTAGTCACTAAATTGTTGACCTTATAATTTAATTTTGCTGCAATTGCATTCCAGACTTAGTTGTTGAAAATTAGTGAATAGCACCAAAATTATGTTCTTAGACCTACATTAAATACAGAAATTCATAGCCTGTCCAAGCAAAATCATACAAAATTAACTTTGAAGCATGGAATTCAAAGACCTTAATTAGTTGAAAGTTTAGTGATGATCTCTCACCAAAATGACAATTCATTTACAAGTTTGTCTTCTTTGTTTTGTCTGTCGTGACAAGGGAAAGCTTTATCTAATGGTCCAGATGATGAATCAGAGAGAAATATAGAACAAAACCACCAAAGAAAATGTGAACTGAGCAGCAGCAAATCCACATTTACAAGCATGTATAGGAGCAAAGTCCATAAAACACAGAGAATTGAATCCACAATCAAATGCAATTACAGATTTTACAAGTTGACGTTCAAAATGTTAATTCTTACCCAGATGGACTAGTCTTGCTCAATTGAATAAAAGATCAAACATATCTTAGTTGGACATTAATGAATGGGCAGTTTTGAATTTCTTGGTATTTCTTCTAAGATAAGATTAATTTCTTGGACAAATATTCACTGTGAGCATACCATATTTCAATAGACTGGCATGAATTTCCATCAAGATTGGTTTTTTTAGCAAAATTGGCCTAATTGTGGATGGAAAATACATTGATGTCTTTGTAACAGTGCACATCCACCATCCTTTCAAACAAATACAAAATTTTACCCTACAGGCTTCACCGTAACTTTTCACAGTAGGAGAAGAGCCACACAAGCGGAAAGTAAAAGGCTGAGAAATACCAGTCCATTGAAAATGAAAATAAAACAGGTCAAATAACATCAAGCGTTGTGGATACATGATTCGTACTTCATCCGCAAGTCACAGGTTTGAAATCCAAGCTAGGACTAGAGACAATTTGTTAAAATCCCTACTTTTAGATCCTCAGTAGAACATTGCAATACTAGAACCTAAATGGGTGCTAAATCCTGCTTTTCAGGTTTGTTATGATTCTTTGCAGAAGCTAAATTAGAGCTATTCAGAAGCTCTTCCAACTTTTTTAAATGGGGACGTGCAGTTTTGCCATCTGCATCATCAAATAGGGCACAAAAATATCTAAAACTACGAAACACACAACAGCTTGTCAAAAAATATCTAAAACGTACGAAACATACTTCGATTTTATTTGCACTTTGCACCTAAAAATCAAACGTTCATTTAAATGATTCTTGAGCTTGTCAAGTGGAGCAAGCTAAAGTTCAAACTCTGTAATATTGCACATTTCATGTATTAATATATCCAATTCATAACCAAACAAACAATCTCACAACCCAGGAAAGCTGTGGGGATCAGATCGCAACAATCCAAGTTTTCAATCCACCAAAGTAAACAAGCATGGATCTTAATGTCACGCCATCCCTCATCAAAGAGAAAAGAGGTCACATTTAGTCACCATTATGTAAGAATTTTTTGAATCAGTTCACAGCAGTCCAACATCTAAACCACGAAACACACGACAGCTTAACTCCAATAGCAAGGAACAAAAGTACTCAACAGATCCCAGTATCCATATATAGCACAAGCGGAAGGACAGTAACAATCTAAAGAAAACAAGAAAAAGAAACACAATAAAACGCAAGATGTTATAAAATAGTAGAATTCAACTTGATAGCAAGACAAACTTACTAAAACAAAAGTCTGAAATTTAAAAGCAACAATGGCCAGGGAACACATAACAGGCCATTTCAAAAAGAGTTCAACTTATTCAAATCCATTTAACAATGCCCACAACCATACAACAGTGTGACCCATGAAAAACAGTCTGCAAGACCCATAGTTTAAAAGTGAAACGCGTTAGCACAACATTAGAAGCCTCCACGGAGACGGAGGACAAGATGCAGAGTGGACTCCTTCTGGATGTTGTAATCTGCCAAAGTTCGGCCATCTTCCAGCTGCTTCCCTGCAAAGATGAGCCTCTGCTGGTCCGGGGGAATTCCCTCCTTGTCCTGGATCTTAGCCTTCACATTGTCAATGGTATCAGAGCTCTCCACCTCCAGGGTGATGGTCTTCCCTGTCAAAGTCTTCACAAAAATCTGCATACCGCCTCTGAGACGAAGCACCAAGTGGAGAGTGGACTCCTTCTGGATGTTGTAGTCGGCAAGGGTGCGGCCATCCTCAAGCTGCTTCCCTGCAAAGATGAGCCTCTGCTGGTCCGGGGGAATGCCCTCCTTGTCTGGTCCGGGGGAATGCCCTCCTTGTCCTGGATCTTAGCCTTCACATTGTCTATTGTGTCAGAGCTCTCTACCTCCAGGGTGATGGTCTTCCCTGTCAAAGTCTTCACAAAGATCTGCATACCACCTCTGAGACGAAGCACCAAGTGGAGGGTGGACTCCTTCTGGATGTTGTAGTCGGCAAGGGTGCGGCCATCCTCAAGCTGCTTCCCTGCAAAGATGAGCCTCTGCGTCCGGCGGAATGCCCCCTTTGTCCTGATCTTGGCCTTGAACATTGGTCTGATGTGTCGGACTCTGCAACTTCCGGCAAGGGTGCGGCCATCCTCAAGCTGCTTCCCTGCAAAGATGAGCCTCTGCTGGTCCGGGGGAATGCCCTCCTTGTCCTGGATCTTGGCCTTGACATTGTCTATTGTGTCGGAGCTCTCAACTTCCAAGGTGATGGTCTTGCCAGTGAGGGTCTTCACAAAGATCTGCATACCACCTCTGAGACGAAGCACCAAATGGAGGGTGGATTCCTTCTGGATGTTGTAGTCGGCAAGGGTGCGGCCATCCTCGAGCTGTTTGCCTGCAAAGATGAGCCTCTGCTGGTCCGGGGGAATGCCCTCCTTGTCCTGGATCTTGGCCTTGACATTGTCTATTGTATCGGAGCTCTCAACTTCCAAGGTGATGGTCTTCCCGGTGAGGGTCTTCACAAAGATCTGCATGCCACCTCTTAGACGTAGCACCAAGTGGAGGGTGGACTCCTTCTGGATGTTGTAGTCGGCAAGGGTACGGCCATCCTCAAGCTGTTTGCCAGCAAAGATAAGCCTCTGCTGATCTGGGGGAATGCCCTCCTTGTCCTGGATCTTAGCTTTTACGTTATCAATGGTGTCTGAGCTCTCCACTTCCAAAGTGATTGTCTTGCCAGTGAGTGTCTTTACAAAGATTTGCATTCCACCTCTAAGACGGAGAACCAAGTGGAGGGTTGACTCCTTTTGAATGTTATAGTCCGCAAGGGTACGGCCATCTTCCAACTGTTTGCCAGCAAAGATCAACCTCTGCTGATCAGGGGGAATCCCTTCCTTGTCCTGAATTTTGGCTTTTACGTTGTCAATAGTGTCTGAGCTTTCCACCTCAAGGGTGATGGTCTTGCCAGTAAGGGTTTTCACAAAGATTTGCATCTATTCACATAACAACCACAGGACAAGATCAGAAACGCTAAACAAGGTTCATAATTTTCATAGCCACCAAATCAATTTCAGTTTAAAACAGCTTACCACCAAAAAATTTCTAAATTTCTACATTTGAGTTGAAAATTTGAACAAATTAAAATCAACATAGATAAGTCATCACAGCTGAATAAATAAAAACATAAGGGAGTATTCAAAACAAATAATATCATATAATTACAATCTACAAAACATAATCTAATCAAAACAATCAGCCTATTTCATTGAATCATTCTTAAATACCTAATCAAGAGCAAAAGAAATAGGTTCATAATTGAAGCCATAACTAAAGGAAAAAAAACCCTAATTTACAAAATTCAAGAAATTACAGGAAATCATGAAAAGGTAAAATCTTTTATCGCAATAACTCAACAAAGAAAACGATCAAGCAACGATTCGGAACAAATTTAACCAAAGAAGATATAAAAACAGATCTTACAAAAAAACGAAGATATAATCGAAAAAAAGGAATCAAAAAATCCAATAATTAAAATAGCAATTATAAAATCAATAAACTAAGAAATTGAAAAGAGAAAAACACACCTTAAGAGAGAGAAAGAATGCTTCTGAGGACTTCTATCGATTGAAGATAATCTGAATTGTGAGGCTTCCAAGGCCGAGCTCCTCTATTTAAATTGGATTTCGCCTGCTGAAATGACGAAAATGCCCAATTCAGCTTAAAATAGCTGTCCGCGGTTCTTAAGCCCGAGAACACACGCGCTCATATCATTGGGTAGATGGAGATATTTTTCTTTTTTCTATCTTTTTGTGCGGTTTCCTAATTAAACAATTAAACATTGAATTTAATAATAATAAATGGAAGACACGCGCGAGAAGAATGAGCGTGAATCTGACTGACATCATCCGTGAGATATGTGATGATAATTGCGAAATTATAGTTTTGCCCTCCTTTCACAACCGACCGGTCCGACCTGGTTAAATGATTTTCGTCCTTGCAAAACAAGCGGCCGAAGTAAAGCATCTCGTTAACAAATGGATTTGTTTAGATGGGTACGGTAGTGTGAGATGGGTTGGATATTTATATGGATACCCACACCCATTTAGCCCAAATAAATCCCTATCGGCCCATCCATTTTACCGCTTACTCAAGTCCAGCAATATCACCACTCCATCATAATTCCTGGCAGGGGTGGCCACGGTTCCGGAACCGAACCGAAAAATTAACGGTTCCGATTATAGTTCCTCAATAGTTTTAAAATCGACGATTCTGACCGATTTTTTGGCCAATTTTTTGACGGTTTCGATCGATTTCAAACCGGTTCTGGCCGGTTTCGGACGGTTCCAATCGATTTCAGATGGAACTAGAACCTTCAGTTCCGACTGAAGCTGGAAACACCGGTTCACGATTCCAAAACAGGTGGAATCAGAACCGAACCGATTTGGACCAGTTTCGGTTCAGACCTGTTCAGATTCCCAACAATTCGGAACTGACGGCTCTGGTTCCGAAAACCGGATTTTGGCCACCTCTAGTTCCTAGGGATATTGTGTTCATAAACCAATCTAAACCAATTCAAAATCACTCAAAACGAATCAAACTGTATTCATAAATTTAACTCAATTAAAAAAAAACTCTTACTCTATCAATTTATAATAATTGAAATGAGATAAAAATATATATCATAAGCCTGGTTAAATAATTAATAAAAAAATATATAAATTCGATTATGGAAAGCACACCGTATACTTAATGAAAATATTAAAAATTAAAAAAAATTAGTCCACATAAAAAATATAAAGAGACACCTCCTACTTTAAAAAAAATGAAGATACTTTTTTTCCCTTCTTGGGGAGAAGAATGAAGATATCTTTTTAGGTGGAAAAAAAAAAAAAAAAAAAAAAAAAAAATGAAGGATACTTTTTTTTGCCCTTCGGTTGGGTGAGAAGAATGAGAGGATATCTTTTTAGGTGGAAAAAAAAAAAAAAAAAAGAAAAAAAAAGCCTGAAAAATCAAAAGATTGTTGGTGTGGACATCCAAAAAAAAAAAAAAAAAAAAAAAAGCTGAAATCAAAAGATTGTGGTGTGGACAGCAACTCCCCACAATGGACGATGGTAATTCTATCACTAAACGGCGCCACTTTGAACGAGGCAAAAGTGCAACCTGAAAAGAGTTAAAGAAATAATAAAAAAAATATCCCAGTAATTTAGTTCACACAATCTTTCTTTTGGGAGTCAAAGCTCAGAAAATGGAATCTGTCAAATAAAAAGAAAGAAAGAAAGAAAGCCAATAACATATATATTTTACAAAATTATAATGTATTTATTGATATTTAGAAAACAAATTATTCTTTGAAAAAGGAAGTTATTTGGTCATGTTTTAATCTATATTTATAAATAGGAGTGAGCAAATTTTGTGAAAATCGAATTAAATAAAATTATTTTCAATTTTTAGTTGATTATTTAATTTTCAATCTTCTGTAATTTTGATTTTTTACTTTTAAATCATTTATTATAAAATAATTATTTTACGAGTAAAACCGGCGATATTCAAGCTATTTTGGTGCAACTGCAAACACTTATAGTAAAGCAAATGGACCTTTAGGTCCTTCTCTCAAAAAAAAAACAAAGAAAAAAAATTTTTAGTTGCGTTTGTTTTTGAAAACCATTTTTTTAAATAATTCATTTTTTTATTTATTTGAAAAATTAAAATTAATTAAAAATATTTAAATTTTAAAATATTTAAAATTAAAATTTTACTTTTAAAAATTCGTTATCGAATATAATAAAAAATATATAAAAATGATAAATTACAATGAGTGCTAATGAGCAATGATTGTGTTTAGTAAACCATATTGATTAGCGGTGGTTGGCAATATTTTTGAAGAACTTCCATTTTTTTTTTTTTTTTTTAAAAAAAAGGAGGAGGAGGGACTGACATTTTTTTTTTTTTTTTTTTAAAAAAAAGGAGGACTGACATCGAGTATTTTTTTCTGTTCAATAGTTGAAATTTTGAAATAGACAAATCACTAATATTCGATTAGCCATTATTAATTAATTAAAGCTTTTAAAACAGTCTTAAAAAAGCTTGAAGCTATTATGAAGTGCTCTCCTTTTTCTCTCTAATTTTCTATCCTTAATTTTAATTTGGGACTACCACCGATGCTTTTTACTATCTTCTCCGATTTCTTTTGCTTTAATAAATTCGTATCTATTTTTTTTATAATATATTTATTTTTGTTTGTTCGTCTGTTATTGTTGGTTTGTCTCCTTATTGAAATTTTTTTTCCCTATTTTTGTGAGGGCAGTCTCTTTTTTTGTGAGGCTTTATTACTAAATAAAATTATAATATTTAATTTTATTTGGTTAGAGATTTTAAATTTTGATTTGTAGATGAGAAATTTCGATCAATAAAGCTTAGTAGTGCATATTTGAAAATATATGTAAATAGTTATTAGTTAGAAGGTTATTTATGTAAAAGTGTAATAACTAGCTTAACTAGTTGTAATAGCTAGGATTCCTTCTGTCTAATTTACTTTTTACATAATAATGAAACTGCAGAGTATTATTTTTCTCCTCTATATCTTTGTTTGTTCAAAATTGTTCCTCTGCTGATGTTATTGATGCACAGTGATAGAAAATTCATAAGTATTTTTTATATGTTACAAATTCTTGAAAAAATAATCCAGTTATAGAAAATCTAGAGGAATTACTATTTTAACATCCATATCAATAGACTAGGTAAAATTTATATCTTTTATCAAGATCAATTTCAACCGGAGAGATATAATATTATATTTTTTAATTTTAATTTTATTATTCAAAAGAAAATGAATTATTTTAATTTATTAAAAGATTAGCGAATCCCATTAGCCACTAAAAATAAAATTCTACATCTAGTTTATACAAGTGTTTATAATTCTTAATATTACTATTAACGAATTATATATTTAAAAAAAAAAAAAAAAAAAAAAAACTATTAAGCGAATTATATATTTAAAAAAAAAAAAAAAAAAAAAAGCTTGAGCTTTCAACTTAAAAAAAAAAAAAAAAAAAAAAAGCTTGAAGCTTCAACTTTACATATGCAAAGATACAATGCAACAACCCACTTACCTCATACTTACCTCATAAAAGAGACTTTCTGTCCCTTTCTTTTGTTCTTTTTATCTTTTTTTTCCTTTGCCTCTTGGGAAATGGGAATCAAATGGTCAAAAGGATTATCCATTAAGCTTTTGGTCCACTCACATTTGGGTCTTCTCTTACACAAATTCTTTTTATTTTATTACTCAATTATTATAATCATATGTCTTTTGTCCATCCAAAGTCTAAAGTCTTTCAAAAAATAAAAAATATTTTGTCCTTTTTAATTTTTAATCCACTTAAACCCCTCCGTCAACTATTTATTTCAAATTATTATAAATTAAATAACTAATTAAATAATTATTTTTATCGAATAATATTATTATTCTAAGTAGCTAATATTACTTAATATGATCTAAATCTATCAAAAATCTAAGACGAGAAGCGAGAATTAAAAAAAATATATATCATACATGATTAATTAGTTCTAAATTTTGGTGATTGAGGAAAAAATTTCAAATTGAAGTGTTGTTCCTTTTCTTGAATTGTAAAAGATTTTTCATTGTTACGGCTAAAAATTTTTTGAAAAAAAAAATAAGATTTTGTTGTTTTCAAAAGTAACTTGTCTAAAAAATATTTTTCAAATTTTCCGAGGTTTGAAATATCAGAAAAATTAGTCTATTTTATTGATTAAAAAAATTAAACTGTTTTAAGAAAAATGACTTTATATTTTTTTTTAAAAAAATATTTTTGGAATATCGATAAACTTATTACTATCTTATAGATATACATTTATTAATTTACTAATCACTAGTAACCACTGGCTATCACGTGTCACCAACATCATTTTTATACATTTTCCCTCATATTTAGTAATAAAATTTAAAATATAAAATTTATAACTAAATTTTAATACTAATAACTAATTTTTAATATTGTAATCAAACTATAGAAAATGTGTTATTTGGATGCTAAATTAGACAAGTGCCTAAATAAAAACTCAATTAACTTGAAATTAAACAAAAATTATCATCAATTATTCTCACAAATCTTTGAATTTCCTCTCCTAAATTTGTTTATATTGAAAAAAAAAAAAAAAAACATGTATATTTGAAAAAAAAAAAAAAAAAAACTATGGATGAGATGGCCGTACGAAGTTAACCTCCCACAAAAAAAAAAAAAAAAAAAACTATGATGAGATGGGCCGTACCGAAGTTAACCTCCCAAAGTATTTAATCAAACAATAGACTTCGTTTAGTTCCATTGTATCTGTCAATGAATAGAGAAAGAAGGAAAGAAAAAATAAATAAATAAACAAATGAAAGAAAGCATTTGCCGAAATCGTGAAATTCGCAGACCAAATTCGAGTGGCCAGAGACATTCTCGCAACAGAGAATTGGTGAACTTTTTAGAGTCATATTTTTGTATTTTGGAGTTTCCAATTAGAAAACAAACTCTCCTTTTCACTCCCCATCACTTGTACATTTCACCACCAAGCTTTTGCTTTTGTTCTTTGTTCTTTGTTCTTCAACACTATCACTAACTTCAACTGAGTTTTGGTTGTTTGGGCTAAATTTATTCTCTCTACAACTAAAAAAGCGATATAATCAATGGGTTGTTAGCTTTTTGGTTATTCTTTTGCTGGGTTTGTGACGCTTGTCAAAAAAAAAAATTGCTACCATTTTTTATTAGTTGGTTTTTTTGTGACTGTTTTTAATTGAGAGAAAGGGAGGATGATGAACTTGAAAGAAATTTGGACTAAGAAAACATTGGTGGGTCTTGCTTTAGGGCAGTTTCTATCATTGCTCATCACTTCTACTGGATTTTCATCAAGTGAACTTGCTAAAAGAGGTTATTCTCTTTCTCACATGTATATTTGCTTCTAAGTATCTTGTAATTGGTATGTTGTTCTTCCATTAATTGCTATAATTAAGCTTGGCTAATTAATTGTTGTTAAAATATGTCTCTTGTGTATTTTGATTGCTCAGATTTGGAGGTTTATAATTTTCTGTTTGATTGTTAAACATTTCTCTCGCTCTCTTTTTTTTATTTTTTATTTTTTTAAAAGAAGCCTGTTGATATGATGTATAATTGGTTGCTGTATTACTGTTTCTTGTTGATGAATATATGGAAGAATGCAGAAAATCCTTTCCGATTTAGAGATTTTCAAACAGTTGAAATTCTTAAACATGTTGGTTATTGAATGCTTGGTAATTTTTTAGAATTTTAAGAAATTACTTAAATAATTTAATTTTCTTTATTTATTCTTTTTCTTCTAGATTCTTTGTAGAACGTACTATCTCTTGGTTATTCAACCGTCCTTTTGGAAAGAAGTACTTTTCTGAGCCAAAAGAAAATAAAGGGGAAAAGGGAATGGAAAATGGTTACTGTTCGTGGATTGTTGGAATTTTGTCCCATGAAAGAAGGGATTTAGAATATTAAATTCATACTTAGAACTTAGTTATTTATGTTCTCCATTCTCTCCTCTTTTCTCCTGATTTCTAATTTTCTTTTCATTCTATCAACAAATTGTGTATTGATACTGTGTGGTATCTTGATTATCTTTATTTGGATTTTCAATGCAGGAATTAATGCACCGACTTCTCAGTCTTTGCTCAACTATGTGCTCTTGGCCATTGTTTATGGAAGTATTATGCTTTATCGAAGAAAAGCGCTTAAGGTGGCTCTCTTTGCTTCATAACTTGGTTTTTTTTTATGGTGCATTTGTCCATCATTTTCTTTTCAGCAGTTTGTGTACTTATTGTAGAATTAAATGGGAGACTACCAATTTGTTTTCCAAATTTCAATTATTAGAGCATTTATGCAATTGAATGGTGGTGAATTAGGAAGCAGTTTGCTCATGAGCTGACTGTTCTTAAGTTGTGAGGATTTGGTGAATGAGTGTGAGAAAGCAGGGAGCCAAAGAATTGAGGAAGTTGCTGTTAGTCACTCAAAGGTGAAAAGGAGTACCTCACAAAATAATTTTCAGAGCTCGATAGTCTGCTCTTGAGATGCAAATCAGTCCAAAGTGATAGTTTTTTTTTTTTTTTTTTTTTAGTCTGCTCTTGAGATGCAAAATCAGTCCTCCAAATTGATTAGTTTTTTTTTTTTTTTTTTTGTGTGCGGGGGGAAGGGGGGGCGCGGATAAGCTGGGAAAACTAATCACTTCATGTTGCTCTTTAATGGGGTTTCTCCTGTTTTCTTCTTTGTCCGTTACCTCTATGGGGGGGGGGGGGGGGGGCGCGGAATAAGCTGGAACTAATCACTTCATGTTCTCTTTAATGGGTTTCTCCTGTTTCTTCTTTGTCCTTTACCTTATTTAATTTTTGGATTTTTTTTGCAGGCAAAATGGTATTATTATGTAATTCTTGCATTGGTAGATGTAGAGGCCAACTTTCTAGGTGAGTGTCTTGTAGTAATAAATCCATCTGCTTATATAGTTCATCTATTTCTTACGCTGCTGTCTTTGGCCTTTAGCCTAACTTTCAAAATAACATAAATATCATTGAAAAGCAGGAAATTTTGATTGTAAAAAATGTTTCCAGTTTTAGGTATTGATTTTTATCTTCATTCTGTGCAGTCGTGAAGGCCTATCAGTACACCTCTCTTACGAGTGTTATGCTGCTGGATTGTTGGTCAATCCCAGCAGTTATGGTTCTCACCTGGCTTTTTTTGCACACAAAGTATAGATACAAGAAGATAGCTGGAGTAGTTGTTTGTGTTGCTGGATTGGTCATGGTTGTTTTTTCTGATGTTCATGCAGGCGACCGATCAGGTAAACTTACATTGTACCATTAAATTCGCTGTGACTTATTCTCAGTTCTTAAAAGGTAACTGTAAATGTTAAAAGGATGTTAGGATTAAACCTTCATTTTTTTTAATTATAAAATACACATTTAATTGTTAAGTAATTGGCAATGATCAAAGGCCTACCCATAGTACCAGAGATCAGGCTTTCAAACCCTAACAACATTTTGGTCAGGAATTCCCCAGAATCTCTAGGCAAACATCCACAGACCACTCACCAACCAAATACCAACAATACTGGCTAATGGCTATCATCTGTTATTGCTGTTCACTATACTTTACCTTTTTTGTATAATTTTATTTTCTATTCCTGTATGCAAAACCAAGTTACAAATGTTTAACTTCATGCCCAAGCTTTTGGTGGAAAATTAAAATTTTCAGTGTATTTCAAATTCCAAATGCCTGAAAATAACTTTAAATTTATTTGAGTGTTACATAACTTACATTGGATTGGTAACTAGTTTGGGATTAAGGCTTAGTAGTAGTAGTTGGTGGTGTTGTTACATGCAATTGATGCAAAGTAATTTTCTCCAAAAAGAAAAAAAAAAAATCACAGGGAGGTCATTTGGCTCAAGAAAAAAAAAAACCTTTTATCTATAAATTTTTGGAACAGAAAGTCATAAGATTTTGAGTCCTTAAGAACTTGGGCAGCTAGGTTGCTATAATTTAAAATGTTGCTATACAAAGCAAACCCTTTCTTTTTTCCTTTAATTTTTTCGTAGTGAACTAGTGTGCCTTCTGTTGTGTTTGAATTTCTAAGGGTTGTCTTCCACTTTTCCAGTTATCTTCCAATTCTTTGAAACTTTTCTGAATTGGAAACTTGAGGCCAATAATCTTAATTAATAGCCTTTATGTAGAATGTAATAATAGTGAATCTAGTGATGTTTTGATATTTAGATATACTATTTTGTATGCATTTAATTTATAATATGAATAACTACTCAGTGAGTTATTTGTTATTGTAGGAGGGAGCAATCCTCGTAAAGGAGATGCTCTTGTGATTGCTGGTGCAACGCTGTATGCTGTCAGTAATGTCAGTGAGGTAAGCTAATATGGATGTGTTCCAAGGTTGCAGACCTTAGTGGAACTTTGGTCTTGGTATATTTGTGCATAACATGTCCCATCTCTTTTTGCAGAAGAATTTTCTCCTTGTTTTACCATCTCTCTAGTGTCTTTCTGCTCCATTCCAATCATTCTTTCTCATGCTTTAGCCTTCCTTCCTCTATTTGCTGTCCTAATCGGGCACTAGCCTGGGTATTGTGTAAAATAATTTATAATAAAGTTGCAAAATCAGTGAATAAATTTAGAATTGATTGTTACTGATCTTAACTAAGTGTATCAGCAGCACCATAAAATAAATAACATCAAAATTTGCAAATTGGAATAGACAATGTATTAATTTCTTTTTCTCATATGGCAACTTATCAAGCTAATGTTTAAATCAATTTTCAAAAAAATACAATCGAAATAGATTTCATTGCTAAACTCTACCATTTTTTCTTCTGGGTTTTGAGTTGATACCCAGTGTTTTATATAAAATATCAGTACTTATATGTCAGATAGATGATATAGCATTCTTCTTAAAAAACAATCCAATAAGATTATGCTTTCATTATGAATGGAAGATTATAGAAAAAAAGCCAATAAAAATATTTGTGAAAATAAAAGGAAAGAAAGGAACTATTTTTATTTTTGTAGTTTATTGAATAAAAGGGTAATATTGTTTATCTCAATACCAAAGAAAGATTATGCTCTGGCTATAACATTTTTTTTGTTCTGGTAATAATACCATCGAAAAGAAAATTCTAAATTTTGAATAGTGATTATAATTTCTGAAGTAATTAGTAGTGAAACTCCAATAAATGCAGTTTAACAGTCAGTATTTAGATTTGCACTAGGCAAAATGAATATATAATAAGATTCATAGATATTTGACCCTGGAAAAACCTTTGAACCTGGTCTTTGATCTGCTCAGTTCAGCAGTCTATCCTTTCTGTGTTCTTCAGACCACAGAGTAAAAAGCACAAAGAAAGGAAAAAACAAGTATCCAGTTAAGAGTAAACAAAAAGAATTGCATCTCTGATCTCATGAATTTGACAAATAATAAGTTCTTGTCATAAAATTTTATTGCATGCACCATCCTTCCTGATGCTGTCTATTTTATCACAGTATAAACAAAATGGTGAACTCTTGGTGTGGAGCATTAGATATAAACTGCTACCATCATGGCCATTAGGCAGCATTAGCAGTTCTTTCAAAATAAACAGAATTCGTGGCACTACTCCTTAAACCATCTGAGAAGACCTTTGATAATCGCAAAGTTTTAATATATAAAATATAAAAAAAGGTTAGACAAAGATAGAAAAAGAATTTTCTATTGGAGTGATCATTATGAGAAAGCTCTAGTTGACTTCAAGTCAACTTATACTTCTTAATTTTTTCACGTATTTTTGCAATATTATTCAGTTGTTGATTTCAAAGTTTCAGTATGAACTTGAAATATTTTCCTTTTCTTTAATAAGTACAATTCCTTGATTTTATCTATCAGTACAGTTGGGAATGCAACCCAATGGTGGCTGAAAGTAGCAGTATGTTTTAGTGGTTTGGAACTTTGATTTATATTGCTGTCTTACAAATGCTATCTGTCTACCGCTTTTGTCCCTTTGAAATGTTGTGCAGGAATTTCTTGTTAAGAATGCAGATAGAGTTGAACTCATGTCGCTGCTCGGCATTTTTGGTGCTATCATTAGTGCTATCCAAATGTATCCTTAACTTCAGAGTGTTCATTTCTTGCAAGGACTGAATCATATAGTTACCAAGTTTCTTGTTTTTCTTTTTCCAAAATGATGTTCTCTTGTTACTATTAGTTAAAATTGATATTTGTTTTCATAAATTGATCATTTTTCTAAAATCTTCATGATATAGTACACTTCTTTTTTCAGAAACAGCTTGGTTTTCTTAAATGCTGTCTCATGCTCTTTGCATATTACACAATAACAACAACCAAGCCTTAATTCCAATCTAGTTGAGATCAGATATGAATCTTTTGTTTCTATTCCATCTATTCATGGCTAATCTTACACTAATGTGAAGAAGTAGTAGGCCTTTTGAGACAAGTTCCCTCCATGTGGTTCTAGATTTATATTTTCCCTTTTTAGCACCCTCCAATATATCGCACTTATGAACCGGAGCACATGAGGGTTTATGTATGACCAAACCATCTTAGGAAACCTTCTCTCATTTCATCTCCAATTTGTGCTACTTGCACCTTTTTCTCTTTGCTTATTGAGAGAGAAAAATGGAAAAGAAAAAAAAAAAAGGAAGAGAAGGTTTTTTTTTTTTTTTTTTTTTTTGCTTAGTTGAGGAGAGGAAAATGGAGAAAGAAAAAAAAAGAAGGAAGAGGAAGGTTTTTTTTTTTTTTTTTTGTTTTTTTGTTCGCTGTTCCCTTAATGACGTCTCCATAGAAGCATTCCTTGAGCGCCAACGAAGCTCCAAATCTATCACGTGGTCCAGCCATGGCGCAGTAAAATTTTTTTTTTTTTTTTTTTTTGTTCTGTTCCCTTAATGACGTCTCCATAGAAGCATTCTTGAGCGCAACGAGCTCAAATCTATTCACTGGTCAGCTGGCGCAGTAAGTTCCATGCCTTTTCTTTCTTTTTCCTTTTTTTTCTTAGTTAAAATTTTAGTGAAATGATTGAGAGGAAAAATCATTGGAGAGAAAACGACTTGAATCAGACACTTATAGAACTTTTCATATGCCTTTTAATTTCAGTACATAGAAAGGTTTGAGACGAGAGATTGCTATTATTAGAGCTAATTTAACACGAGAGTCAGTGTTGCTTATTATTTAAGTTAATTTTTAATATTCTTGTTTTCAGGCTCTTCCATTTGTTGGATTTTCAGTGGCAATGTTCCTGTTTTACTCATTTGTCCCAGTCCTACTTAAGGTATAGATTTGACTACCCAAAGGCTTCTTCCTACTATATTTTTGAGAAGCTGAACCATTGTTGGTATGAAAATCTTGAAATTAATATCTGAGAGAATAAAGGATAATGGTTGATTATGGTCATCATCTTGAACTGAAACTTTCTTTGTGTATATGCATGTACTGTACCTAGCTTATTTTTCAGATTCTTTTTGTTGATAAGGACCTAGAATTTCTTTTTTGTTATGCTTCTTATTGTTTTCAATTTTCACCTTAAATGTTATTAAATATGTCTGTCAAGCTTGCTATCTTTGTCTCTGTGTCTTACCTTTTGGGAATTTATATTTTTCAAGATTATGGATACTTCAGGAGTTAACCCTTCTTTTTTATTTATTTTATTTTTTTAATACATATCTCGTTAAATTCATAGTCGAAATATTTTAGAGAACTTCTGAATTCCAGATTATATTGAGGTATTCAAAAGAGAGCTTTACTCAGACACTGGTTCAACTTGAGAACCTTTTGGATAGTTTAAACAAACAGTATCCACTATTTTATGTGTATCCTGACTTTTATTATTTGCAGATGACTGGGTCAACAATGCTCAACCTGTCTTTGCTAACATCAGACATGTGGTCTGTCTTGATTCGCATCTTTGCTTACCATGAAAAGGTTTGTTAACTAGCTAAATATATTCACATCTCATGTGAGAATTCAAGTACAATTACAAATGCAATCTTCCTTCTTATCTTATGTTGATGCTCTTCGCAGGTTGATTGGAGGTACTATGTTGCATTTGCTGCTGTTGTTATTGGACTCGTCATTTATTCAGGGTACATAATTTTGCAGTTCTCTTTTGTTGGCTCTCATTTTCAATTTGGTACAACCTGAACTATACGTTAAGTGGCAATCAAGTCAGGCCAACTGAATTACGCATAGGGTTGAGCTGGAAGTTTATGTTCAGCTCTGTTAGGCTAGATTGCGGAAAATTTTTGAATGAAATAGTTCAGGGATGGATTGAGCTAATAAAACGTTGACTCTGTTAAGCTCCATAAAATATGTTTGAAGGAGCTGGTAAGATGCTGGGCAGTAACTGTTTCTGCCTTGTTACTGTGCATGGAAAAAAGATGAGAAAATGAGAGGAAGGTTTTGGCAGGGGAAGCAGGAAAGGAAGGGCCGATTATTTACCTTTTTGTGTTGGGAAATTAAAAACCAACAATAGTGGGAGGAGAAATACTTATGTTTTATTTGGGTGGAGGAGAGGGGAAGGGGAAGGGCAATTGTAATTACAAAAATGTACTTCCCCTTTGAGGAGTTGAAACTTTTTGTGCCTGATTTGTGGTGTAATGAATTCCAACACCTTGGAGGACAAAGGGGAACCATTAAACTCCTTCCCCCTTCTCCCAAAAAAAAAATGTTGAACAAGATTGGAAGGGACTTTCTCCCTTGTTCTCTCTCCTTTTTCCTCAATGAAACTCCTAGTCATTCGTGGGTGTGTGAAAAACTATTTATGGACTTACCTTCATATGGTTTTCGTTTCATTCCTTTGTAGTCCAATGATAACTCTATTTACAGGGGTGACAAGGAAGAGGACCAACACCGTGCTGATGTTGCGGATGAAGATGCCGAGCGAAGCAAACATTTCGACGAGGAGGCTGCTTCCGTGAGCCGCAGCCAAGGAATTTTAGCCGGGAGCTCAAAATCTGGGGATAATAATAGCAAGCAAGCCTGCTAGCACCGGCATTCAAGAAAAGCAAGAAAATGAAAACAAGAACTTGGGAAAAGATGCCCAAGGGAAGAAATTATAGTTCAGAATCTGCTTTTACAGATTTGTAAGAGCATACAATTAGCTTCTGCTGTTGCTCCAAAAAGTGTGGATATCAGCTGCCATAGGATAACCATCAACAAAAAAAAAGGAATAAAGCATATCATTTTACAGCATTTAAGATAGTCATTGTCATGTAGTTTTGAATGTTAGGTAAGATTTGGTTAGTTTCACCTAACTAAACACGTTGTCTATTTAGAAAGTGATTGTTTTCTTTATCAGCAATGAGCATATGCTAATACCTTTGAAGTTTAGTGTTTTTTTTTTTTTTTTTTTGGTCATATTTTGATAAATATGTTAGGTTAAGATTTGGTTAAGTTTCCAACCTAACTAACACGTTGTCTGTATTTAGAAAGTGAATTGTTTTCTTTTGACAGCAATGAGCATATGCTAATCACCCTTTGAGGATTAGTGTTTTTTTCTTTTTTTTTTTTTTGGTAGTAGACTAATTATTTTAAGTCAATTTTATAATTAACATAATGATGCCAACGCCCCTAATATGTTGTTTATTTTCTTGTGCGATCAATTAAGAATTTTTTTTTATTATTTTTGTCCAACATTAAAAATTAAACTTTTTTCCGCCTTACATAAGTTTGCATCCAAAAACTGATTTGCAAGACAGTTCCTGACTTAAAAAAGAAAAAAGAGCAATTTTTTTTTTTTTTTTTTTTTTGGTAGTAGACTAATTATTTAAGTCATTTTTATTAACATAATGATGCCAAGCCCCTAATATGTTGTTTTATTCTTTGTGCCATCAATTAAGAATTTTTTTTTATTATTTTGTACCAACATTAAAAATTACTTTTTTTCCCCTACATATTGCATCAAAAACTGAATTGCAAGACAGTTTCTGATTAAAAAAAAAAAAGAGCAATTCTAGCAAGATTTGCCATACAAAATGTACATCTACTTTTTTACTTTCTTTTAAAAATAAAATATATATTTCTGTACTGAAAGTCTTTCAATAGAATGCCATATGCTTCAGTCCTTAGCCTTATTTGGCTTAAATAAAATTAAAATATGAAATTTTACATGTATACTTTTTTAATCCCTTAATATAAAAAATTGAAACTTCAAATATAATTTATTTGAAAAATTGAAAGGATGCAGCATAATAGATTCAACAATTAGTGCAATGTTTTGGTAAGCCATAATGAAACTTAATGCAATGTAATTAAAGGCATTTTTCGTAGAAAAAAAGAGTCAAAACTACTGATTCATCGTAAAAACGCAAGTATTCAAATGTATAAAATGTTCATACACTTTTGCTCTTTACTCGCATCCTACAAATTTGTTTGTACAAAACAAAAACAAAAAGCCTAAACTGAATAAAGCGCAGCTCGGTAAAACAAAAGTAATAAGAGAAGGAAAATAAAAGGCTAAGCAAGCCTAAACTTTATTCTGTAACTTCCATCATTAATATTGGTTACCACAGCAAGATTACAATGGCTTTGAGTCCCTAAGTCCGTCACCATGACTTCTGAATTTCTTACGGCGAGACCGGGGAAACAATAGTTGATGAATCTGCTTTTCAGCAGCAGCTTCACAGGTTGCCTGCAAATCAGGAGCACAATAACATTCAAACATGTGCAATAAATTTTCATTTTCACAAAAAGAAAAAAGAGCAATAAGTTTTTGGTTCACAGGTGAAACGAATTTAGATATTTCTAAGGCATGCTATTGAATAAAGGGTATGAAAACAACTCCAGCAGGGTGCCATAAGTGAGGAAGTCAGGTGGCATAGTCTGCTCCATTCAGTTGCTAACTAATCGCGCATAGTCTGCTCCATATTTCCTGGATTTTGAATTATGCTTTAATTCAGTATTTAAACTTCACATTGATTACTCACCCGGACTTTAAAGGGAAAACGATGAGTTCGTACTTCCACCCCAGAGAAAATTCTAACATCTATACCAAGGCTATCGACCCCAATCAAATCAGCTCCCTGCATTAATTCAGATGCAGCTAATATATCATGAAAAGTAGATATTGGTATGCTTCTATACATGTGTGCATATGTGCAGAAGGTTCTCATACATGACATAGAAGTATCTAGAACAAAGGTACATGGATATTGAAAATGAGCCTCCGAATATAAAGAATAGGCAATCAGTTTATTCCCACACACTTGGCTAGCTGGAGCAGTATGTTCCCTCATGTCATCCATAGCTTTACAAAGCATCAAACTTGTAAAATTATAAGCATGTTTCAACCGTAATCATTTGAAGCTTCTGCAGGCTGGAAGCTCACTTCATGGAGTAATGAAAAATATGAATATGCATTGCAAAATCAGAGTTTTCAAGGAGCCTGTCAAATGTATAATTTGTGAACTATGTCAGCAGGGACATGGTCATTTACACCAATGAAAACTTATCATTATTCTTTATTCTAGTAAAAAAAAAAAAAAAAATTCTTAATTTGGTCATTGAACTTTAATTTTAATTTTATGAGGTAATAATTCAATTTCCAGCACTCGGGCATGTGGAATATTGATCTGAATGACTTCTATGGCTTTTTTAATCTGAATCAATAGTTTTGGGTTCCACAAGCCACAAACTACTGTTTTCTAGGTTAGTGGTGGTGTCTAGTTTCTAGGTTATAATCTGATTAGGAGAAAGAAAATCATGTGCTGGATGGCTAGTGCAGAACAAAAATGTTCAGTGAGATTATAGCCACAATAATTGTTCAAGCGGCACTCTGGTCCTTGAATGCAGAAATTGAAACTTAAATTTTAATTAATGGATTGTAAGAAAACTGATATTTTGTGACCACAATAGAAAACAATGATAATTTTAGTGAGCATTGGTGTGAATTAACCAAGATATACACCAGTTATCACAATATACATGTATTGGGCATGATGATTAATCTGAATAATAAAAGTAGCCACCATGTTTTTAATATTACCTTGAAGAAATCATGACTTAAGAAAGATTAAGTTGTCCCTAATGCAACTAAGACAAGTATGGTGCATAAGAACATATCACTTCAAATATATTTAAATTGCCAACAGTATCTTCCTCATTTAGTAAGACTGACATCTGGGGTGGGGGGTTAATGGTTCAATTTTATCAAGAATCAACAAAAAAGAAAAAGAGAAAAAAATTGTACGACACTCGTATATGCTACCCTAGTGTTTTCCATCAAACTTCTATTTAAGTTAAAAATTCAAAAATAAAAATGTAATGGGTAGCATTTTAAAACAATTATCACCTCAGCATGAAGACCTTTTTTCTTGCAAAGAGCTTTAAGAGCAGCATTGCACCAGATTCCCTTCTCACTGAAGTGTTCTAGAATTGCTGAAGTAGAGTGTAAAAGGAAATCAGGCTCAGCATCTTGAAAATCTTGCAAAGCAATTGTATACTGCCATATTCAAACAAATGCAGAATTATACACGAGCAAAGTTGAATTTAACATAAGGGGAAAATGAGAAACAGGCTAAACAACCAGCTAGGTCATGAACAAAAATAATCATATTCCTCTTTTCAGCCAACTGTTTATCTCAATTTTACAACCCCCGGCCACAAACAAAGGAAGAATTTCATGTCAATCATAATACATGTGCTACAAATATAATTGAAAATATGTACATGCCTGAATTCCATACACAGAGAACAGCTCTATCCTCATGATGTCCAACCGGTAAAAGGTTGAGTTTGTACTGCTTCCTTCACTTTTTGAGCTAAAGCTCAAAACTTCTTCATCTAAACCGGTTTAAAAAAAAAAAAAAAAAAAAAAAAAAAAAAAAAAAAAAAAAAAAAAAAAAATCTGCCTTCACTTTTGAGCTAAAGCTCAAAACTTCTTCATCTAAACCGTTTAAAAAAAAAAAAAAACATAAAAAAATAAAAAAAAAAAAAAAAAAAAGAAAAAATCAACAATATCCATAAGCAGCATGAAAAGCATGTTATAAAATACAGAACTTATGCATCAAGGACGACTATTGAAGAAGTTTCTTTATAATTAATGCTGAAACTTTTATATTAACTACAGGATTAGTCACTAACTAACATCCAAAATATCGCGAGCGACACTTATCATAAAAAAAAAAAAAAAAAAAAAAAAAAAAAAAAAAAAAAAAAAAAAAAAAATTCAACAATTCCATAAGACATGAAAAGCATGTTATAAAATAAGAACTATGCATCAAGGAACTGACTAGTGAAAAGTTCTTAATTAATGCTGAAACTTATATTAAATACAGGACTATCACTAACTACATCCAAATATCGCGCACAGCTATCATACTTTGTGTGGAAAAAGTTCAATTAGAACAGTACTAGACACAGCTGGTTTGACAGCACACCACACCTCTACATGGATGCTTATGAATTCATTATGATCACAGATTCAAAGACATCCAAAGAAACTTATACAATTAGAAAATCCTCAATAAAGTTAGCAGAGGTTGAGATTCACAATCAATATATGCAATTTCCCAATTCCTTGGAGGTATCAACCAGATTTCACTATCGCATGGTCCCATTATCATGACTCAATTTAAGCTATGTTCATTATGGTTAGTAATATACCGTACAATACCTTTCCAGTCTGAATCATACTCGTCACTATCTTCATTGTGAAATAGCCTTCGTAAGTATGATTCTTCATCTGCAAAAGCAGGTCTTAGGCACCCCACAATAGAAACACCGTTTGATGGATGGTCCATTTCTCTATCATATTCCATATCAGTTGCCTATAAGAAAGATAAAAAACTTTAACACATCAAAGGAGTTCGAAAGAAAAGAAATTTCAAGCTCATCCAATCAGAGAAATAATCCATAATGATTGAGCAGCACAGTTGAAACAAAGCAAAGCAAGGGCATTTCACATGCAAGAAGCTATTTTGTTGTTCATGTAATCATGAGATGTCTGGTTCATGGGTTCCTTCTATGTTAGACATTGAACGTTTAGTCGAAAATAAAATAACTAAAGATTAGGTAGAAATATATCGGAAATTTTACTTTTTTACAAGCCCGGCATTTTAAGAGAACAAAGAGGATCTTGTTCAATTAATCTAGAATGGCTATTAACAAAGTAAATTTTTTACTATTTCCACAGAATATCTCCTTTCTTACATATGCATTTATGGATCCCATTAATTTTAACAAAAGGTACTAAAGATTTAACTGCAAATAGTGTATTTGTGTAAATTTCAATTCCAAATTATGCAATTAAACACAAAATGAAAAGAGAACTTAATGATTTGTGTGGTTGCCAAGTTCAAAATATCAAACTATTAAATTAAAATTTTCAAACAAAACAAAATAAAACTATGAAGCCACTAAATTTCCTATCCAAATCCATATTCGTTTATTATCATTTTTAAATCCAAGCCCTTCACCATCTTCATCTTCTAATATAACTATATCCCCTCTAAATTGACTTTTCCACTTGTTTTTTTGGTTATGAGAATTGTTGAACACGAGAATCAACTCAAATCGTAAGATTCGAACTCATGAATAGTAAGATTCATGCTCAATTCCGATTCACCCATAAGATTTGAATCGTTCAACATGAAAATTAAATTGAACTATATAACTTCAATCGTGAATCATAACATGCTGATCACACTATCAACTACATCCATTATCGTTGTGATTCATCTTGGTTTACGCATCCGATAAACAGCTAAAAACAATGAAACATTCCCAAGACAGTTATAAATAATAGTCAACAAGGAACCAAGATGTGATTACCTTTGCCAGGCACTTGGCAAAATAAATAGGATGAACCCAACTGGAAGTATCTGGCATCCCCCAATCAACTGGAACATCAAACACTTCAGGCTCCATTACCTATTTTGAAGTTCGTGTAAAATGAGTGTGCAAAATTCTAAAAGAAATATACAAAATATAGTCCAGAAGTGAAGAGAAGTGATCACCACAAACCTCAAAATAGTCATCATCATATGTGCTATCATCATTGCTGCCAATGTCAAAAACATTATACTCATTGGCTATCCTTTTGTTCTCATACATTGGAATATTGATCCCAATCAAAGCATTCTGAAGGTAATGCAGCGATAATTAGAAAAGTTACTTGTGTTCATGCAACTCAAGCTTTGGGGGGGGGAGCATGTCTGTGAAGGTAATGCCAGGCGATAATTAGAAAAGTTACTTGTGTTCATGCCAACTCAAGCTTTGGGGGGGGGGGGGCGGGGGAGGGGGGGGTGGGGGGGGGAGTTTGGGGAAATCAATATCTCAAAACATATAGATGTTGGTGCGAAATGTAAAAGTTCAAATCATATGCCAAAATACATATTGAGATATGCACCAAGCAAGCCCAGGGCATAATGTATAGCGACACCTAAAAAATGTCAGGAAATAAATGGGGGGGGAGTTTGGGGAAATCAATATCTCAAAACATATAGATGTTGGTCAATGTAAAGTCAAAATCATAAATGCCAAATACAATTGAGATACACAACAGCCCAGGCATATGTATAACACTAAAATTCAGAATAAATGGATATCCTTTGGTTTCCCAAATAGACAGTAATACAAGGTAAAAGCAGCAATCTCCACACAGCTTCTCTGGCCATTTTAGTGGCCTTATTTTTTTTTTTTTTTTGGGGCCATAACAAAATCAGCATTATCTAATAATCTGCTTCATGCCTCAGGTGTCATTATTAGGATATGTTATTATTGGGTATTAGGATCTGTTTATCTTCCTAACCACATAGTCACCTGCTTCACGCGTCAGGTGTCTAGGTATGCAATGATTTTATTCACTATCCCGTGCAAATAAAGTATTATAATTATAATTAAACATACACCAATACATTAGAGAGTTTTTTATTGGTTACCTTTAAATTAAAATTTAATGTCACAATTAGGATGTCACTTTGGAACCAAAAAACAGTTATGACACTGGTATTTCAATTGAAGCCTATGCATAAACATTAAGAGTATATGTTCTTGGCTATCTCTTGCAGAAATTCTGGGGCGAAATCCACAAGCAAGGAATATTCTTCAATAACCTTTGCAGGGTAACTCAACAAACAATGAACGGCAAATTGATGAAATAACAGTGTCCATTCAACCCGGAGAAAATCTTTGATGCGACATCTTTTCATTAACAAGGTAAATAGAACTTAGAAGAAAATATTTTGAATTTGCAGAACAACCCATAAAAGTTAGAAATATATATGGAGAAAACACAAGCAAGAGGTACCTGGAAATGGGAAAAATATACTACCAACAAAGACTGGTAATTAACTTTCACTAAAGTTTCTATGTTTGAAAAGGAACTTGAGGAACCATTCAGCTTGCTCGGATTCTAAGGTTTTGGGTTTAAAATTCTCACAAAACATGCAATGCTCTGCAAATTGTACAGCCACAACTAAAATGCAATGATTTCAGAAAGGGATAAACATTTCAAAACCAAGTATGTCCTCACCACAGGATTACTAGCTCCAGGATCTTGTAAGATGTTCTTATCATCAAAAATTTCAAAAAATATATCTGAAAAGAAAAAGGGGAAAAAACAATCAGGTCAAAATGAAGTTAATATCACCGCATATCATCCTATATGAATATTGTGGCTAGAACAGACCTCCATAATCATCAACAACATACTGAAACTCTGCCCACGAATTTTGTTCGTGTGGTTCACAGTGTACTGTCCCAGGAAAGACCAGCAGAGCATTGTTGTTAGCCTAAGGCAAAATGAAATGTATGATTATGCATTTGTTAACATATGGCTTGCTGATAAATTTGGCAATTTAAATTTATCACCAGCATGAAATTATCCAAGCACACACCTCGACAGTTGTCCTTGCTATTTCAGCAGAGGTGAGCTGGATGTCCCGAATCCTTTTGCTTTCTTTGATTTCCTCAAGGGGGTGATAACTTTGATGACTTGCATACCTAAATGAATCCGGAACTGAATCAGGGTAATCTGCAGCAACAGAAACCTTCCAAAGGCAATGATCACGTCCAACAGATGACCAAGATCCAAAAAATGGATTTCTGTATCTGCAATTTAACATATGAAAAAATTCTTCATTAAAACGAACTGACAGATTGGAAGACCTTCGCAACAAGCCAGCCTTCTAAAATGCAAATGACGGGGGAACACAGATATTGAAAATGTATACAACAATAACAACTAAGCCTTAATCGTAAACTAGTTGGAGTTAGCTATTTGAATCCTTTGTTTCCATTCCGAGATATTGAAATGCATACGTCCTAAAATTTGCGAATATCTTAAAATCTTTAAAGCACCAGGGTTTTAAGAAAAAGGTAATTGAATCGATACAAATATGAAAGCAAAATATGCCTTATACTGGAACAATCAGAACATTTGCGATTGTCAATAGGAGACTTGATCCAGGTGCTTGTGACTGCATATGATGTTGAACACGAGAAACCATCTGGAGGACATAATTGACAATTGGAACAACCTGAAAACATGTTATAAAAAAATGTTACAGGAGAAGCCATTGAAATTATGTATATAAAAGGTGGAACAGGAGAAGAGGCAGAGAAGAGATAGTGGAATCAGCAGACCAAGCTAAGTTCCAAACTTAAGCAGTCCACATTAATGTATTAAACGGCCATTTCACCAAGTCACAGAAAATTCCCCACCTTGCTTCGTTCATCTATATCCAAGTTAAACTTAAAACCAAAATCAGATACACTTCTTGTTCATTTCTTCAGCAGTTCAGCGTAAAGAAATCACTAATCACGCAAGTTAGGGAGGAAAACAACTATTTTGCATGTGGGTTTTTCATCAATAATTAAAGTACAGCAATCCGAATCCAAAGTAGAGCCCTTTTCAGCTAACATTGAGGACACTTCACAAATTCACTCAATGATCGCCATTTCACTTCATTGCTCCAAGAAATTTGATTACATTACCAAAGAATTATGTTCGAGTAGAATCCACACATCGATCATAACGATACACTGGAATTACTCTAACCAGTTCCAATAATTTCAAAGTACAGCCTTCCTCAACAAACAGTACTGAAACTAAGCAAAATATGAAAATGGGTATCCTCTAAAACATGTAAAAAAATTTGGGTATTTGCAAATGTTCAAAAAAGAATTAGCATGCATCATAAGAAATTTCAAAAAAACATTGAGTCAGCAACTTCAACGCAAATTCACTCAAGTGATTCGGCCAATCTTCACTGATCATTGCTGACCAAGAAGATGGTGAATTACATTAGCCTAAAGGAAATGGTATTTCGAGTAGAATCCACGACAGGGTTCGATCATCAACGATCCACGTGGAATTGACTGCTAACCATCTTTCCATCATACGATATTTTTCAAAAAGTAACACAGCCTTTCCTCAACAACAGTAACTGGCAAACCTACTAGCCAAAGTATGAAAAATCGGGTCAGTCTGTTTCACTCCTAATAAGCAGTGTCAAAAAATTTGGGTATTTTGCAAATGTTTCATAAAAAGAAAATTGTATGCATGCATCATTAAGAAATTTCACAAAAAAAAAATAAAAATAAAAAAATATATATTACTTATAGTATATATTTATTTGATACCGCTGGTACCACGAAAAAAACAAAAAGTAAGAGGAGAAAGATAGAGAGAAACTAAGAAATGAAAAGATGCCAGCTTTTAAGTATTTTAAGGATATTACCGTGGTTGAGGGCAGAAGTGGAGAAGCAGCCTGCGATGCCACCGATGAGTATAGGATTGAAGTCCTCATAAATAGTTATTTATCTAACGTAGTCGATGTCGTCTACGAACAGAGACCGCGCAGTCAGCAGAATGAATAAAAGAGAGAAAAGATGGTCATGTGATATGATCAGATGCGTCGAGATAAAAAAAAAAAAAAAGAAGAGGAGGAAGAAGAAGAAACAAAAATGAAAAGATGGCAGCTTTTAAGTTTTAAAGGATATTACCGAGGGAAAGTGGAGAAGCAGCTGCGATCACCATGAGATAGATATGGCCTCTATAGTTTCTACGAGTATGCGTACGAAAGAGAGGAGTAGAGAATAAAAAAAAGAGAAAAGGGTCAAGATCAGATGCGGAGAATATGACTGTTTGATGCTGATGCTGTGTTGTGTTCTTCGTTTGTTTGTGTGTGAGGTTTCAGCGTGATTGGCCCATGAAAATCTGTGTCAGAGTCGCTCGCGTACCAGAAATTGTTTCATTAAGGTTTCAGAAATTTCTCATTTTTTGGAACCACTAATTATAATGGGGGATTATTTTCCTTTTTCTTCGATTTCCTTTTCTTATTTTGGCAACCCCAAACTTGAAAAGAAATCTAATTCATTTCATTTTTAGGTTTACAATCTTAGATTTAATTTTAATTCATTTTCTTTCTAGATTTTTGAAAGTCCATTGAACTCTGACCAGGTTCAGTTTAAATATTGAAAGATTAAATATTAAAAGATTCATATAATATCCGAACACATATTAATATTGAAAGCTCGAGTATTGCAGGTCCGTATAAAAAGTGATAAAAAGTGATTGTGACAATTTTTGTATCTGAACTCATTTTACAATATTGGATCAAATTGAATATTTATATACTTTTATAGAGGAAAATTAATATATGAAATTCAGTAATTCAAATGATAAGGAGATCCCATATATAAACAACTAGCTTAATGAATGGAAAAATTAAAATTTTACTTTTTGAACTAAAAATAAAAAATAAAAAATAATTTTAAAGATAAATAAAAGTAGATTGAATTATTTTCAATCTCAACAGCTGGTATGGTACAATTTTTAAATAAGAAGTCTATGGATGAGTTTTTTTCTTCTTTGAATTAATATTTAATCATATGTAATCACTTCATTAGCCTACTTAAGCTCTTCTAAGGTTTTATATTGGGGGGGAAAAAAAAGAAATTTTGGCATGAAGAATTACATTTTTGCTATATAAAAGACAATAAAAAAGAGTGAAACAAACACCAAAAAGACTCAAATTTTATGACAAAATACAAAGAGAAAGTATATAGTTTGAACACTTTCTATAATTTAATTCAAGCAAAGGAACATTCTTTAGGTAATCCTTGAGGGAAGCGTTTGGTATCAGTGCAATAGTTGTAAATCATGTAGTTCTTTTGCACCCATTTGATTCTTTCTTGGCCTGTGGTGTCCAAAGATTGTGTTAGCCATGAGTTCTTGGAGGAATTGGAGGAGGAGCAAGACGAGGAGCCAGAGGCCCAAATGCAGGCCTGTGCATTGAAATTTCTATATGAAGCAGTGAATGGGGCTTGTGTCCAATCTGTTTTTACAAGCCCACCCCTTGTGGCCCAATCATCAGCATTCCAGAGACTAGAATATATCCACATTGGTTGGCTTTTTGGAAACTGTATGCCATTTGATTCCAAGTTCTTGAACTCTCTAATAGGAGTCCCATCCACAGAGAAGCTGAGACAGAAAAAGAATATTTCGTTATAGTAATTGGTTGTATTCTGATTGATATTCCTATGTCTTATAAAAGATGTAGAAAGTGGGAGGTTTCGAATTTGAATTCTCTCCATTATCAAAGTTATTATCAATTTGGTAAAGGTTATTCAAGGCTACTCCTAAGGGTGTAAATGAGTCAAGCCGCTAGGTTCGATATTGGCTCGAAAATCAACAAGTTGAAAATTCTAGGCTTGAGCTCAATTTGAAACTCAATTTTCCATGAGTGATCTAAAATAATATTATATATATGTATATATAAAAGTTCGATAAGACTCGACGAATTTTCAAGCTGAACATTATTAAGCTCGAGCTCGATTTGAACCAAATTTTTTCGAACTCTTTTCGAATAAAGTTTAAACAGTTCGTGAGCCGTCTCTGCTCATTTATATTTTTAACTATTTTTACTGTATAAGCCACAATATTATTCTAGTCCATAAGAGGGATAGTCATAAACTTTAAAACAATGTCAGTGTATCCAAAACCGCAAGTGATACTAGTTAAAGAATTTAAAAACAGAAAACTATTTACCCTTTTTTTCCCCCTTTATTTAAAAAAGCTTTTTACGTTTTAGTTAATTTCATGGGAAAAAAAAAGAAAAAGAAAAAGCTATATTGGGTCCATATATCAACAACCAAAATTTAAAGTCTAGCTTTTTACTTACATAATGCTTTGAGGATTCCAAAGAACAGAGTAGGTATGGAAGTCCTTTGTAGGGTCAAACCAGAGATAAAATTGCTGTTCTCTGTTACCCTTTCCTTGAGTGAACACATTTGTATGGAGAATATAAGGCTCTCCACTAAGATTTCCTAAGAATTCAAAGTCTATTTCATCATGAGCTGAGCCCACAGAAGATAGCTGCACCATCCAAAATTTGTTACAATTAATTAACTGCTAAACAAAATTTGCAAGCATTATACACTGCTTAATGCAAATGAAAATGAAAATCATTTTTTTTTATATATAATTAGGAGACGTAATCTCTCGAGAGCTTATAGGTTTAAGGGGGTTGATGTCGTTTGCTCTGATGGAATTTAAACCTTGACCTCTCATTCCTTTTAAAGATTTCTGATATATACCGAAAAAAGAAATAAAAGGAAAAGAAAGAAAGAAAGAAAGAAAGAAAATCTCACATAGTAAGCAGTGACAGTTCCAGCAGAATTTCCAGGCACTAGCTTTAGCTGCATGTCAATTTTCCCAAACAAGTATTGTTTTTTTGATTTAAACCCAGAACCAGAGGTTTTGTCAAGAGAAAGAGTAAGGAGTTGGCCATTATTAAGGATTTTTGCTCTCCCATCTCCCCAAGTTATGTCGAAGTTTTGGTTGAAGTCATTTGCAGCTGAAGCTGCCACCATTAAAAAACTTACTGCAAGAAAACCCACCACCATAATTTTTCTATTAATCAAGAAAAGCTTTTACTTTGGTTGAAGGGGAAATGGACACTTTATGAATGAGAGGAAGAGAGTGTTTCTGACTTGTGAGTTATTTGCATGGAAATGGTTGAGGTATTTATATAGTGATAGTACAGAGAGAAAGAGAGAAAGAAATAAGATATTTTAATCTTTGGTAGCTAAATATTTTCTTGAATGGAAATGATTGAATTTATGACGAATTATATTAAATTATGAGAAATAAAAGTTTATTAGATGGGCTCGATTCAGTTCAATTAAAAAACCATGGTTTGATCACTACTAGGTTTGATTTTAGTATTTATATAACCAAACCCATTAACTGTTAGAGTGAAAATTCAATAAAACGACGTAAAAATTAAATTTTAGACTCTTTTTTCTCTGATTATTTATTTATGAGAAGCTAAATAAATAAGAATAATATTACGAAATATATAATTACGATTTTTTTTTTTTCTTTTTAATCATTCTTGTAAAAATAGTAGAGATTTAATCGGGTCCAAGTAATGAGAATACTCAAATTCAAATTTATAACTCCCCGCACAATTTTTTTAAAAAAAATGAAGAAACCAACAAATTACAACTGATTGAATTGTTATTTGGATAATTATAATTTTATGGAGATACATAGATAAGGTGATGTTATAATAATTTGAAAGATATTTTAACTATATTTATTTAGTAAATTGTAAAAAAAAAAAAAAAAAAAAAACATTAGATAAGGTTGATGTTTATAAAAATTTGAAAGATATTTTAACTATATTTATTTTAGTAAATTTGTTAAAAAAAAAAAAAAAAAAAAGTTAACTGTAATTATAACGAGGATTAAAGTAGGGTATGTAAAAACCACTGAAGAATCGAAAACAAAGCCGAATTTTAATCCACTGTCGATTCAGTTCGTGATCAACTATAAAAAAAAAAAAAAAAAAAAAGTAATGTAATATAACGGGATTAAAGTAGGGTATGTAAAACCACTGGAAGAATCGAAACAAAGCCGAATTAATCCACTTCGATTCAGTTCGATCAACTATTCAAGAGAGGTTTAGTTTATCAGGTTAATCAGTTTGAATCAAATTTATTATTTAGTTCGAGTCAATTTATAGAAATTCGTCAATTGGACTTAAAACTGAACCGACATGGTAAAAACTGACCAAAGCGACTGGTTCAATTCAGTTCCAATATCAATATCCAAAACCTTCAGTTTGTATTTTTGGCTTTGGTTTGATTTGATTTGAATCGAACCAACCATTTGCTCATCCTAGATTAGAGGCATTTTAATGTAAATAGGTTTGAATTTTGTTCTTGGAGGAGTTTAGTTTATGATTCAAAATGATCAAACCAATACTAAAATAAAAAAAAAAGATGGTTCGAGTTTGGTAGGAACATAATAGATCGAACCATTATAGTCTTGAAATTTGTAATACAAATGTGGAGCCATAAAGATTTGGACAAGTTAAATTAATAAGATGGGTAGAGTTGTTGGGAAACTATGCAAGAATCCTAGAGAGAGAGAGTGTTTTAGGTTGACTTGTTCATTGAGAAGGGACCTGACAGCAATAATGGAGATTGGTTTTAGGTCTTGTTTGGCCAATTGTTTGGATTCTTACTAAGTTTTAGTGATAAAACTTCAATACACAGCTGTCTTATGGTTGTTTCCCAATCTTATGTGAATTATACATATTGCTTGCCACTTGTTCAACAGAAAAAAAGGTAATGAGTTCAGACTGATAAGTGTTAAAATGATTTAAAAACAAAAAAGGAAATTGCATTTTATTTGTTGATGACGAGATATCTAGACCTGTGTCCGTTCTTACTGTCCATGGTAAACCCTATTATAGACCTGAACGAGTTTACGTCATAAAAGATTGTCCATGGTAAACCCTATTATAAACCTGAACGAGTTTACGTCATAAAAGATTGAACCAGTTACCTAATTTATAATAATTTACCCCGTAAAAATTTTTTGCCACTGAGCTACCCATTCAGATTATATAACATTTTATTAATTTATAGGAAAGGTTACAGTTTATTTAATTGGTTGCTTTACATGTTATTGATCATGATTTACTCTTAAAAAAAAAGAGACCAATGAGAAGTTTTTTTCATTTATAAATTGTTTAGTCTTAAAAGTATATTTTTCATTGAATTAGAAAAATAAACTTAATATGATGTATAAAAATTGAAAAAAGAATTGAAAGCATGACATCTTAAATTTAATAATACCAATATTTTTATACTAGCAATATACAATTAGAGAATCAAGAATTATCTGATTGATTTTCTTATGTCTTGTAAAAGATGTGAGGATTGTAAGTTGAGTTCGAATTCTTTTCAGCAATTTAGTGAATGTTATTTGAAAGGAGTAGCTCATGTGTTCTTCCGGTCCATTAAACCTCCTATAAATTAAAAAAAAAAATTAGAGATTTATTTTTCAATATCCATGAAAAATTAGAATTAGGGTTTCTGTAGAATTAAGGGTTCAATCAGTGAAAAAAACATTCATATAAATAGATAGTTATAAAACTCGAAATGAAAATAAACACATGATAGTTACATAATCAAATATAATAATTTCATTTCATGCTCTATTTGAATAGCGTAGACCAAAAGAAAGGAAATTTCATGAAGAAAAAAAAAAAAAAAGGGAGAAACACAAGTCAAAAAGTAAAAAATTTATCCTTCTTATTTGGTGGAGGTGGGGAAGATTCCTTGAAGTAAAAAATTTCATGCTCTATTCAATTTTTTTAAAAAAGAAAAATTACAGTACAGTTATTTTAGAAAATACAACTAGTCAATTTTTATATTTTAGGAAATATACTAAAATTTATTTATAGTTTATTTCCATTAGATTATAAGGTCTTTCTGTCTAATTTTTGTATATTTTTCGTTAAGTGTTTTATGAAATGATGAGAATACTCCTTTCATCTCTTTTTATTTTTGATATATTTTACAAAATAAAGGATGGATTAGTTATATTTTTCAAACAATAAGGACCGTACTATAATTTTTCTGAATAAAATTTTAATACTTCTTCTTTGACTTTTGTGTTTTCTTATTTACTTAATGGAAGGACTTTATAGTCTGGCGAAATTAAACTATAAGAAAATTTTAGTCTATTTTCTAAAATATAAAGACTAGTTTTATTTCATAAAACACAGGAACTGCACTGTAATTTTTTCGTTTAGAAAGATAATAATAATAATAATAACATAAAGCAAAAAATGGGTGGGGAAAAATCCATGAGAGGGACTTGGTTATGCAAGCTGTCAAATGCAAAACAAGTAAACATTCTTTCTAGCCACTTGTTTTATTTTATAATGGATTTAATATTCACTTGTTATTTACTTTATTATGTTCTTATGTTTATTGGTTGATAAATATAAATAAATAAATAAATATATATAGCATGCAAGTAACAATGAATGAAAAGAATTACAATTAATTTATTTTAAGTTGAAGATTATAATATCATTTTAATTATAATGTTCCAAAACCTTAGTCCAACTTGAGTTAAGTGTTGCTTTCATGCAAAGCTGTTGCTTATCAATCAGCACTTTAGAAGATAAGATTCACCAAAAGAATAACATTTTTTAAAAATGTTATAAGAATATATAAGATAATAAGTTTAATATGATTCTTTCCTTCAACAGTTATGATTTTTTATTTGCTAATAATAATTAATAATAACTCAATCAGACATAGCCTGATTGATTTTCTACAAGTTTCTCACGTATTGTAGAAAATGTAAGGAGTTAGAGGTCTCGAGTTTGAATCATCTCTATTAATCCAAATGGAAGTAGCTCAGTGACAAAGAGCATGACAGACACAGTCACACTTAATTAGTTAGAAAGTCTTTTAAACTATCAACAATTAGATTTGGAAAAGCTGCTTCAAATACTCTAAATATTTAAAAGTTTAAATCAATTTTCACTACATTAAAATTTTATATAAAAAAAAAAAATATTAGGGATTCAATTTCTTAACTTTTGTGTGATCACAACCAACTACTTAATTTATAACTCATATATTTTTACATTAATTTTATGAATTCAAATAATATCATAACCAAATGATTCACAAGTTTAAATATTTGACACATAATGCTAATTAATCACTAATGCAAAGCATCTAGTCTTAAATGTTGAAGACCAATAATTGTACAACTCCTAACCATAATAATCAGAAATAGACTCATTTAAATAGAAAATGCATGTCCATCCATATTGATTGTTGACTTGGTAACTACAATTGACCTATTTTCTTTTTCTTTTTTTTAAATATAATTCATTAATAATGATATTAAGAATTACAAATACTCATATAGGTCAGACATAGAACTCCATTATTACTGGCTAATAAGGTTCACTAATCTTTAACGAACCAAAGAAATTTATATTTTTTTTAAACAATAAAACTAAAATTAAAAAATTTAATATTAAACTAAATTAAAAATGGCAAAATTTCCAAATAATTTATATAAATTTAAATAATTTAAAACTTTACGACAAATCTATCTATCTTCTTACCATTCTAAAATTATAACCCGATAGCTAGTACTTTAGGAAAATGGGTACTTTAGAAATATTTTAGTAGAAGTATACCTTTTCTTATTCAGAAAAAACGTAAATTCACAAATACAAATGGGAAAATTTATTGAATTAGAGGTCGAAAATCTTTCTCCTAAAAGTTCATTTGACCTTCTATGAAAATAATTGTACTTGGAAGTGCAAAAGTCCATGATCTACGAAAAAAATTGTACTTGAATTATTAAAGTCCATGATAATAAAAAATAATTATTAATAGAACCATTTTGTAAAAAACCAATCTATTATTAATTTTATTATAAATCATTTATCTATTTTATTATTATTTTATGTAAGATTCATAAATCAACAATGGACTTTCACATTATATTAGAAGTCCATATTCAAACGGGCTGAATATTTGGTGCTCAAGTGCAAGCCCATTAGGAATATGTTGGGCCGGTCTATATGATAGTAACCAACCAGTTTGTTGATATTGGGCCCAACTTATGCTTTGTTTGGATCGTCGTAAAATATTTGATATAAAATAGAGGTGAAAATGTCTTGAGATTATCAAAATTTCTTATTTGGTTCGGGTAAAAATATGAATGAGGGTGTACAGTAAATTTATTTTACACCCATTTTAGCCTAATTTTCTTCCATTTTACACCATTATTTTACTTTTACCCTCTTTCCAAACATAGCATCAAGGCAATCCCAATTGCATTTGAGAGGCAATACAATCCATTAAAGGAATGTTACCTTATCAAAAATTGAATTTCGGACCTCTTGATAGCAGGGCATCACCCCTACCCTGATAATGTAGTCATAAAAACAGCAAACAGTAAATGGTTTTGAATTAAAATTATAAATTAAACAAAATAGTGTTGGGACGAGTGATTAAATATTTTCTTTTTCATTAAATATTAATGTGCGGACCAATATACCTTTAAGAGCACCAACAACATTAAATATTAAAGCTGTCATTATTATTAGCTGCTCTATGCATTATTGGCTCCTCAACTAACACCGGCATACTGTAAAGAAAAAAAATAATAAATAACATTGGCACAGAAGGTGGCAACCACAATATAATAAATCATTACAATTTGAAGGCAATCTCAGCATAATTTTTGCAATTACAGACAATTTTATTGCAAACTAGCCCACAATTCTTATCATTTATACAATTATACCCTAACATTGTACATACGGTTAATTACCCTAACATTCTATTGACTAAATCTTGTTACTTTCTGCAATTAAATGACCATGCAACTGCTTTTTAAGTGTTGCAGAAAGTTGTTGAGTTCATTGACTTTTTACTTTCAGCAACTACATGAGAATCATTTGGAAACATTGCATGGAAGCAACAAGGATATTATCACAATCTTCATCATCAAGTGCTTCAAGAACTTCAATTTTAGTTGAAGCAGTAAATCTAAGGGAAAAAACAAAGCGACAAATGAAAAATGGGTCTGTTGGGAATTTGTTTTGGACTGCAATTTCAATTGCAGACCCTAATGATACAAATAAAGAGTTGCATGAACTAGTTAAGACGTTAAGTGAAGCTATTGCAATTTATAAAACTGATTATACACACAGTTTACAACGTGAAAATGGGTTTGAGACTCTCTGTGAGTTTCTTGACCAGCTAGAAGGGTTATTTTCAGTGGAAAATCCAGATTTATTTGTATGAACGAGCTGGACTCGTATGAGTCTTACTAGCCAAATTTTGGCTGGGGAGAGCCTGATTGGGTTGGTGTTATGGGTAAAGCTGGAGATTTATTTAGAAATGTGGTTATATTTATTGATGCAAAAGATGGAAAAGGGATTGAAGCTTGGATTACTTTAGATGATAAAAGAATGGAGCTATTGCAGAAAAATCCTGAGTTCTTGAAATTTGCTTCTCCTGATCCAAGGTTTCTAGCATGTGACGATCGATGAAGATGATTACAATATCAGTGTGAGAGTCATAATTTTAATAAATTATAAAGAATAACACGTGATAGAAATTAATGCATGTTGTTTAGATATTTTGGCTGGTTTCAAAATTTTAAGATATTTGCATACAGTTGCTACATAAATGATTTGATGTGGACTAATGTACTTTGTTGATTAATGTACGTACTTTTGAAACATCCTTAATTGCTTGTTTGAATATATCGAATATGTGTTTTATGAAACTTTCAAAGTGGTTGGTTACTTGCATTCAATGGGTCACTAATTTAAGAATCTGTTGCCACATCCAATAATTATATTCATCAAAGTTGTTTAATTCCATCTTATCAATGAATCATTTGTTTTAAAATTACTTACTTCCTGGAAACTATACTTTCCGGAAAGTACACTTTCAAATAAACAGGCCAACCAAACAAAATCCTGGTAAGATGAAAATAATTTTATTCAAAAGAAAATACGCTTTTAAGAAAATAATTATTTCTTAGAAAATATATTCACTTTAATTTTAGAATCTGTTGCCAACATCAATGATTTATATTATTCAAAGTCTGTTTAATTCCATTCTTCATCATTGATATTTCATTTGTTTTTAAAATTATTCTATACTTCATTGAGAAACTATTACTTTCCGGAACGTGTACACTTTTCAAATATAAACAGGCCAAAAACCAAGAACAAAATCCTGGTAAGATGAATAATAATTATATTATTCAAAAGAAAATACGCTTTTAAGAAAAATAATATTTGCTTAGGAAAATATTATATTATATATATATTATAAATATACTTATTATTTAGCTATATATTATATAACCTGAAAACAAATATTCTCCCCATCAAAAATATATATAACCTGAAAACAATATCTCCCCACAAAAATATTTTATTTTGTCTAATCTTGAAGAAAATTTTTAGGTAAAAATACCTTTACATCTATAATTTATTTTTTAATATTATTATAAACAAGACAAAAGAATTAATAATTAACACATTTTATAATTAGACATTTAGTGAGCACTCAGGAGGGAGACCTTGAGGGAAGCGCTTGGTGTCAGTGCAATAGTTGTAAATCATATAGTTCTTTTGCACCCATTTGATTCTTTCTTGGCCTGTGGTGTCCAAAGATTGCGTTAGCCATGAGTTATTAGAGGAGGAGCAAGAAGAGGAGCCAGAAGCCCAAATGCAGGCCTGTGCATTGAAGTTTCTATAGGAAGCAGTGAATGGAGCTTGGGTCCAATCTGTTTTTACAAGCCCACCCCTTGTGGCCCAATCATCAGCATTCCAGAGACTAGAATATATCCACATTGGTTGGCTTTTTGGAAACTGAATGCCATTTGATTCTAAGTTCTTGAACTCTCTAATAGGAGTCCCATCTACATAGAAACTAAAGACAGAAAAAGATTATTAGGAAAACTAATTAAGCTAAACAACCAGTCAATCTCAACTCATTTTCATCATGAATAAGAAATAGACTCATAAATAGGGATGTAAATAAGCCGAGTCGACTCGCGAGCTGTTCGAGCTCGATATCAAGTCTGTTTATTTAGCGATCTAGTTGAGTTCGAGCTTAATAATTTTTCCTCGAAAGTTCATCGAGTCTTATGAAATTTTTATATTTACATATATATAATATTATTTTAGATTACTCGAGTCTCGAATTTAAAATTTTTCGGGTTGAACTCGAACTTGAAGTGGAGCTCGAATCGAACTTGAGCCTAAAATTTTCAGGCTCGTTGAGTTTTGAGCCGAGCTAAATTCTAGTTTGCTTGGCCGGACTCATTTACATCCCTGCTCATAAATACTTAGAGAGAGAGAGAGAGAGAGAGAGAGAGAGAGAGAGAGAGAGAGAGACGAGAGGAAGAGAGAGAGAGAGAGAGAGAGAGAGAGAGAGAGAGAGAGAGAGAGAATACATAATGCTTTGAGGATTCCAAAGAATGGAGTAGGTGTGGAAGTCCTTGGTAGGATCAAACCAAAGGTAGAATTGTTGTTCTCTGTTTCCTTTTCCTTGGGCGAACACATTTGTATGGAGAATATAAGGATCTCCACTCAGGTTACCCAGGAATTCAAAGTCTATTTCATCATGGGCTGACCCTATAGAAGATAGCTGCGCAATTAACAAGCAAAAACAATAATCAACAAGAAGCTAACTTTTGTTTATTATGGCTGATTAGATGATTTCAAGTAACCTAAGAGATGAGCTTACATAGTAAGCAGTAACAGTTCCAGCAGAATTTCCAGCCACTAATTTCAGCTGCATGTCAATTTTTCCAAACAAGTATTGGTTCTTTGATCTAAACCCAGAACCAGAAGTTTTGTCAAGAGACAGAGTAAGAAGCTGGCCATTTTCAAGAATCTTTGCACGTCCATCACCCCAAGTTAAGTCAAAATCTTGATTGAAGTTACCAGCAGAAACCGCAGCCACTAGTACAAAGCTCGTAATTGCAAGAAAACCCAAAACGATATTATTATTTGCTCTAGTAATTGAGAGAGAAGAACTTGGACGAGTCATGATTTTGTTGGAGAAAAAATGAACAGTTTGTGAAAGAGAGAGCAAAGGAAGAGTTGTGAATAATGTGCATGGAAATGTTTATGATATATATAGGAAAATGTTTCTTTTTTCTTTTTCCAATAATACATTCGGTGTTCAACCAATTCAAAACCAATCAAAATCGTATTTTTAAAAACACCAAATTGAACTGAAATAATGTTTAGAATTAAATCACATCAACAATTAATTTAATTATCGGTTTTTTTTAAATTTTATAAAATCAAATTGGATTGAAATTGTTTCTTTTCCGTATGAATTAAAATCAAATTAAATTAAATTGAATCAAATGAATCACATTTAATAATAATAATTATTATAATTATTATTATTATTAATAAAAAGAAATAGAAGAAGGGTTGGTGGTTGGGAAAATATGGATTCGTGTGGAAGAGATATTGTGGGTTGACTAGGGCAATTGTTAGGGGACCGGACAGCTATAATAAAGATGACGTGCGTCTATGTCTTTTCTACATTTCTTTAGAATCATAAACTTTTAGTTACGCATAAATGATGTTTTAGCTTTTATCATTATCATAAATCTTAATCCATAACACAGCTGTCCATTATTCGTTTTCCGATTAATTAGAATCTAATCTAATCTAATCTAACTCACAGTCAGTTCAGACTTCTTCATATGATTTATTATAATATCAATCTATTTAAGTATTTTTTTATAATCACGATGATTGAAAGCGTATGAGATTTCGATTACGGTCCAGTTTAAGTACTGCAGGATTTATATAGGATGTTTGTTTCTCCCGGCGTGACAATTCTCGTACAGGTACAGCCAACCTTAGTCATTAACATCAGTCAAATGTAGCTTTCGTGTAGCTGGTGCTTATCAATTATCATCCAACCAATACTACAACAAGAACAAGAAGAGGAAGAGGAAGAAGGATGAAGAATTCTATTTTGAAAAATTATGCTCTTGAAATATTCAAAGAAAAATCTAATAATTTATTCTGTTTCTAGAAATATTTATTTGTCATCCTCAATTTCAATCTGTAAAATCTTTTTCAAGACTTACATATGACAAGACTTTTGTTGTTTGGATTAATTAAAAAAAGAAAGAAAAAAAAAAAAGAATCATCCCTTCTTCACACATTCATTTTTTTTCACGACCCAGTTATATATATATATTGAAACACTTGTTTAAATTTTAGTGGCACCTTTGCAAGTAGATTAGCACATCAATTGACTACCAACAGCTTTAAATATTGTCATTAAATTGTTAATTATGATAATCCTAATCTAAGTTGATTAAAGCTCTGTTTGTTTATAGAAAATAACTTATATTGGAAAATTAAAATTATTTTCCAACCGACTGATTTCATTATTTGGTTGCAATTTGAAAATTAGTTAAAAATATTAAAATTTTGAATTCATAAGACCATAAAGTAAAAATACTAATAATATAAATTTCGTATTTTACTAATTTTATTGTTAAATATGAAAATAACGCAAAAAAAGGATAAATTATGAAAACCGCCGGTGACCAACTGTGGTGGCCGATGGTAGTAGACAGTGAGCAGTGATAGTAGCTACCAATGATGAGTAAATTAAACAACATAAGGATTTATAAAGTTACAATAAGCAAAGTCCGGAAAATGTTTTACGCTCTTGAAGATAGGAAGTCATTTTCCTTAAAAGTGACTTAATTTTACTTAATCGGAAAAATATTTTCCGTTGATTTATTTTCCTAAACACTTTCAAACAAGTTATTTTATAGAAACAAACCAACCCTAAGGCTTTGGATAGACATCACCGTATCATATTCATTGAATACTCTTAAATTAATTTAGCTTTGGTGAAAAAAAATCAATCAATTAGGTTTTGAAATAATCTTTAAGAGATGACAGATCAAGTATTTGTCAATTCAAAATGTCAATGCCTCCATTTTTAAGCTGCTTTGACAGTGATAAGTAGTAGTTCAGTTGCCAATTGGGAATGCTCTTCATGTTTGATAATAATTAATACCAACCAACGACAATATCAATAGTTCTTTTCTATGATCTTGAGTCTGAACTTCAAAGTTCATAGCATTTAGATCAATAAGAAAAAGATATGGAGATGGAGATTTGCCTGAGGTCTGGCCGGAATTATTACGATTTGATTGAATTGGCTGGAATTATTTGCCTGAGCTTCTAGCAACCAGGAAACCTGTCATAAAACTGCATTCTGCAAACAATCCCACAAGGTCAAAATGAATGCAAAGTTATTTTCTTTGCAGAATTATATGTCCTATAGCTGTCACTTGAGGCCAAGTTAATTTCCATTTTTCTTTAATGTTGTTTGTCAGAAATCCGCTTTGAGCTTCTAGCCAGAGCAAGGGCTTTCAAAAGCCACATCCCACTTCTTGTCAATTAATTTTGGCATGGAGTTTTCAGAAGAATGTTTCCAGAAAACCATTTCTGCACAACTTTTTCTCTAAATCCTTCAACCTATCGTCTCGCATTCTTAAATTGAACTTGCCAAGCCAGCCTGCTAAGGATATCATCCATTTTAATTTTTATATCCAGCCCTCTACTTTCAGTCTTCCGAAGAAGAATCCACTATACTGTTGAATGCCTATATGGTTCATTCTCAAATAAACCACTATACTTTTCTCTATTCTGTTGAATGCCTATAAACATTACCACATGAGAAGCCAGAGTTTGCATAAAACCTGTGCATTTAAAACCATATGCAGGACTTAAACCTGCACCTTGCCTCCAAAAGCGTAAACTCATCCCCTTTTGAGGTAATAGGCTTAAGCAGGAAGAATTAGTCAACATAATCATGGTAATCATAGCTATAATTATCACATTGACACATCAGAACAACAATCATAGATTGACTTTCTTCAAGTCCGAATAACTTGCACCACATAAACTACAAAGCTTTTAAGATTGAAGATAATTTTGCATGTGTCATGTATCAACACGTGTATGTAACCATGAATGGAGAAGTAAAACACCTTTGCAAGCATAAAAAGAATTCTGAATGCCAAGAAAGTAAAAGCAGTTCTTCTGTTTCAGAATTGCTTGCATCATACAGAAACCATCTGATTTCCACCACACACAGGTATTGTCCACAAATATACATTACATCAATTTGTAGATGTACGTATTTTTTTCTCACATCCCAAGATAATTTTCATAGTACTCACCAAAAACAGATTACTTTCATTTTCTGTTCATTGCTTAATAGTAACTTGTCTTAGATTCAACAAGTAATGCACTTCCTATGAAACAATCTCTATCAAATTGGACGGATACATATCATGCAGTGTGCTGGTAATATGAAATGTCTATTCATTGGGCTATGCATGAATATCAACTGATCATATATATAACTACTAACATCATCTATGCATGAACACAAAAGAAGGAAAAATAAAAAATTGAATCAACTACCATCTTTTAATTTCATAGCAAACCACCAAATTACCAATTATATGATAAACAAATCTAAAGGCTATTCAGCCTGAACCTGATAAAAAATTTAACTAAAATTCAAAACCGCATTACTTACTACGCTGAGCTCCACTTCATATTCTAGGTCTCATTTCTGTCAAATGCAAGATCAAGCTCACAGCCAAGCAAGCAATGGTTTGATCTAGCCAACCCTAAAATGCCATGCAATGGCTTCTCAGCATCTACAGGTCCTAATTATCAATCAGGCAACTAAATCTACTGAAAGTAATTGACCAACTACCAAGAGGCATTGATGATCAATCACTACCTGGAAAAAAAAAAATCAAAGACTACCCACTTTTAGCACAGAGTCATAGAAGAACATAATTGATCTGAAAAAATTCTAATGGACAATTATGTTCATGGGTTAGCGTAGGCATAAATAACATGTTTACACTACAGGAGAATTTATTTGGGTACCCGAATATCAGAAAGGCTCTCTGACTGTATACAACCTTTTTGTATCTAATTCTTCTATTTTTCCTCATGATTGATGACAATAGACAGACCATCATGAACATCCCTTCCCCACACAAGGGCATCATGTAGGATAAAGGAGAGGCAAAGACCTCAGATAGAAAACTTCTTCCCTCCTTCCCATGTTCCCAATAAAAAGGTGGAAACTGACTATAAAATAAAGAAGCAAAAAGAAAAAATGAAAATAAAAGAAAAAATACTTGAGATTGATACTATCTCATGAAGGTATACTCACGTTGGAAATATTTTCTTGGAGCCAAAGCCGCATTTCATTTCAGCAGTTTGAGAGTAGGAGAAAGAGTGAGGGAAGACGGGTGGATATGTCATTCTACTGCCAAGAATAATAAACGAACCTTAATCAATGTTGCCCTGGATTATAAGAATTGTTTCCTTAAATACATGTTTATCACTCAAACAAACAAAACAAAGTGGCATGTGAGCATAACCCCAAATTTCGTGGATCGAGTAATTGAATGCAAAAGGATATTATATGAAAAGAAAACCTAGAATTGTTTGAATGAAATTCCCATCCACATGATCATGATCCCATTTCTAGATACTCCCATTAGTATACATTTGATAGATGGCAGACTTGAAAATTTATATTTCTTTCTATCATATACCATCAGATCTCATAAAAATAGAACACTGCTAATTTTAGTCTGCACATCAAAGAAAGGAATGAATTCATAGAAAAAAGGATGTGCTATAGCAGGGCTTGGAGAAACTAAAGCATGAAATTAAGATACTGAATCTGTGGTGCTGCATGTTTATCGCTTCACTTAATAGAGAAGACAACCTTACAATATAATTAATTATAAATGTTTGTGGTTAATTGTGTTGCAGAAATAGAAACAGCAGTTGAACAAAAACAAATTTTAATGAGAAAATCTATGCAAAAATACAAGATTCCATAATGGAATCATCTTCATAATATAAGTATTGCTTCTTAGAAAATGCTAATAGAGAGTGTATTAAAAGGAAATGATCATATGCAAGCATTAAAGTAATTGAAGATAAAGTATCAGCAGAGATCATATTTGAAATATCACCTTATAATTCAAGCCTTAATATAGGAGCACCACATGGAGGAAACAGACCTTTGTGATCAATCTCAAACTGTTGCAAGGTTATGCCTAGTCAAGTTCAAAGGAATTTATCAGAACATATAGAAATAAGAACTACAAACAACCACAAATACAATTAAAATTTTACACCATATCAAAAGCCAGTTTACTCTCAAAATGCTGAAGCCTGCATTAATATCGTCGTTTACTGAGGCGCCATGAATTAGGTTCCTGATATCTATCATAAAGAGGTTCGATGCGTTCTCGACGTTTGCGCTTACTCATATTCTTTGGATCTGCAGCCTTGAAGAATCTTGATGCTAGTTCTACAAGCCATTTAGGGTCTATTACAGTTACCTCACGCATGTACTCCTTGGTAGTCATTACTACTTCATGGTAGATGAGCCAGTCTGGTTGTCTGCGGTAAAGGGCACTGCTTGGATGGATATAGAATGTCTGATTGTTAATCAAGGTCCGATAACCCCCTTGCGGATCTCTTTTAGCTGTGTGGAAAAAGAATCCTGCAGCAATTGCTTTTGTTATCCTCATAACGTTCCCTCCGGCACTCACAATATCCACATTGTACCTATCCATAATGGAAAGAAGTTGTTTTCTAACATCCTTTGCCCTCCTCAAAGACCGAGCCTGAACAAAATTCTCATGACACCAAGCATCTGAGAAACCTTTTGCTTTCCAGGCCTCATATACAGCAAGTAAAGTCAGATGGTCCCCTTGTGGATGGAAAAAGTTACTCCTCTTCTCATCTGCTCGAGCTTGTTTTTCCCTAGGCCTGTAAAAGATGTTACCAGTTTGGATCATGGCAATAATAGTCAAAATCTCATCACTGCAACCAAGATATTCACTAGCTAATAACATTTTAGACAATGGTGGGTCAAGAGGAAATATTGCCATTAGCCTACCTGTTTTAGTTAGAATCCCTTCCTCATCCAATGCCCCTAGACCATATAGTTGATCCATGGCAGAAACAAAGGTTTGGAATGAAGGTGAATCCATAAAATCAAAACAGGATACATCTCTGACTCCCATAGCCATCATGGACAGCACAATCTCTGCAAGGTTAATCCTTTGGATTTCAGGAGTTGCAGTAGGAGACATCTCATTCCTAAATGCATTCTCAGTATAGAGACGGTAACACTTTCCAGGGCCAATACGCCCAGCACGCCCAGCTCGTTGCTTGGCAGATGCTTGTGAAATAGGGGTTATAAGCAAAGATTCAACCCCTAACTTAGGATTATAAACATTTTGTTTCATAAATCCAGGATCAATGACATAGAAAATTCCATCTATAGTCAATGACAATGACATAGAAAATTCCATCTATAGTCAATGATGCTTCAGCAATATTAGTTGCTACAACCACTTTCCTCTTCCCTGCAGGAGTTGGTTCAAATATCCTAGATTGCATGTCACCTGGAAGAGCACTATAAATAGGCAAGATAATCAAGTCAGGAATATTATTACCAAGTTCTTTCCTTCTATTATCAAGAGTTTCACATGCAAAATCAATTTCTTCCTGACCTGTTAAGAAAAGCAAAATATCTCCTTCAGGTTCTGTCAAGTGGATCTGCAAGACTGTTATAAGAGCTGCATCAAGATAATCACTTTCAGGCTCTTTAGTAAATAGTATCTCCACAGGAAAAGATCTGCCAGGAATAGTAAAAATATTACAATTAAAGAAGTACTCAGAAAACTTCTCAGCATCAAGTGTAGCAGAAGTGACAATCAACCTAAGATCAGATCTCCTTTTCAAAAGCTTCTTAAGCAACCCAAAAAGAACATCAGTGTAAATAGTCCTCTCATGAGCCTCGTCAAGCATTATAACAGAATACTGAGACAGATCACTATCAATCAAAATTTCCCTAAGAAGAAATCCCTCAGTCATATACTTAATCACAGTATTAGGCCCAGTACAATCATCAAACCTAACAGCATACCCTACCTCCTCTCTTAACCTGCAACCAAATTCTTCAGCTACCCTTTTAGCAACAGAAATTGCAGCTACTCTTCTAGGCTGTGTACAACCAATTTTCCCGTGTGCAATATAACCAGCCTCAGCAAGATACTGGGTTATCTGTGTAGTTTTCCCCGAACCAGTCTCACCAATCACTACAAGCACCTGATTATCATTCACAGCTTTAACTAATTCTTTCTTCAACTTATAAATTGGCAAGCTTTTTCTCTGTTCTTCAATTGACGAGTTTGATTTCTTGCCAAAGCAACAAGCTTTACCAAAAACTTCTTTTTTCCATTCTGGGATTGTATAGCCAGACAAACCAAGAAAATCCTTAACTTCATGTGCTAAACACCTAGCTCCAATTTCAGGAACTGGGTCTTCCCACGAACGGTTAAGATCTTTAGGCATTGAAACAAGAATTCTTTTTTGTTCTTCACGGATCTGTCTGCGTTCTTTAACCAGCGCAGATTGAAGTAAAGCTGCACGAGTCAATGAACCTTCCGGGTTTATAAAGATTTTGACGGGTGACATGTCAACGCCTGTACTTCTACTGGTTTTCCCTCGCAAAAAGAACGGTTCGTCGTCATTTAACTCTACATCAAAATCTTCCTCGACTTCAACATCATTTTCTTCTTGATTATCAAATAACGGAATTGGATAATCTCTTTTATTACAAACACCAGAAGCAATTAACTGGGTTAATTCGAACCTATCCTCTGCCCTCATTCTTGTCTTGCCTATCCTTCTTCCTTGTAATGAAAAGGAATGAAAAAGGCTCAATCTGCCTGAAAGCAACAATCTTTTAATCACCTAAACAGAAAGAACTCCCGATGAATAGAGAAAAGCTGAGCAGCTGTAGGCAATTAAAAGAATACAATGGATGTTAATGATTCACACAAACACAGATAATTTATTGAGAGAGAAGAAAACAAAAACTCTCACAAAAGCGCGTAAAAACTTTTCTTGCACTCCAAACCTCCTACGTTACAAATATAAAACGTTGGGTCAAGGTCGTTAATGGCGCCTGTTCTCAACAAGGGAGAGAGTAAAACTGTTTCGATCTTTATTTGAATAAGCTAAGTTTGCTTGCATCTTTAACACGTGCAAGAGAAGGAAATAAAAAATGATAGAAACGTGCAATTTTCACAAATTTTGAGTCAAATTTTAGTCGTCTTCATTTTATTTTTTTGCTTTTCATTTTGTAACTATTCACTGGTATAAGTAAAGCCCGATGCAAAGTCCAAAATGAATTTACGCCTTTCAATTATCAATTTTCAATTTTTTTAAATAGTTAATTTTACAATTTATTTAATTAATTTATACGCAATAAGCTTTCTCAAAAAAAAAAAAAAAAAAAAAAAATTGTGTAAGTATAAATTATCTAATTTTCTTCTCTAAATTGTGTTGCAAACGCATGTAAAAATGCTAAAATGATTGAAATTAAAGAAAATACAAAGAAAAAAAAAAAAAAAAAAAAAAAAGGTATTGTGTAAGTATAAAATTATCTAATTTTCTTCTCTATTGTGTTGCAACCATGTAATGCTAATGATGAAATTAAAAAAATACAAGTGAAATTATAATTTCAATTAGTCAAAATACAAGATTTGAAGTTTTTTAATTAATAGATAAAGAAAAAGAATTGAAATTACTCACTTTTGACATGGAAATGTTGTTATTGTAATTGTTAATGTTAACTTGTTAAGAACAAAGAAAAGTTTTCGATAATTATAAGTTGAACAGATTTTTTCTTTTTTAGGAAAATGAGAAACATTCATTAAGGAAGATCATTAAACATCAACAATAGAAGCAGTTGCTTCAATGTTGCTATCCAGAAAACCATTCCTTTGACATATTGTCTCGCATCCTTAAATTGAACTTGCCAACAAGCCAGCCCGCTAAGGATATCATCCATCCCATGTTTTTTCTCTATTATGTTGAATGCCTATAAAAATTACAACTGAGAAGCCACAGTCTGCATAAAAAACACAATAATATCTGCCATTCAAAACCATATACAGGATTTAAACCTGCACCTTGCCTCCGAAAGCGTAAACTCATCCCCGGTTGAGGTAATAGCTTAAGTAGGAAAAATTAGTCAACTTAATCATGGTAATCATAGCCACAATTATCACAGTGACACATCAGAACAACAATCATATATCGACTTGCTTCAAAACCGAATAACTTACACCACATAAACTACAAAGCTTTCAAGATTGAAGATAACTTTGCACTTGTTTCATGTATCAATACATGCATGTAACCATGCATGGAGAAGTAACATACCTTTGCGAGCACAGAAAGGATTCTGAGTGCCAAGAAAGTAAAAGCAGGTCTTCTGTTTCAGAATTGTGTCAAACAGAAACCATCTGATTTCCACCACACACAGCTCTTGTCCACAAAGATATATTATATCAATTTGTAGATATACATATTTTTTCTCATATCCCAAGACAATTTTCATAATGTTCACCAAAAATAGATTACTTCCATTTTCTATTCATTGCTTAATAGTAATTTGTCTTAGATTCAGCAAATAATGCACTTCCTATGAAACAATATCTATCAATTTGGACAGATACATATCATGTAGTGTGCTGGTAATATGAAATGTCTATCCATTGAGCTATTTATGAAGATCAACTAACCATATATATAACTATGACACAAGGGCATCAAGTAGGATAAAGGAGAGGCAGAGACCTCAGATAGAAAACCTCTTCCCTCCTTCCCATGTTCCCAATAAAAAAAGTGGAAACTAATAGTAAAATAAAGAAGAAAAAAGAATTAAAAAAGTGAAAATAAAAGAATAAATATTTGAGATTGATACTACCTCATGAAGGTACACTCAAGTTGAAAATATTTTCTTGGAGTCAAAGCTGCATTTCATTGCAGCAGTTGAGAGTAGGAGTGAGAGTGGAAGACGGGTGCATATGTCATTCTACTGCCAAGAATATCAAATGAAATATAACCTTAATCAATGTTGTCCTGGATTATAAGGATTGGTTCCTTGAATACATGTTTATCGCTCAAACAAACAGAACAAAGTGGCATGTGAGCAAACCTCAAATTACGTGGATTGAATAATTGAATGCTGCACAAGGATATTACATAAAAAGAAACCTAGATTTGTTTGAATGAAATTCCCATCCACATGATGATGATCCCATTTCTAGATAATCCCATTAATGCATTTGGTAGATGGCAGTCTTATTTCAAAATTTATATTTATTTCTATCACAAATCATCACATCTCATAGAAATAGAACAGTGCTAATTGTAGTCTGCTTATTGAAGAAAGAAAGAATTCATAGAAAAAAGGATGCGCTACAGCAGTGATTGGTGAAACTAAAGCATGAAATTAAGATACTTGATCTATGGTGCTGCATGTTTATCGCTTCGCTTAATAGAAAAAACAATCTTACAATATAATTAACTATAAAATGTTTGTGGTTTATTTTGTTGCAGAAACAGAAACAGTAATTGAACAAAAATAAATTTTACTGAGAAACTATATGCAAAAACACAAGATTTCACAATGAAATCATCTTCATAATATAAGTATTGCTTCTTAGAAAATGCTAATGGAGAGTTTGTTTTAAAGATTAAAAAGGAAATGATCATAAGCAAGCATTAAAGTAATTGAAGACAAAGTATCAGCAGAGATCATATTTGAAATATCACCTTACAATTCAAGCCTTAATATAGGAGCACCACATCAGGTTAACTGACAAGTTTTATATCTCTCTATCATGGAGGAAACAGACTCTTGTGATCAAACTTAACCTGTTGCAAGGTGGTTATGATTAGTCACGTTCAAATGAATTTATCAGAACATATAGAAATAAGAACTACAAACAACCACAAACACAATTAAAATTTTTACACCATATCAAAAACCAGATTACCCTCAAAATGCTGAAGCCTGCATTAATATCCTCATTTACTGAGGCGCCATGGATTAGGTTCCTGATATCTATCATAAAGAAGTTCAATGCGTTCTTAACATTTGCGCTTACTCATATTCTTTGGATCTGCAGCCTTGAAGAATCTTGATGCTAGTTCTACAAGCCATTTAGGGTCTATGACAGTTACCTCACGCATGTACTCCTTGGTAGTCATTACTACTTCATGGTAGATGAGCCAGTTTGGTTGTCTGCTGTAAAGTGCACTGCTTGGATGGATATAGAATGTCTGATTGTTAATCAGGGTCCGATAACCCCCTTGCGGATCTTTTTTAGCTGTGTGAAAAAAGAATCCTGCAGCAATTGCTTTCGTTATCTTCATAACGTTCGCTCCAGCACTCACAATATCCAAATTATACCTATCCATAATGGTAAGAAGTTGTTTTCTAACATCCTTTGCCCTCCTCAAAGACTGAGCCTGAACAAAATTCTCATGACACCAAGAATCTGAGAAACCTTTTGCTTTCCAGGCCTCATATACAGCAAGTAAAGTCAGATGGTCTCCTTGTGGATGGAAAAAGTTACTCCTCTTCTTATCTGATTGAGCTTGTTTTTCCCTAGGCCTGTAAAAGATATTACCAGTTTGGATCATGGCAATAATAGTCAAAATCTCATCACTGCAACCAAGATATTCACTAGCTACTAACAATTTAGACAATGGTGGGCCAAGAGGAAATACTGCCATTAGCCTACCTGTTTTAGTTAGAAGCCCTTCCTCATCCAATGCCCCTAGACCATACAGTTGATCCATGGCAGAAACAAGAGCTTGGAATGAAGGAGAATCCATAAAATCAAAAGAGAATACATCTCTAACTCCCATAGCCATCATGGACAGCACAATCTCTGCAAGGTTAATCCTTTGGATTTCAGGAGTTGCAGTAGGAGACATCTCATTCCTAAATGCATTCTCAGTATAGAGACGGTAACACTTTCCAGGGCCAATACGCCCAGCATGCCCAGCTCGTTGCTTGGCAGATGCCTGTGAAATAGGGGTTATAAGCAAAGATTCAACCCCTAACTCAGGATTATAAACATTTTGTTTCATAAATCCAGGATCAATGACATAGAAAATTCCATCTATAGTCAATGATTTGCAGATCCTGTGGAAATAGGGGTTTATAAGCAAAGATAACACTTTCCAGGGCCAATACGCCCAGCATGCCCAGCTCGTTGCTTGGCAGATGCCTGTGAAATAGGGGTTATAAGCAAAGATTCAACCCCTAACTCAGGATTATAAACATTTTGTTTCATAAATCCAGGATCAATGACATAGAAAATTCCATCTATAGTCAATGACGCTTCAGCAATATTAGTTGCTACAGCCACTTTCCTCTTCCCTGGAGCAGTTGGTTCAAATATCCTAGATTGCATTTCACCTGGAAGAGCACTATAAATAGGCAGGATAATCAAGTCAGGAACATTATTACCAAGTTCTTTCCTTCTATTGTCAAGAGACTCACATGCAAAATCTATTTCTTCGTGACCTGTTAAGAAGAGCAAAATATCTCCTTCAGGTTCTGTCAAGTGGATCTGCAAGACTGTTTTAAGAGCTGCATCAAGATAATCACTTTCAGGCTGTTTAGTATATAGTGTCTCCACAGGAAAAGATCTGCCAGGAATAGTAAAAATATTACAATTAGAGAAATACCCAGAGAACTTCTCAGCATCAGGTGCAGCAGAAGTGACAATCAACCTAAGATCTGATCTCCTTTTCAAAAGCTTCTTAAGCAACCCAAAAAGAACATCAGTATAAATAGTTCTCTCATGAGCCTCGTCAAGCATTATAACAGAATACTGAGACAGATCATTATCAATCAAAATTTCCCTAAGAAGAAACCCATCGGTCATATACTTAATCACAGTATTAGGCCCAGTACAATCATCAAACCTAATAGCATACCCAACCTCCTCTCTTAACCTACAACCAAATTCTTCAGCTACCCTTTTAGCGACAGAAATTGCAGCCACTCTTCTAGGCTGCGTACAGCCAATTTTCCCTTGTGCAGTATAACCGGCCTCAGCAAGATACTGGGTTATCTGTGTAGTCTTCCCCAAACCAGTCTCACCAATCACTACAAGCACCTGATTATCAAACACAGCTTTAACTAATTCTTTCTTCGACTTATAAATTGGCAAGCTTTTTCTCTGCTCTTCAATTGACGAGTTTGATTTCTTGCCAAAGCTACAAGCTTTACCAAAAACTTCTTTTTTCCATTCTGGGATTGTATGACCAGACGAACCAAGAAAATCCTCAACTTCATGTGCTAAACACCTAGCTCCAATTTCAGGAACTGGGTCTTCCCACGAACGGTTAAAATCCTTAGGCATTGAATCAAGAATTCTTTTTTGTTCTTCACGGATTTCTCTACGTTGTTTAACCAGTGCAGATTGAAGTAAAGCTGCACGAGTCAATGAACCTTCTGGGTTTTTAAAGAGTTTGACAGGGGGCATATCAATGCCTGTACTTCTACTGGTTTTTCCTCGCAGAAAGAAAGGTTCGTCGTCATTTAATTCTACATCAAAATCTTCCTCGACTTCAACATCACTACCTTCTTGATTACAAACACCAGAAGCAATTGACTGGGTTAATTCGAATGTAGCTTCTGCCCTCATTCGTGTTCCCTTGTCCATCCTTCTTCCCTGTAATGAAAATGAATGAACAAGGCTCAATCTGCCTGAAAGCAACAATCTTTTAATCACCTAAATTGAAAGAACTCTCGATGAATTACAGATTAAAGCTAAGCTGCAGGTGTAGGCAATTAAAAGAATATAATTGATTTCAATGATTCACACAAACACAGATAACTTATTGAGAGAGAAAAAAACAAAAACTATCTCACAATAGCGCGTAAAAACTTTTCTTGCACTCCAAACCTGGTACATGTTGGATCAAGGTCGTTAATGGCGGCTGTTCTCAACAAAGAAGAGAGTAAAACTGCTTCAATCTTGATTAAGCTAAGCTTGCTTGCATTTTCATCACGTGTGTCAGAAAAGGAAATAAAAGATGATAGAAACGTGCAATTTTCGCAAATTTTTAGTCAAATTTTGTGGGTATTTGCAAGAGTGTACATTAAATGGTTCAAATCATAAAATTAAACTAAATCATGCTAAATTTTTTCAGTTTTGTATAATTTTTTTTCAAATGATTTGGTTCGGTTTCAAATTATATTACTAAAATATTTACTACAAACGTAATTTATTTATTTATTTTCAGATAATTTGTTTCAACCAATAAAAAATCTAGCTATTAAATTTCAATTTATTTTGTTAAAACAATGAAATTTAGTATTTCAATAATGAAAGAAACCACCAAAATTGAAAGGTAGCAAAAAGTATAAATGGAAGGTTCTTAGAACGTGAAGCCATAAAAATACACAAATTGAGATGGGTTGGAAGTTTCCACTTTCCAACTTGTTTCTCATAATTTACATAAAACACACTTTGGGATCACAACAAAGAACTGTATGCTAATTCACTTGTCTAGACAATATTATTATAACCTGCCCCGCTTTAGAGGTCTCACCTACTCATTAATGGCACTTTGCTTTAATTAAGACCATCGAAACATGGAAGAATTCTCAATTTATGTGTAAACTATCACTAAGGTCCCACTATTACATAAATATAGCAATTAAGTACCTGTATTTTTCAAAAATTCAATTCTCAAACAAAATAGATTCTCTATTTAAACCCGGGTCGATAAGATCTACACACTAATAGTTGCTCAAATCATGATAAATAAAATATGATTTTTTCATAAAAAGTATTAACCTTTAAAATAAATGATGAAAAATATATTAAATGTTGGATTCTTTAAGCAAGGTTTAGGGTTCGAACCCTAGCATTGTGAAGGGAGAAAACTCAATTAGAAGGATTGTCTGCATAATGGGCCTATGCATAACCTGAATCCAGATTAGTTGGTTGTGCGGATACCGAGTGATTTAACAACTCTTTTAACAATTATTGCCAATAATAAATAAAATTCCTGTTATATGATTGTAAATTGATAAAAATAACTCCATTTTTCTCAAAAACTTTAAAATTATTCTCATCTTACAGTCTTATTGATAATAAAAAACAATTATTTTAACAATTATTATCATATTATTAAAAAAAAGATGGACATAAGCAAATCATATGATCACTTTAATAGTTACTTTAATGCTCACTCTGTATCAAAATATAAGTCGTTTTATATATTCCAAAAAATAATAAATGATTTTTTTTAATATTGTTATTGTTTACACTAAATATAATAAATACTTCATAAGCAACCAATGGTTTTGAGATAAATGATGATTTGGTCAATTTTACCCTTGAGTTTGTTATAATCTAAGAGAATTAATTTCTTCCTTAATTTTTATGCAAGAACCTTAAATGATTTATATTTTGAGGCACAGGGAGTATATTTTTTAGAAATATAAAAGCTAAATAATTAATTCATAGAGACTTAATAGTAATTTACCTTAATTTATAATAAATGAGTATTATTAATTGAATACTACTAAGATAAGTTTATTTTCCTTTTTTATTTATACTCAAACATGAACCATTTTCCTTTTTTTTTTTTTTTTTTTAGTTGAATTTAAATTCTTTTAATATAAACTTTATTTAATATTCACTCTCTCCAATTTGTATTGCATAATTTTCCTTTTGGATTCCTCAAGATAAGTGATTTGAATTTTTAAAAATGTTAAAAAAAAAGTTCGTAAGATAATTAATTCTAAAATATCTCATTCCTATTTTTTTTTTTTTGATAGCATTTTTCATTTTTTCCACGATATATATATGTGGAAAAATAATAAAAAAATATATAAATGAAGTAATTTAAAGAACTATTTTTAAACTGTGAAAAAAAAAAAGGAAACTATAATTTTGAGAAATAAAAAATATGACTATCGTAATAATTTTTGTATCAAGGAGATAGAGACATGCTCATATGAGAAGTGTATACAGACCTTGTTAATAAATCTGAGTTCAAATTTTCAGCGTACATGAAAATTAGATTAAATTATTTTAGCTTGATGACCAACATCTTCTTAAAAAATACAATACAATTATTTATAAAGAAAAAAAATTAAAATGAAGATTATACCTTTCAAAAAAAAAAAATGAAGATTATGATTATTTCAGAATTTAGCTTTTTTTTTTTTTTACTTCAATTTTAAAATATAAGAAAAATAAAAATTCGAAATTGAAATGATTCTATTCTATCAAAAGCTAAAAAAAAAAGTAAAAAGCAAAAACTGTTATAAGTAATTGCCATATTTTATTTTCTGGTTTACGCGTTGTTGCCTATCTGTCCTGTCTCTCTCTCTCTCTCTCTCTCCCTTCTCTTTCTCTTTTCTCCAAAGCAAACCCTTAAATCCCATCTGTCTCTTTCCCTCTCTCTCTCTCTCTCTCTTCTCTCTCTAACCCATTTCCTCAATTAAAACCATCAGTTTTAAGAGACAATACCAGAGAGTTAGAGAGAGAAAGCTCAGGTATTTTGGCTAATCCTGTAATTTCGGTTTCGATCTCGGGGCTATTATTGATTTTTGCAATTTTTCTTATCGATTTTTAAATTAGTTTGTTTGTTTTTTTTACCTTTCGTTTTATTCCTTTCTTTTTCACTGTCTTCTCTTTCAATTCTCCTCATTTTCAATCTTTTTTTATCTCCAGTTTTGTCTGGAATTTAGGGTTTCGCTTTTGTGTTTATCTTTTTGGATTTAATTTGTGATCTTTAATTTCAATTTTGGTCATTTGATGGCCAACGATTATCATCAGCATAAATTTGGGGTGAGGATTGATGGGTCTTTCTTTTTCTGGATTGTCTTTTTTTTTTTTTTTCTTTTCATTGGATAATTTTATTATTGTTTATGTATTTGATATGGATGGAAATGATGCATTACTGTATCCGCTAATTTTGTTGTAGCATTTTTGCATTTTTTGGTTTCATAATCGCTATATTTTATCTGTTATAGGATTTTAACTAATTGGTTATTTATATTTGTTCTTGCATGCCCGTTTCGTTTCAATTTTTAGCTGTTATTTGTTACTTTTTCATGTTCTAAATTTTGAATTATGATGTTTGATTTGATGAGAATCCTATAAATGGTTATTTGCTAATTGCTGAATTGTATTTTTGATTTCAAGATTCAATTATTCGGCTATTATGCTGAATATAGCTTGAATATTTTGCTGGTATAATTTAGGCACATGCACCTTCTCCGGATTACTATAAATTGGCGAAGACAAGTGCTGTAGACGATTTAGTTTTGAGGAGGAGAGACAAGATGCGCAGGTGGCTTTGTTGTACCTGTCAAGTAGAGGAGTCGTACCCATCACGTGAGAATGAGCACCTAAGAAGCCCAAAGCACTATCCAGATGGTACATTCATCTTAATCTTATCTTGTACTATGCAAGTTGTCTGTAATTGTTCTTTTGAAGGTCAAATTGTGCATTAGCTCTATCCAAGATTGGTTAGTCTTCATCATTAAGATGTAACATGTATAGTTCACTTTGCTGCGGATTTCATAAAATAAATTGTTTGGAAGTATGATTGTTGACATAACATTCTGGTATTGTCAAATTCAGTAAGATGGGGGAGAAAGCTATATTTAGTCACAAAAACCTTATATGAAATTTGGGAATAAGTTTTATTGAGTGTTTCTTGATTCAGTAAATGTTTATGAGGCTTAAGGATTCAAAAACACTTGTTTGATCCCAAAATTGACATTTCACTTTTTAGAGAGACAATTTAGATCATATCTCTCCTGGGTCTAGCTAATTGTTACCTACGTAATATTGCATATTGCTCCTGTCCCCTTTGCGTTGACTAATCAATGTTGTTGCTTTAAGTTGCAATTCTAAAATTTTAGACTTCTCAGTTCTGTCTTTGCCACATTACTCTTCTCCATTGCCAATTGCTAAATCATTTTAGGCACTCTTCCAATGCAGTCATTTGTGATATATCTTGCACTTGGGCATTAAGTTGTGAACTTAACTTTATGGGTCAAAATATATAAGCATACAACGAACAAAGTGAATGCAAGTTTGCAAATATAAGTGCAACAAAATCAGATATTATATTACTTATTACTTGTAGTTGCATATGATGCCAAGGAATTTGCCTATGGAGTTTGTGGGTTGCGTTATAAGAAAGAAAAAAGAAGTGGGAGCACGTAATTGGTAATATTCTTGGTAGTCTTCAAATAAATAAGTTAAAATGAAGCTCATCTTCATGCTGCATTTGATGAATAATTTGTTTCCAACTTTATTTTATTGTTTCTTTTTGGTGGATCATGCATAGTTGTTCTTCTGACAATTGACCCATTTTTACACTTTTTTTTCCCGCTCTTTCAAATATTAGGAAATCCTACGAAAGGCCCGAAGGTAGCAGCTCCAGTGAAATCCGAAGTGCAGAAGGAAGCACCTCCAATTGAAGTGCCTGCATTGTCTTTGGATGAACTGAAAGAGAAGACCGAGAATTTTGGTTCAAAAGCATTGATTGGTGAAGGATCCTATGGAAGAGTCTATTATGCTAATTTAGAGAATGGAAAAGCTGTGGCGGTTAAAAAACTTGATGTTGCATCTGAGCAAGAGTCGAATGTTGAGTTTCTGACTCAGGTGTGTCTGCAATTTGTAGGGAAAAAGCACATGCCTGTCTGTTGATTTATTATTATGGTGCTGTTCAATTTTTTTATGTAACAATCTCTTTTGTCTTTTAAGATGCCTGATTATGCATTTTTTAAAAATTTTTAATCCTGAGTTTTTTATTTTAGGTTTCCATGGTATCAAGGTTGAAGCATGAAAATGTTGTAGAGTTGCTTGGTTACTGCGTTGAAGGAAATCTTCGAGTGCTTGCATATGAGTTTGCAACAATGGGATCTCTTCATGACATATTGCATGGTTTGAGCTCATCTTTTATACTTGTTATTGACATTGTCTATCACCTAACAGCAATTTTTCATTTGCAAAATGTGATTAATTAACCTTCTTTTTCTTTGCAATGACAGGCAGAAAAGGAGTTCAAGGAGCACAACCAGGTCCCACACTTGACTGGATGCAACGCGTTAGAATTGCAGTTGATGCAGCAAGGGGTTTGGAATACTTGCATGAGAAAGTGCAACCTGCCATTATACACAGAGATATCAGATCAAGTAATGTGCTTCTGTTTGAAGACTTCAAAGCCAAGGTTGCAGATTTTAACCTTTCAAATCAGGCTCCTGACATGGCAGCTCGTCTTCATTCTACTCGAGTTCTGGGAACCTTTGGTTATCATGCTCCAGAGTAATGCTTCCATCACAACTTTTTCTGTTTATTTGTTTGTTATCATGCTTAGAGGTGTTTTCCATGCGCATATATGCTAATACCGTGTACTATGTTTTCCATGTGCATATATGCTAATACCGAGTACTATATGCTGCATAATATTGGGACAAAGTATTGCTATGGAAATTTATTTAACAAATTCCCTTTGACATGAAGTTATTATGTTGTTGTCAAACTGCTCAGCCATCAGTTTTATTGTGATAAGTAGCATCTGCAAATTAATATTTTTAATGAAAAAAGAACTATAAAGTCATGTTTGGACATGTGAGCAAGGTTTTGGGATTGGTAACCGCCCAGAATCCTAGAAAGGAGGATGTGATCTTATGTATATATTCTTGAATGCATAACTTTAACATTAAAAAGATTTTTTAGGATAGCAATAGTAGTGAAGCAATCATGAAAACAGTAATATTTGGATTTCTTGAAATATTATGGGGCACTTTGTAACTTAAAAACAAGTGTTGAACAGGAAGGGACATGTGTCATGTCCTTGAGTGTGAAGCGCCCCTAATTTTCTGTCGGATTATTCCAGAAGGAATTATTTGTGGCTTGGCTTTCCTCTTTCTCTTTTAGTTTGCGACTGTAGTATTGTTATTATGATTTGAAATTAATTGGGCAGTTAGATGTATTTTCACAGAATAAAGCATCAATGTTAAATAAATGAAGAGATGATAAAAAAAAGACTGGAAATGATTTCACTTTTATGGCAGTTTATGTGTTTGGACTTTCCCTGTGGTCTCTGCCCTTTTGGATTTATTGTTTCATATTAAATATTAGTGCAAAATAAGATTCAAAGTTACGAACTTGGTTTTACTCTATACAGCCTATCTTTTGGTGGTTATATACTTAATTCGTAAATTTTTATGATGTGCCTGAAACCCTGTTGTTTTAGTTTTAATTCTTTGGTTGTCTATGGCCTTTATTTTGGTGGTCATATGTATCTGAATCATCTGTTTGTTTTATTTATTCATTTATTAATTTGGTCTATCTGGATCTAGTTGAAGAATATACTTTGAACTTCTAACAAGTATCTTGTATTTACCTTCTTGGAAATGTTAATAAGGATATATCTTTGGTGAATATTCAATTAAGATGTGTTTGGGATGCAGTTTGCTTGTAACATTCTGCAAAATATTCCAATCTCCTTGCTGCTCTGTCATATAAGTTTTCCTTTTATGCCTACAGCCTACTTATTGGAACTTGTGTTTCTTCCAACTATGTACCTTAACATTTGGCCATTACCTTATTCTGTCTTTATTTCATATTACGTCTTGAATGTATTCCTTTTATGGTAAATGGCTGCAACATGATCTCTTGAGTGTTCTTTACTGGAGGTTTAAGGAAATGTCTTTTAATACCTACTTTTCGTTAGAAGTTATATTCTTCCACGTGTGCAAATGCTTATATGTTGAAATTATCACTTCGCAACATCTTCTTTTCTTTGTGATTTAATATCATATTATTTTCTTCTTTGGACAACATTTATGCTAGATTAATGACTTGTCTAATTGCTCCACAGGTATGCAATGACTGGACAGCTGACCCAGAAGAGTGATGTTTATAGTTTTGGAGTGGTTCTTCTGGAACTTCTTACCGGGAGGAAACCTGTTGATCACACTATGCCACGTGGACAGCAGAGTCTTGTAACTTGGGTGAGTTCCTTTCTGCCTTGTTTCTTCAATAGTAAAATCTATCTATTATTTTTCATACATTAGACATAAGTTTAAAACAAAACTTGGTTTTTCTCGGCTAGGCTACTCCAAGACTGAGTGAGGACAAAGTTAAACAATGTGTAGATCCAAAGTTGAAGGGAGAGTATCCTCCTAAAGGAGTGGCCAAGGTATCATCTCTGCCTTATAAGCATATGCATTAATTTCATTTTGTTCTCATCTCGCTTTTATTTAATCGGCTACTAATATTGTAATCACTTTGCCTTTTGGCAGTTGGCAGCTGTTGCTGCATTATGCGTGCAATATGAGGCTGAGTTCCGACCAAATATGAGCATTGTTGTTAAGGCACTTCAACCACTTTTGAAGCCTCCGGCTCCGGCCCCAGTTGCTGCTGCTCCTCTAGAGACCTAAAACGAAGAAAGAAAGAAAGTTTTATAACTTGTGCAGTTTGTTTATTTTGCTTGCAGAATTGTTGGATTAACTCTACATATATTTTTTGATTGTTAGTATATGGGATTGGATGTGGAGGTTGGAATTTTTTTTTTTTTTTTTTTTTTTTTTTTTTTTTTCCGAGTCATAAAAATTGACTGTTGGGATTGGGTTGTGTGGTGGATGTATTAATATTATCTGCTTTTTCAATGGATCCCTTCATGCTTATTGGCAATGCTTTTACTCATTATATATCTATATATACAAACTCTATCAAATTATTAACCCTTGATCTTACTCCGGCAACCCTTGATCTGCTTTATTTATTTATTTATTTTTTGCTTTTTATTTTGTCACACTTTTGTTTTTGATATTTTAAATTGTTCTGTAGTTAAAGGTTTAGAGTCACTTGAAGTTATCCAGGGACATATTTGGCCTGGAGAATGCTGAAATTCCTGTTCATGAGCACATTGAAATAATAGACTAAAATGTACGTAAAAATTGAAAGGGTTTGGAAAAAAATTTGATGAATCAAATGAAAAAAGAAAATATTAATTACAAATATTTTAGGGGTTCTTTTTAGTTTAACTATTAGGGAGGATTTTAATATTGTTAAAATTTTAGAATTATGTATTATATTTTAGAACAATTTCGAAAAAGTAAATAGACCAATCGGTTTTATTAGCTTCTTAAATAACCTAAAATTAGAAAATGATACAATAAATTATGACATTTCAAAACCTAATTTCCGATGTAATAGGAAATACAGTATTTTTTTTCCACATACTTGCCGTTAGAAATAAAAAAATCCTGATTAAAAAAAAAGAAAACAAAAATTTAAAAAATCCTACTATTATTAGAATTAAAAAAAAAGAAAAAAAAAATGCGAAACTTCCTTTTTCGTGCTGCATATTATTTTAACACACGCCTATATATTCATCGGACAGCGTTTGCAAAACCCTTCTCTAATAAACCCCAAACTCTCTCTTAAACGCTCTCATTCAGAATCTCAAACAAAGACCAAAGTGGTAAGTTGTTCTCTCTCTCTCTCTCTCTCTCCACCTGCAATCTCAAATATCAAAGGCTCATAACGGTTCTACTCACTTTCTCTCACTAAATGATGGCTGATGATATTGAGTCTGATGCATGCATTGATTCCAAAAGCAGGATTACAGAGATGGAAGAAACTCTTTTTCCTCAACATCAGGAATCCTTGGATTCAATTTCTACTGTTTCTACACAAGAGAGTGCGAAAGAATCATCTTTGATTGATTCATCTACTAAAGAAGATATCCCCAGTCTCAGTTCCTCCAAGAAGGTTAAGTGCTCTTTTACTGAACCTAGTGGAAGTAGTGAAGAGAATCAAGGAATATTAGGTTCTGATGGTGAAGAAAAGGTCATTCTTTGTGATTTGGTTTCTGGGTCTCTTGGAAGTGAAGGGAAAAGTGAAGATTTTGTCAGAAAGATTGAGTCTTTTGATGTGGAGTTGCAAGAAACAAAGAATTGTGAGATGGGTTTTGACACTGATGTTAAAAATAGGCAAGAAAACATTGAAGGGACTGTTAAAGACGTGGTAGGAGAGAAAGAGAAAGAATTAGTTTGCGTGAAAAGTGAAATGGGTTTCTCTGTTGCTGAGAAATTTGATAAACATGGAGTAGCAATAGGTTCTTTCATTGAAGAAAAAAAGGAGGAAGAGCAGAGTTTGCTGGAAGCCAAGAAGAAGCAATTATTGACAAAAATTGAGACTGGTTCAATCTTTAAAGACAAGATCCTAGGGGGTCTTGAAGGAATTGATGAACCCATTAGACGGTCCCTGAAGGTCAAAGTAATTGATGATACAGCAGTGCTTGAAGCAGTTCCAATCCCCAAAACTGGTAATGGTGAAAATAAGAAGCAGAAACAAGAAGTTGATGGAAAGAAGTTGAAACTGCCCAGAAGAAAGGGAAAGGACGTGAAAAATGTTTCTGAGACTAGTGAGAAACAGAAGAAAACGACCCAAGTCGGCAAAGCTGTAAATAAACTAAGCCTAGTGGGTGAAGCTCAAAATGAGAGCCAAAAGAATGGACACCCTCTAAGGAAGTACTCAAGGGAGGAGATGGAGGCCCTAAGGTTTGTGAACGTTGTAGAACAGCGAAAACTATGGAGGGACACATACACTGGGCTTGGAGATGCTGTTGTAAAGGAGTATGACGACTTGGCAGGCTCAAGGCATCATAAGAACATTCACTTGAACTTCGATCCTCGTCAACACTATGGGAAGAAGGAGGATGCCCGTAGGACTCTCAGTGAGTATATCTTCTTGAAGTTAATTTCTGCTTCTTTAATTTTACTGATTATTTTTTGAACAAATTTGATTCATAGGTGCTACTTTATCTGGTCTTTTGTCTAGAAATCGTCTAGTTATCATGAGAACGCGTATGATTGCTTATTTAGTTCTGCTGTAAATATATATGAGTTATTTACTATACTTTTGTGATTGTGAACTGTGCTTAGTGCACTGCTTTTTCTCTGCTGCATATTTATTTCGAACTTTACTGGTTCACATGAATATACAAATTTTGGCTTGATAAAGGTGATAAAAAGAAAAAAAAAGAATGATTAGGATGTTGTTTACGGCTCTAATTCAATTTAAGATGTAGCTATCATCTCATAATGTGCAAGTCAACCTTGCTACGGCTTACAGTTAGTTGGGACATTATTTAGTTCTGCAGAAATATCCTTGTGAGCTTGAGACTTGTGTGTTTTGTTCTGCTTTAAGTTTAACGAGCAGGTAGCAGTTATTTGTGTGAATAAATGATGGTCTGATGCTCAGGCCTTGAAATGCCTGAAAATTGGGCTTTTGGTTACTTTATTTATTTATTTTACTAATCAGGGATTTTGCTCTCTTTGTTGTTTGGGTCCTTACCTTTCAATTGAATTTGACTTAGTGTTGTACGAGGCAATCTGTATTCTTGTTATTACTAGAGTTGCTAGTTGATTCATAATGAAGTTGATATTGTATCTAAACAGCCACAAAAAAAAAAAAAAAAAAAAAAAAAAATGGCATATCAGCTGCACTTTTGAAATAATATGAAGTCTGCAGGATGAGTAGCTAATTAATATTTAGGGTATCACTAGCAAATAGTATGAGGCTAGTTTATATTTAACTAACATAGCCATACCTATATGGATGAGGTCATCATAGATTCTTGTCTCGCAAATCAGTTCAGAAATGAGGCTAGTTTATATTTAACTCATATAGACAGACCAGAACCATATGGATGAGGTCATTCTTGATTCTTGTCTGGCATATCAGCTGCACTTTTGAAATAATATGAAGTCTGCAGGATGAGTAGCTAATTAATATTTAGGGTATCACTAGCAAATAGTATGAGGCTAGTTTATATTTAACTAACATAGCCATACCTATATGGATGAGGTCATCATAGATTCTTGTCTCGCAAATCAGTTCAGAAATGAGGCTAGTTTATATTTAACTCATATAGACAGACCAGAACCATATGGATGAGGTCATTCTTGATTCTTGTCTGGCATATCAGCTGCACTTTTGAAATAATAGAAGTGCTGTAGAATTTGCAAAATAACGTTTAGGGCTAATCACAGTTGTAAAACTAAAGGCGCTATGAATGTTCGGGAAATTGAAATTCTCAAAGATGCATTTCTGTGGACAATAATAGTCAAAGTTTTGGGACTTGTAGTCTGATATTAGTAACAGATATTATGAGGTGCTCTACCTTTTTTTTTTCCTTCTGCTTTGCTATGGTGTGAATATACGAATGCGGTCAGGCTTAAATTTATAGCAAAGACAGATTGCGCATTGAATTGCCTGCATGGAATTACAAGGTCTATCTTATTGGTGTTCCTTGTTAAAGTTGTGATTCCCTTGCACTTTATCCTCTTCATTTTTATTCCAATCCCTTCTTTTGTACTTCATACTGGTTTCATCCTCAGCGTTGTTTGCTAGAAATCCATCCTTCTTGATTTTTGGCTATGGTTTGTCACTTCTATCCTGTTACTTCTCCTGGTTAGTCTCATCCATACTTTTACTTCTTGTCTGAAATTTTCTTGCTCTCTATGTTTTTCCTCCTCGGTGTAATTTGCTCACTTTTCCTCCCTCTACCCTTATGTTTATTCTATTTCTTTCCTTTGAAAAATGTACCTTTTATTTTTTAAAAAAATAAATATGCAAAATGCTCATGGTGATATCTGAATACTTTCTTTATCCACCGCTTCCCTTCTGGAGTCAGCTCTGATTTTGTCAATTTGATTGGTTGATTTTCTGTTGTGGACAGGTGTGGCTGCAGCAAGGGGAAGATGGAATCATTTAAATGTTTGTGTGCATTGAAGAATGGCCTAACACAATCTGCAAAGTCCTTATGTTCAACATATTCAGCTCATATATCTTAAGCTGTATAGTTAGGCAAATGATTGTTGTAATGTCTTGTTCATATTATACAGTCCTTGTACATGGGAAGTTTTGCTGTTGACCCACTAGATTGTAGCTTTTTGGCAACATGCTTTTTTGTACAGTACGAGCCATGACATTTTTTTGCAATTGGAGTCTAGTAAAATGATGCTACTGCTTGTGATTTGTACATGAATGAAAATATATGCTTATACTTGCTTAATTTTACTTGCAAGTGCCATTCTCTCCTCCCCCTGTCTTATGACCCCTTTGGCTGAAATGTTTATTTTTGGATATATGAAAAGAACTCTTAAGTTTTGTGGTTAAATTTCAGGAGAAGTATCTTCTGAAAATGTGTGTGACTTGGATAGTGCCAGTAATGAGAGTATTGGGAGTGAAGAAGTCAATGCCTCTTTGGAAGCAGCATGCAGTGAAGAAGAGGACAGTGATGAAGATTATGCTAGTGTCCAGAGACCTGCTTTTCTTGTAGAAGGAGAACCAGATTTTGATTCTGGACCTCCAGAGGATGGTTGGGAATATCTTAGGCGTGTCAGGTATGATTCTAGTCCTTGCTTATTTTTTAATCAAGTTGATGTTCCTTGAAAATTCTTTAACTTTGCAAGGCATACAATAGAGTCTATGCTTTCTTCTTATTCTACAACCCTAAATAAGAATTTAAAAAAAGAAAAGAAAATCAAACGAATAAGAACCTGGAAAACCCATTTCTCACCTCCCATAAGGCTTTATGAGGATGGCATCCATTGAACCCATTAAATTATTGCTTTTGTCTCTTATGTTGGCGGCTTTAGCAGACACATTTAGTCTTTAAGAACTTTAGTCTCCTAGGTGAAGTTAGAATATCGATTGATGCATTTGGTTCTTAAAGGAACACTAGGATTATTGAAGTATGGCTTATGTATTGAAGATTCAATAGGATCACTAGCTAAGTATGACTGTAGAGGTTATGCTTGTCTTTTTTCTGGATGAGGGAAAGGATGGACAATTAGCTAGAGTTGTAGGTTCTTTAGCCAAACTGACTGCAAAAGAGTTGAAATCAGCCGCATTAAATTTACTTTCTGGGAGGTCTGCTAAATGTACCAAAACTTGTCAGCAACTGTCAGACAGGCAGGGGTATACTGGGCTGCATCCTTGTAAAGGTTTTTGTTGGTTTACCTATTTCTTAGATAGAGAGATCTTTATTCAATAGCGCAAAATTTGTGCAAGAAACAGAAGGCAAGCAGTGTGAGCTGAACTATGCCAAATATGGTATCATTTTGAATGTTGTTTGAAAAAAAAAAAAAAAAAAAAAAATATAATATATATAATATATATACTTGTATGTGTCCTGTGAATAGGTCCATTTTGCACCAATTACCAAACTAACTTGTGGCTTCACTTCTGTTTAGATGGGAAGCTGCTCATATTCCAAAAGTTACAGTGGCCAAGCTTGATAGGAGTAAAGGTAGCAAAGAACAAAGTGTTTACATGCCTCAGATTCCTGAGATTGCAAAGTGCCCAGAACATTTAATGCCATTGAAGCAGTGGGAGGAAGCATTTCTTGCTGATTTTTCAGAGCTTCGGATGGTATGAACCCTAATTTGACTTGGTTTTGAGCTGGCTTAACCACAAACATTTGCCTTGAAAACAAACATGTGGTTTTTCATGAAAAATTGCTGCATGTCTGAGAAAAAATACATTATTGTATAAGTCATGTTGTTAGGACAGAGGTGGTGGTGGTTGTTTTTGTTGTATTTTGGTTTAAACATGGGAATAATCAGGGAATTGATTTAGAGTTTGCAAAATGAATTTTATTCTTGCCCAGGATCATTTTTTCTTTTGCATAAATATATATTTGAAAATTTGTAAAAAACTGAAGGTTCTAGAAAATATAGAACTGTATGTTTTTCGGTACTACTATGCCATAACTAACTTCATTTTTTCTGTTTCTTCTCTTTTTCTCAGGTTTTATCAGGCAATGAGGGTTCCTGCACCGAACTTTCTTATCGAATGCAACATGTGGCTATTACTCATGAGCAGAATAATTCCTCCCCTCAGCTTGCTGAATGTGTCGTTCTCCAAAAATTTAACCTCATATCCGATGACGTCAATCATGCCAATGATCAGCCATCTTCATCAAATGCTGAAGACGGCAAAATATCAGCATGTTCTCAGAATTTATCTAGTAAAAATTCTGTCAGTGATGATTCTACATGCAACTACCCTACATTGTCTGCGATTTTTGGAATGGATTCTGTTACACGAGTATTGATGCTGAAGAAATGCATTGGCTTGGCAGAAACAAGGAGCTCACTTTCGAAAAATGATTGTATGTGGCTTTTTGCTTTATGTGCAGCAGTTGATACTCCATTACATGCTGATACTAGCGCTGCTTTGCGGAGCCTGCTCCGAAAGTGTGCTAGCTTGCGAGCTGCCAAGTCTGAACTTGATGATGAGGTTATAATGCTGAACATTCTTGCTACAATATCTGGCAGGTATTTTGGGCAATCTGAAAGCTAAGCTAGTTTACTTAATGTGCTTGGCTTAGTTCCACTTTATGGAAGACTGTCTGTAACACAATCTCACAATCCCCCGGACCATTTTTTGTTGGCTTGGCCCAAATTTTACTGGCATTCTTGTGTAGAACTAGAGTGGTTGGTTTTGACCTTAAAACAAATGATGTTTTTTCACAATTATTGGTAATGAGTGAAAAGTTTCATTCATGATTTTTCTTTGTTATCTCAGACAAAAAAATAAAGTTTCAGGGCGTTATCTTTTCTTGTTTCATTAATTTTGTTTCAAAATATAATTTTTTATGTTAATTAGACAACAATTACTATATATGTATGTTGCAAAATTTCCTACTTACTTTTGATTGACTTATTAGTATTTAAATTAATATTTAAAAATGGAAGAGACTGTCAATTTGTTCAGCACTAAATTAATGAGAATAACAATTAACTAACACAGAATTCCTTTCAATCTCAAAATCAACAAAACACAATCCAAAATTGTATTTTAAAAAAAATCTAAAGAGAAGCATGAATTACTGTCATGAATTAGATTTTTTTCATTGAATAAAATTACTGTCATGAATTAGATTTTTTTCATTGAATAAAATTAATTGAAAGAGAAGAAATTAGAAGAAATAGACTTAATAGGAAATCAAAAAATTGAACCAAAAATCAAAATCCAAATTGTTTTTTTTTCCCCTATTTTAATTAGGAATTATTATAAATGATATTATTGGATAAATTTTTCTTTCCTATTTTAATTAAGAATTATAATCCTAATTAGCAATTATTAGGATTATCACTAATATTAACACATACATGTCTATCTGGGTGTGTGTGTGTACGGTTCGAAGCCCTCAAAAACAATAAGGTTCGAAGATATATGTGTGTAGTACGGTTCGAAAGCCCTCAAAACCAATAAGATTCGAAAGATATAAATGGAATACCTCGATATTTCTTTCTCTCCCTAAATCTCTAGATTCCCAAAACCATAAGGTTCAGTGTGCTTAAAGAGGGCTGTGGTTTTTGGAATAATGAAGGGTTTAAGGTGCCATCTGGCGTTTCTGCGTGAAGCTGAAATTTTAGGATTTAGAACATTCAATAATTGTTAGAAATTCAGCCTTTCAATTATCTAAATATCCCAATTAATTCTCATCTAATCCCACTTAATTCTCAGTGAGGCGTTCTCTTTGGTGGATATTCTATAGCTGCCTAAAGCTGTGTTTGGTGATACTTTTATTGATAGTATGATTACCAGTGCAAAACAATTGTGCTTTATTGATAATATGATTACTACTTGTGCAAAAGGATTGTACTTTTCGGAACCTAGAGGTGTTTTTTTCGCAGATAGAGGTCGGGTCAGTTGCTTTAAGGCAAGAGTGAGAATGATAAATGGGGAGTTGCCAAATAGTCCTTTGGTTGGCAGTTACTCTTGGTTTGGTTCAATTACAAGGAGCAGTAATTTGAATATAGTTTTGTTCAGGCTCGTGAAGAACTCCACAATTTGTCTTCTGTTAAATTCTCTGCTGGAGCTGCTTCATAATGTGTCTTTAAGATGGGAATTCTCGTGAGGACAGCTGCCACTCAACTGTGGAGTCTGGCCAAACCCTGAAGTTGCTCTGTACTGATGAGGAAAAAACAGGTGGGGAAGATGCTCATTCTGTTCAATCCTCTGCTGGAGCTGCTCGTGATGTGTTGTTTGATGGGAATTCTCGGGAGGAGCAGCTGTCAAACTCCACTTTGGTATATGGCCAAACCCTGAAGCTGCTCTCAGGATCTTGCTACTTGCCACATCCTGATAAGGAAGAAACAGGTGGGGAAGATGCTCACTTTATATGTGCCAATGAGCAAGTCATTGGTGTAGCAGATGGAGTAGGAGGGTGGGCGGATGTGGGAATTAATGCCGGATTATATGCTCGGGAGCTTATGTTGAATTCTGTAAGTGCAATTCAGGAAGAGCCTGTGGGTTCAATTGATCCTGCTAGGGTGCTAGAGAAGGCACATTCCAATACAAAAGCAAAGGGTTCATCAACGGCCTGCATAGTTGCGCTTATAAATGAGGAAATACGTGCCATTAATCTAGGAGACAGTGGATTCATGGTTAATCTAGGAGACAGTGGATTCATGGTGGTTAGAGATGGATGCACAGTGTTCCAATCCCCAGCACAGCAGCATTGCTTTAATTTTCCATACCAACTAGAGAGTGGCAATGAGGGTGATCTGCCAAGCTCTGGCCAGGTATTCATATTTCCTGTTTCTCCGGGTGACGTAATTGTTGCCGGAACAGATGGATTATTCGACAACTTGTATAACAACGAGGTTACCACTGCTGTTGTTGATGCCCTAAGAGCTGGCTTAGGGCCTCAAGTAACAGCTCAGAAAATTGCAGCTATGACAAGTCAACGAGCACTGGATGAGAACCGACAGACACCTTTTTCTACTGCTGCGCAACTTGCTGGGTTCAGCTACCATGGTGGTAAACTTGATGACATCACTGTTGTAGTGTCGTATGTAACAAGCTCTAACAAGTTGTGATCATGTCTTCTCCAATTGTGGCTGAACCACCAATTGTTGGTATCTTGATGCACTTCTTTATAGCGGGTGTTGAGGTATTAATTTTAACTTTTGTTAATTTTAATTCGTTATCAGTGTTCAGTGGTTGTTGAGGTATGTTTGTTTTTGTTAAGTTTTGGTATAAATTGTAGTTATTTTGTGTCTGATTCCTTGTGTTTTTTTTTGGCTACTTGTGGTGAGTATGTAATTTTGAGGATTCTTGATACACTGTGCATTTCGGAACTTGAATGAGGTTAGTAAGAGTAACTGTGTTAATTTTTCAGGGAACAAAATTTATTTCTAGCCATCAAATTATTCATGGGAGGATCTTAGAGTTATGAAATTTATTGGTTCTTCAATTGATGATGGTAACATAAATATGAAATGTAATTGTATTATTTTGCTTCAGAGTTTGTAAGGTTCTTCAATTGATGATGGTAACATAAATATGAAATGTAATTGTATTATTTTGCTTCAGAGTTTGTAAGGTTCTTCAATTGATGATGGTAACATAAATATGAAATGTAATTGTATATTTTTGCTTCAGAGTTTGTAAGTATGCAATGTATCTTTCAACAAATGATGATGTCATAGGCCATTTCCTGGTAGAAAAATTGGATCTTTCTTGCTAAAATGAATTGTGTTGATCTAGCTAATGAAAAAGTAAAAATCCTATGTCATACAATTTCCTTGCTGAACCTAAAGTTAAGAATTTCTTTGCATCTGATAGGGACCCTGAAACACTTGTTTACAGGGTTATTCCTCTGTCCATCTTTCTCAACATCTTTCCTTGGGGGAAAAAAAATCTTTCTCAACTTCCAGTTTGAGAATTTTGCCAATTAAAAAGCTGTTCATATATTTTCTTGGTCATTAGTGAGTGAAGTTCAACAAGTGTGTGTGGTCAGGTTGTGATAGGGACACTGAAACCTTGTTGACAGGGTTATTCGTCTGTCCAGTTTTCTCAACATTTTCCTGGGGAAAAAAGCTTTCTCAAAACATCAGTTTTGAGATGTTCATTATGGCTCTTAAGATTAAATAAAAAGCTGTTCGATACTTTCTGGTCATTAGTGAGTAGGACAGTAACAAGTGTGTCAGGTTTCGGATTAGTGTTATATGAGTGATATTAGTAATTTTTAGAAGCCTAAGAATTCATTTGCAGCAGAATTTGTTGGGTCAAAGATAGGGGATGCTGCTCTTATGGGCAAACAGATATAAATGCTAATAGCTTGGACAGAAAAACACGATATAAATATGACATGAAAATGATGCCTCTTTTGTTTTTAAACAGAAAACGCAAAAGGTGGTGAAATGTTATACTAAGAATATATATTTGTATTAATAAACTGGGTAAATTTTATTGATGATAATGTTACACGATCATTAATTTCAATAATCTAGTATGGGTTTACTCTAATAAATGTTATATCCACCGAATTAATTTCCGATTGATCTTATTGGTGAATGTACTGATTTTGTTTTTGAATTTAAAAGTCTTGTAATTGGTTTGTAGTAATAGGTGTAGTTTAGTTAGTTTAATTGATTGCATGATCAGAAAAATAAAAGTTGGGTTTTGTGAAGTAGTAATTGAAATCCATCTTAAAATTTTAAATTGTGAATTAACCTCTGCAGTTTACATAGGGTTGCCAAAATTAAAGAAATATAGTGAAACTTTTTTGAAGTGTTAAGATGTTTCCAAGAGTTTTAGTGTCTGGAATGTGTGCAACATGCTAAAAAAATCTTCATGATTCATATGTTAGAAGAGTGTTCCTCTGTGATCTAGTCTCAAAATGTTTCCTTATATATTTGATTATCAGGTTCTTATGGCTGATTGCAGTGGTCCAGACTCCAGAGATGTTATGCCACAGTTGTTGATGGAGCCAAAAAAGGGTGAATTCAATATCTCATGATGTGGTTTGCTTTGTAGCACACAATTGAGTTCTGAGTAGTTGTATCCTATCATTTTTGTTTTTGGCTTCTATTTCCTATACTAAAAGGCTTGTATCTTGGAAATAAGAAAAATAATGGAGTTTAATAATTTATCTTATTTGAGAAATAAAGACCATATAGAAAGGGCCTAGTTTCTCAACTATAGGATGTATGCTATGTCCTATAATATTAGTTATATTTTCAGTCACTGTCTTGACCTTTAGGTTTGCTACTTCTTAATTCTACTTCTTAATTCACCTTTGGGTAATCACGAGTGAATAGAACACTCGATGTGATTTTTTTTTTTTTTAAAAAAAAAAAAAAAAAAATCAGAAGCACCTGCAAAACCTATAAAGCTTCATGTGGATTAATCAGGGAAATAATTTGCAGTTTGCAAAAATCAGAAGCACCTGCAAAACCTATAAAGCTTCATGTGGATCATTCTTTCGTTTTGCATGAACATATATTTGGAAAGTTGCAAAAAACGGAGGTGCTTCTAGAAAATCTGAAACTGCATGTTTTGATGCTACTTTGCCGTATAACTAACTAAATTTTCTTCTGTATTGTTTTCTGTTTATCTCAGTTTTTATCAGGCTATGAGGGTTCCTGCACCGAAATTTCTTCTAAAATGCAACCCGTAGCTTTTGTTCACGAGCAGAATACTTCGTCCCCTCAGCTTGCTGAAAGTGTCACTCTCCAAAAATTTAACCACCTTAGAACTGACAAAGTTGATAACGCAGGCCATGCTGATAAAATATCAGCATGTTCTTGGAATACATTTACTAGAAATTCTGTCAGTGATTCCACATGCAACTACCCTTCATTGTCTGCGATTTTAGCAATGGATTCTGATACATAAGCATCCAAATGCATAGACTTGGCAGAAACAATCGCCGTCATTGTCTAAAAATGGCTCATGTGGCTTTTTGCTCTATGTGCAGCGGTTGATACTCCATTATAGGCTGATACTAGCTAGTGCTTCTCTACGGAGCCTGCTCAAAAGTGTGCTGCGAGGTCTGCACTAATAGGAGAATGGACTTGTCGTCCGATGACAATGGGCCAATATGTTTCCCTTAATGACCCTTTTCCTTTAGCTTCGTCGCAGCTTCCTTGCAGTAGACTTCGCAATAGACTTGCATTTTTTGTGTTACCCCACATAATTCTGAGACTTTATCTATGGGGCATTGACTTAAAAGGAAGACTTATGGGGCATTGACTTAAAAGGAAGACTTGTGGTGTGCAATGTTAATTGAAAGTCGCTTTGAAGTTTCCAGTGACGAGCAAAGTAATCCGCATTACAAATTTAATGATCAATTCTCTCTGTCTCATCAGTTCACAGAATGATCAGCAGATACTCAAACCTTCTTTTTCTAGTTATAATTTTAATAATACTCCATCTCCATGGTTGCTGTGCTAGAAACAGCAAAAGCAATAATTATCAGTGCACCAGTTCTTGCGGCGATATCCATAACATAAGCTACCCTTTTCGCCTTAACACTGATCCGAGAACCTGCGGCAACCAAAACCTTCAACTTGAAACCTTCCCTTGTTTGTGGAGCACCTTACGTAGTATAGCTTGGATTCAGCTAATATTACGTTGTCTATTAATTACAATAACTTCACAATTCGAGTAGTAGATGCCCTTATCCAAAAGGATAACTGCTCCTCTTTTCCTCGCCATTCTTTGAACCTTTTCTATAATCGGTATTGGGCTATTCGGGGTTCTTGGCCAGGAGTTGACTATTCTGAGGCTGATTACTATCAGAGCCTAGTTTTGGTGAACTGTGAACATCGAATGCTGGATTCTCCACTTTATGTAGATACTCATCCTTGCATCAATAGCACGTATTATTCAGGTGAGGTTATTATTATTAATTTTAGCAGTCTAGTCCATTAACATTTAACAAAAGAGCAAGGCCCTAATAAGTTAATTATAAATGCATATTATATTAATTCAATTAATTTATAATCAGGTTATTGGTATATATGCTTAGCTCATCGATCTCTTATGGTGATGGGAATGGATTTGGTGGATTCTTGCCGTGTTGAGCAGATAGTTATGGCATCTTTTCTGCCAAAAGAAGCGATGGACATTTCATATCTGGATGTTCACCGCATTATGTCATATGGGTTTGAGATGTCATGGTTTGGGGCTTGCTGTGACAACTATGAGGAAAACCGCTGCAACCTTGACATTGCCAGCATTAAGGAATACTGTTACAGTACGTTTCATTTCCATGGCCTCCATTTCAAGTTGGGTTTGAATGGTTATTATGATTGTAAATCAGTTCTGGTTCAAAACTGAATTGTGACCAAGTCTAATTAGGACTCATTTAACCAATAAAAAATTGCGTTTTGGGTGATCTTTTTTATCCCCTATAGTCATTATATGTCTTTCTTAGTTTTATATTTACTGCAAAGAAAAAAAAAATACTAATGAAAAGTATTTTTGGCATGATATTTTAGTTGGATTCAAAGCTAGTCTTGCCTAGTGCATGAGTGAGATTTGATTTATGGCATAAGAAGATGAACATTTTTTGAAAACAACTACGTAGTTCTATCAGATGGTGAAGAACCAGAAATGGCCTTAGAAACAGAAGAACCTCAAGCACAACCTATTAATTTTTAATCTGTCTTGTTGGTGGTCTCGTAATACATAGAATAGCTCGATCCTACTTACTGAGCTTATTTAATAAATAAATTGAATTCGAGTTTTAATGAAACTTTAGCTTATGAGCCAACTTGAAATCGTTCATTTTTCTTTACGGGAAACTGTAATAAAGTTATGATCGAACTCGAGCTCCAACCAGTAAAGCTGGAGCAAGCTCTTAGACTATAACCAAAGAGAAAAAGGGGAATAAAAAATCATTTGGTATTTGTCTTTTTCATTTTTATTTTGTGTTTTCATTTTGTATATAAAACTAATATTTCTCTTTGTCTATATTGGAATAGGAAATTCCTTGCTCCGTCGAGATGTCCACTGTAAGGAGTTGTTTTGCATTTTATTATCCTTTCTATATAGAAAATGTTTTCAATGACTAATTTAAAAAAAATTGTTGTTATTTGCTAAAAATTGTTTTCACTTAATCCTATTTTTTTTCCCCATTAAATGATTAAAATATTTTTATTTTTAGAAAAATGTATTTTTTTTTTCTTTGGATGCACAAACCAAATCTAGGTAAGTCATTCTCTCTTCTTTATACCAATATAATTTTATAATCTGCGGAGTTCCCATCACTTACTTTCCATTTATCGTATCCTAGTCTTAAATTCATCCTGACAACTTCCTCCTCCTTCCTTTTTTTTTTTTTTTTTTTTTTTTTATGCGCAGGGCTGCTTCAGAGTCTACGCCACGTGCGTAGTAAAAAAGATATTTATCATGCTGGTGTTGGTAAGAAACATTCTACCTGTGTTGTTTCTACATTTATAAGGTTTCCCATAGCAAGAATAGTGAGAAAGAAAGATAATACTGAGAGAATTTTGTATGAATCTCTCTCCAATTTGAATTACATAAAGTTCAATTCGCACTCTCAAATTACTTATAAATAAATAAATTTTTTATATAATTATTGTCCCAAATTTACAAAAATAATACAAAGATCAATTTGTAGCTAAATAAGAAGAAATAATAATTTTTATTATTTACTTTTAATAAAATATAGGTTTGTTATTTTATCTTTTTTTTTTTTGGTTAAAAATTGACCTTTTTGTCTGCATCATGATGGTAAATTTAGGATAATGACGTTGCATAAAAATTAATTTTTTGGATAAAATAATATATAGCAGCCAATTTGGCTAAATCATTTTTTCAAAAAATCACAGAACTTGTAGGGTAAGTTGTAATGTATTTAAATTTAACTTTCTTCTTTAGTACCTCTGAATTCATTTTTAGTTACAATACATTTTAGATTTTATTTATTTTGGTTGGAACTATGGTCTGTTAATAAAAAATTTACGACAACCGGAAACTATATTGTATGATTTTTTTTTTACATTCATTAAAAAAGTCATAAAATATAAATTAATAGTATGATTAATAAGTATAAGAGTATTAGTTCGGTTTTGTTTGCTACTGTTTAAGCATGAATTTTAGTTAGCATTTATTGAAATTAACTAGTTAGATCCTTATAAAAATATTCTTATAAAATGGTTTTATTGTTAGAGAATCATTACTTGTTAATATTATATGAATAAATAAAAAGTATTTTATTTTTTATTTTAATATTGGGTATAATTTGAAACTAATATTTTTTTCATTAAATTATACCCAATCTAATGGATAAAATATTATTTTTTTTATTTTAATATTGGGTACAATTTGAAACTAGGGTGCTATTGTAACTAAAGTTAAAGTTCAAGGTACTAGGAAAATAAAGCTAAATTTAGGGTAAAATTAAAACTATCCACATAATTTTGGGTTTTTTTAATGATTTAGCCCTTAAATTTAAAAGGGAAATTGAACCTTATTAATATTATTATGGAAATTATAGTAGAGTAGTTTACAAAAATGAAATAATCAAAATAAAATAAAATCACATCCTCTAAGAATCTTTATGGTTAAAATAAGCTAAATTGAGAGAAACTAATTCAAATATACACATTTGAATTATATCCATAGCACCTCCCTGAAGCTGGTGGCCTTTGTAATAATTAGAACTTGTTTTGAATATAATAGGGTAATGTAATCAAATTCATTTTTATTATAATCATATTTGCATTAATTGACATGTACAATCAAAAATTAAATCTTTTGTACTCTTTTTGTGTTGATGCAGAATTAGGAGTGGTGTTTGTTAGAACCGTTGGTAAGTTCCATTTCTGAAAGAGTTTTCATTAATAGGTAGTGTTTATTGGTCACTAATGATGAAACTAGGGGTGGCCAGCTGTGTTGGCCGCTCCCCTAATTTTAATTTTTTTTTTTTTTTAAAGTTGGTACTCTTTCTGTGTTGATGCAGGATTAAAAGACATATTTGGTTATGCTAACGGTAAGTTCCATTTCTAAAAGAGCTTTCATTAATAGATAGATTTGATTGGTCACCAATAAGGGAACTAGTGGTGGCCAATTGTGGTGGCCGCCCCCTAATTTAAATTTTTTTAAAAAAATTTATCTTATAAAATATAGAAAATTTTAACTTTTATCTATAAAATAATGATTTTTTTTTTCGGAGTTGCCCCCTCTAAATGTTGAGAAAATTTTTTTGCCTCTTCTAATTATTATTCCTGGTTCCGCCACTGTTGGTCACCTGTTAGTTGTTTAACTTGGGCTTTCTTTTATTTTGGCAGAGTTGATTGCTGACCTGTATACTAACCGAATTCCCAATGGTAAGGATGCTTACACTCTATTGCAAGTTTAATTGTGCTATATTTGGATAGAAAACAAGAATAATCAAACTTTGAGATTATTTCTAATTTTATTTTATTTATTTATTTATTTTGTTTGAAAGAATAATTTAGAATAGTATAATAACGGTTGTTAATCCTTAATTCTAAAGAACAAAAAGAAAAAGATATATTATTACATTTTCTTTTGCTAATTGTTTTTCATTTTTGTTTTGTCAATGCAGGCACGTCAATAAGCTATGCGGGATATTATCTCTTGGGTGAGAATATTTATATCACACTTTTTCTTTTTTTTTCTTTTCTTTTTTTTTTTTGGAAGGGTTGGCTATAATGATAATCTAGGGCATCTAATCTAATCCTTATTATTAAATTCAAGGTTTCCAACACATAAAAATCCTTAAAGAAAGAAAGAAAGAAAAAAATCCTTAAAAAAAAGTAATCTAATCTAATAGCTCAAAGTAATCTCATAATCCTCAATTTTCTAACAAATAGCTCAATGTAGCTCATGAACACAAGAATATCTAATCTAAGCATGGATATGAAGATAAATGGATTAAACTTACTTGGTGAGTGAGAGACTCAAATGCAAGAGAAGCTTATGAACAAGCTTGGAAGACTAAGAAAAGTCTTCAAAGGTTTGCCAAAATCCATTATCTAAGGTTTGCCAAAATCCATTATCTAATTCTTTTTCATGCGTTTTCATGAAATCAAAAGCCAAATAATAAAGAAAATAAGTTCATATGATTAAGAAGACTTGGATTCAAAATCTTTCACTGTTCATATTAGTGAGAAGATCAACCAGATCACTCCTGATTGGCTAGCTCTAAATATATTGAAATTGGAAAGTTTGAGAAGTGAAATGCGAATCGTTCCATGTTCAACTCGTTCCATGTTCAACGGATTAAATAATGACAAGAATAAAGCACAAACATTTTTAAGCCAATGTGTCAAGTTTTATATGGCTACATATTTTACATCTTTTAACTTTTTTTGTTCTTTTCCTTCTTTCAGGTTTCTTTTCAGGTTTGTTCCTTCTATTTCTATATTTGGTAAGCGGAATTCCTTTCCTTATTAAGCCAAGCTTCACTTGTTTTTAAACTGTCAAATCAAGTTGCTAACAAATTGTTTCTGTCAAATTTTTTCAGTATTATGGGCGTGCACCATTAACCTTATGTGGGATAATAGGTCTTCTCTCCTTTTGGATTTATAATGGGAAAGGAGACATTTATCAAATATATGATAATATTGAAGAGTTTCTTCAAAGTTAGATAATCTCTTCCCAATTAGATACTCTTACTCAGAAATTTAAAAAGATAACAAACGGTAAGATAACAAACGGTTTCAAAGAAAAGCTGGGAGAAGGAGGTTTTGGCTCTGTATACAAAGGAAAACTCCGGAGTGGTAATTTTGCTGCAGTAAAAATGTTGAACATGTCCAAAGGTAACGGTCGAGACTTCATCAATGAAGTTGCTACAATTGGGAGCATTCGTCACATTAATGTGGTTCGTCTTGTTGGTTTTTATGCTGCGAAATCTAAACGTGCTCTCGTATAGTGCTCTCGTATATGATTTCATGTCTAATGGATCTCTCGAGAAGTATATATTTTCGGAAGAACGTAGCAATTTGATACCCATTGAGAAAATGTATGAGATTTCTCTAGGAGTGGTTCGCGGGATTGACTATCTTCACCGAGGCTGTCATATAAAAATATTACATTTTGATATCAAGCCACATAACATTCTTCTCAATGAAAATTTCTTGCCAAAAATTTCAGATTTCGGACTTGCAAAATTATATTCGACCGATGAGAGTATTGTGTGTCTCATAGCAGCGAGGGGAACAATGGGTTACATGGCTCCAGAACTAATCTACAAGAACATTGGAAGTATATCTCATAAAGCTGATGTGTATAGTTTTGGGATTTTGTTAATGGAAATGGTGGGAAGAAGAAAGCACTTGAATGCATTTGCTGTTGAATGCATTTGCTGCGCATGTCAGCCAAGTCTATTTCCGACCATGGGTTTATGAACAATTTAATAAAGGAAAAAGACATGGAATTGGGAGATAATGTTTCAGAGGAGGAAAGTACAATGACAAAGAAGATGGCTTTAGTAGCTCTTTGGTGTATACAATTAGAACCCATTTATCGTCCAGAACCCATTTATCGTCCATCCATGCATGAAGTTATAGAGATGCTGGAAGGAGAATTTGAAAACCTAAAATTGCCTCCAAAACCTTCTTTGGTGCCACAAGACAAGAAAAAAGAGGATGTTGGTGTCAACAATGAGCCAATAACTATACCAGGTGATTGCATAGAGTCAGAGTCCGAGTCCGAGTCTATTAGTTTGCTTATGAATAATGTAAATTAGATTATTAGCTTTGGTTATTGGATTCAACATTTCTATAATAATTCCTTTTTTCCTGAGAAAACTGCTAACCAAGTTAATTAATTCAGAATTTTAAACTGCTAACTAAAAAATTCCAAAATATCATTTCCTTACAACTTTTAAACCATAAGTTGATTCCACATATGGTTGTAACAATCTTGATTGGTGTTAAAAATTTTGGGACGTCCAATTTTATTTTAGTTTGAGTTTCACATATATTAAGAAAATATAGTTATTATAATTTTTCTTTATTTTTTAATAAAAATCCATATTATTAAAATTAAAATTTAACATTAACAATCTAACAATTAAATTCCTAATTAATAACAGCCTTCCGCAATGAATCTCTTCGCATGAATCTAATGTAGAATCAACAATGTTCTCTTAATTAATTGACTCATACTAAATCTTTGTTGGAACAAATTAAAATTAAAATTTTAATGCAAGAAATCAAAAAATTAAGTTATGGAATTGGTTAATATTAATATCAAACGTAACAGTTTTATTCATAGAAATGCACATTAAATAAAAATAAAAAAAATTATCTTATTCTAAAAACAATAAAAAGAAGAAAATAGTACTATAATTTAAACAAATGAAAAGAAGTAAGCAAGGATTTTAGAACGGAGAAATATTATTTATTATATTATAAAATTTGTCTGATCTCTCAAAATTTGATATTTTTAAGGTTCATTTAGAAATAAAAAAATAAGACAAAATTTTAAATTAAAATAAAAAATGACCCGAGACAGAAGAAAGTAGATATGGTGTGGCCTGGTACGAGAAAAAAAATTTGGTTAAAGGCGGGGATTGGCTTTTCTTTTTTTGTTTTTTTTTTTGTGCTTAAGAGAGAAAACCACCTTTCCCTCCTCTTTCTCTGTAAAGATAATGAAAATGGAGAAGCTAGCTAGCATATGTAGAAACCCAGAAGCCTCGTCGTTTCGCGGTTCTCAATCTGATCAGAATCCCGTTATTCCTGCCTCTTCTTTGTCCCTCAAATCTGTATTTGTCCCTCAAATCTGTAAAAATCTGAACTTTCTCTTTTCGTTTCCCCTTTTTTTTTGTACTTCACTTCCTTTTATCTGTTATGCTATTATTGAAGTAGTAGCCGATGTTAATTGTTCGTGATGGTTGTTGATTTTGTTTTATCCAGGTGTTACTGAACGATTGGTGGCTGGTTAAGTCCGGGAACAAAGGGATTGCTGTTGCTGGGTTTGCTTTAAGCGAGTATGATTTGTTTATTTATTTATTGCTTGATTGTTTTACTTAAGTTGTTTTCTGGTCGAGAATTGATGGGCAAAAATTTCTGATGTAATCTAGGAAGTTTCCAAATCGAAAATGAAGAATTGGGTTTAATTTGAAGTAAGCTTTGTGGAAGTTGGCCGGAAGTGTCTTCCTTTTTTGTTTCTTAAGTAAAATTTAATTGAAACTTTTAATATTCTTGCCATTTAATACTGTAAGCTGTAACCCAATAAGGATTTTAAGCAAGCTGATTAAGCAAGCTGAGGCCTTCTGCTACAATTTCAAGGTTTTTTTCCCCCCCAATCTGTGTTGAATTTTGCCAATTGAATTTGCATTTCCAATAGTCTTTTTTTTTCATGATTTCTTTTTATGATGGTTTACTAATTACAGAGAGTATATGCAAAAAGGGAAAAAGAAAAGAAAGAAAGAAACGGAAACATCCATGTTAGCCTACTTAGAAGATATAGAAATAATGGTTGGTCACTTTCTTGGTGCCTAAATGTTTGCATTCTAGTTTTTGCAATCTACCTTGGGACCTTTTGATCCTTGTGAACGTTATCTGAACCTTGGGTTCTTATTTTGGTATGGGCTCTCTTAATTTTCGCTTCTTTAATCTGATTGCAAATAATTCTTCAAGATTGTAAAGAATTTTTGGGGTTTGTGCTTTTACTTGTATTTGTATCAAAGCTTAGGAGAAAGACTCTTTTACTCTGCACCAATATCCAGGAGAATCAATGCCACCACTCTTGAAACCAGGGATGGAATCACAATTGCAATAAACGGCTTCATAAATAGGTCCCGAACGCTTCAAAGTGGCTTTTCAGTTCTTTCAGTTCCTGTATTGTTGCCTTTTTTCTCCTGAGAAATATCTTTTCCTTCTTCACCTTGTTCTCTTGTGGGTCTTAAAGAGTAATGTATAAAAATATTTAATATCAAATAATGGTTCTAGTAAAATTTCACCTGTTTTTCCATTGAGTATAAAATCTACTTGCTTCAGAAAGTTCTTCTTAGTATTTGTTTACGAACAAAATTAGATTAGAACCAAATAAATGCCTAATAAGGTTGTCCCTGAACTTACCAGGTGCAAAAATTAGATATGCTAATTTCATGCCTGTTTAACACTTTTTTAGATCAAAGCCCCAATTTGAATTGTTGATCTCCTACAGGTTTGGCAATCAATTTCCAGCTTGGGTTTCCATTTGACTGGGAAGGGTGCCTTGCTCAATTTTATGTGGGAAGGAAATCTGCTAAAAGAGGATTCTACAAGTAAGAAAAAATGTGCCTAGATTAACATGCAAATACTTAACCTGTCAACTTTGGATGAGCTCCAAGCAACCAAGCAATTACGTGATCTTGGTTAATGCCGCCCTTGATTCTGAAAATCTTAGTTGTGATGATATACTGGGAAAGTTGTCAGACACATTCCAACATACTCCAATGTACCATTCAAACTTGGAAAGTGAAGGTCCACGAGTGACTGCAAATTCTGAAGTGGATCAAACTGTGAAAAATCATAAGAAGGCAAAGACTCACCAGATGCACAAAGAACTTACCCAAAGTACAGGTGTTGTAACAAGAAGTAGGTACAGATCAAAGAATATGAGTAGCAAGCAGGAAGAGAATCTCCAATAGCAAGCAGGAAGAGAATCTCCAATCCAAATCTCCAGTCCAGTGCAGAAATTTCAGAAACAAGCCCGAAAAATGTCTTTCATCGAACTTTTCCCTTGAAGGTGAAGTTACTGATCAGATTTTAACCCCAGCAGCTAATAAAAAGTTGTCTGAAGCAGCTTCAATCAACTTGAAAGC